TCACATTTAGCAAGCAAAAGATTCACCACAAGGGGCTGCAAAACACAGTCAATAAATTTTGATGTTTCATAAGAGCAGTGTTTCTCATCAATAACACTACAGTAATGTACAAAAGTCAGAGAGCAGCCTTCATTTATTTAATTTCCAGGCAAAACAGCCATTAAGTACAAGTCATTTTCAGCAGATGGGTCATTCTACAGAAACGTCCCCTTTTGTGTCCCTAGCGTTTACAAATATATTACACTTAAAAAAAAAACATGTTAGGGTTACAATTTCTTTTACATTTTCAAATAAAACAATGTTATTTTAATATACATGACTATGGAATATATAAATTAAACAGCATAAAAAGAAAACTAATGCCAAATAAATATTATAAACTATATAATGAAAGTTGTTGTCCCCTGGAGTTGTGTCACTAGTGTTACACAACTAAAAAATCTCAATGTCTCTCATCTGTTTTGAAATAAAAATCACACTGATGACATCACTTGACTTCCTTTGACCTATTTTCTGAGGATCTATGAAAAAAACACAGGGTAAGTCCACTGTGTCTTTTCAGTTATCAGAATTTTTTTCATTTAGCTCATGATTTCATGTGAAGCTTTTAGTTGAAGTTACTGGATTGTGATTTCTAACAACTGTGTAAAACCTGAAAGACCACCAAAACTGTTACTATAAGACAAACAGTATTTAAAGCTTTTATCTTTAAGAGGCAGCAGAAAATCAAGCTCTAGTCTTGCTTCAAATGAAGTTTTCAGCTCTGGACTGGTAGAAAATGACATACTTTAAGGTGACAGATAGACATCCCTAGTTAGCTAGCAAACTTACATTTTTTTAAACAACTGGAGCCTCAAATTCAAAAATTGGTGTGTGATAACAAACTGGCTTGAAGCAATGGTGGGTAGCAACGGTTGCTAAGCAGGGCTGAGGACTGAGGAAAATAAGGCAGAGCTTGGTGGATAATGCATATTGGTTTAGCATAATAATTTGATGCCCATAATACAACGACTCTATGAACCAAATTTCATTATCATTAAAAATTCAGCATAATAAATATTCTTTCCCAATTTAATTGGTTAAGCCTGGGATCAATCTGTCGTAGTAATATAAAAAACATAATAATCTCTGTAGAGCTCTGTCTGCTGTGTCAGCCAGTACCAGATTCACACAGTTGCGTTGTATTTGGTACAGTAATCTTTCAAGGCTGAAGTTAGCTTCATAGTGGAATTTCTGTTCCACCTTAAATTGTGCAGCCATTACAGGCTAGCACCAGTACAGGCACCTGAACATAACTGCTACTTCATTTAAGGTGGAACGGTAAATGAGAATAAGAAACTTCAGTTTCAGGGAATCTCTATCCACTGTACGAGTCTCAGATACAGTTTGCTAAGCGGGGTCCGATTGGTTTAGGTGGGGGCCGCTGATTTAACCCCTAAGTTACTACAAATATACACTTGGATTTGATATGAATTAATACATAGTTCACAGTAACTGGCCTAAAGCACTACCACCCACCAGGAATTATCCCAATTCTCCCAGGTGTTTCTCTCTGTCCTTCCACTGTGAGAAGATAACTCAAGGCTATGGGTCTGAAAGGATGTGCAGCTGTCAAGAAGCGGTTTCTGAGAGAAGCAAACTTGCGAATCAAACAAAGAAGCTGCTGGTGTTCTCAGAGCAATGGACTGACCACCCCAGGGACCAGACCTCAACATCACTGGATGTGTTTACAATTATTTTGATGCAGAAAATGCAACCAACTTCGAAGACTGAACTTAGAGGTGTGGAAAATATTCCTGTTGATTTCTTTGAAAAACTGAAAGCAAGTTTCTTGAAAGGAAGCTGTTATAAAGGGAATGAATGGACACACTCAATACTGAAAAAATGACATCTTTAGTAGTTTAGTTGGCTTCTGTATAATTTTCTATTAAATATATGCTTTCTGCTTTTTTCATGGTCCTAAAAATGAAACACTTAATACTTAATGGCCATCTTGACTGAACATTAACTAAAAGAAGGGCGGTCTCTGACATCTGCATGGTACTGTTCATGCCCTTGTTAAGAGTGTAATCTAAGCAAAATCTGGCATTCACTGTGTGATTACCGTGGTATTTGCAGGGCACCCATCTTCACATTGAGCTCAGCTATAATTCGGAGTAAAGTGCCCACCTCTGCCTCGCACTGAGCCAGCTCTGAGTCAGCAGACGCCAGTCTGTCATTCTTCTGTGGGACAAAATTCAACATTTTAAATACATGTTTATTAGGTACACCTACCTAGTACCTACACTATGTGGCCATTTTATCCGAAACAACTACCATATAGGTGCACTGTTTAGATTTCCTGACTGTAGCCCATCTGTTGCTGCTAGCTTATCCGTCTATGGAAAGTGACCACTACTCAGGTGGTGGACACTGCTGCGCCTGATTCCTCATCAGCCCTCAACCATTGTAACATGCTACTACCATGTTGGCGTCACTGCTCTGCTGAGAATGGTTCAACACTCAAGTAATATCGAGTCAGTAGTGGCTCTGTGGTGGTTCCTTTTCATTGATGGATGGGGTAGAGGGTGGCTGATGACAGATGGGCTACAGTCTGTAACTGTAACCTACAAAGTGCACTTATATGGTGGGAGCTTGTGGTAAAATGGCTTGTGTTGTAAGTCATGTACAAAACTTGTATCTCTCTCAATTTGGACAGTCTGTATATATACAGCACAGTGTTTATGAAAACAAGCCATAGACAGTTCACATGTGATGGTAGACTGTTCAGCAGCCTGTTGTTTTGAGAGGAGGAAGCGGAGGAAACAGACACATCCTGCAACCCCACTTCCTGCTTCTGTAGCCACAAAAATTAAACTTGAGAAAATGCTAAATTCTTGACCTTCACTTTACTACTTTACAATCCTACAAACATGTGTTGAACTATGGTTTAATCACTGAAGCTTTAACTGAAGGCTCATCACTCAGTGAATAATTTTACGTGTCTTATTTTTAGTATAAAGTCTCCAGTGACTAAGTTTGTGGTTATAAAATGAGGAATTGGAGTGTGGGCCCACATACAGGCCACATGCAGTTTAAACGTTTCACTTCTAAATAAAGCGCTCTAACAGTGCTGAATTTCTCACGGATTTAAGGTGATCACCGCACGGCAGGTGGAAAAAAACACACTGAAATCATACAGTGCAATCACACCACAGTAACCATTCTGATATGAATGTGCGAAAGAGCTTTATGACTAACATTCAGCTTCAAGCTGTGGTTTCGAAGCTGCTACGTGTAGCCTTGACTTCTATGAAATCTCTTGCTTTTACCAGATGAGCTTCATTGTGAATAAAAGGAGGTTAAAAATAGACTGTTGAGAGCCCTGAGTAGTATAATTCACATCAGTCACCCAAAGGTCGGCACGCAAAGCGACACTCACCTCTGTCATTGTGCTGATCTCTCGCCAGTTTAACTCTGTCTCCTTGCTCGAGAACACAGATGTAGAGCCTCAGGCTTGTGAACAGGAGCTGCTGTCCTTTTGCTCTGTGTGATTATAGCCTTGAGTAGTTCCACACTGTGCCTGTCTCTTGGCATGCGCTGCTGTCAGACCAACCCACCTCTTTGCTAGCCAGTTGCAGCTTTGAGCTTTGTAATAAATCCACAGAGGTTTACTTTCCCCTCACATTGTGATAAAGACATCTGGTATCTTGCTAATGGTAGCCATGATTACAACCCCCACCCATGCTCTTGTGCTGTCTTTTCCTGTTTTGCTTAAGGCTTGTCTCTGGTGAAGGTAGGATCGAAGAGGGTGGGAAAAGCTAAAAAAAAAGACTGAGAAAAATTCAAGTTTGAAGTTTTGTCGTGTACAGTTTTAGATATAGCAGCATGGCACAATCTTCAGACTGAGGTAACCTACACAAAAAGCCTGATTCTAGGCATTCGTTCAAAGCAAGGCCTGTTTTTGGTTTATTTTCATGAACATTTTTAGTTACAGCTTATAAAAGCTCTTGTCTTGAAAGTTATGACTAATTTGACTAATATGACTAATCACTATTCTAAAATATGACCGGTTATGTATGCAAAATACATAAAAATCCACATTAAACAGGAACTGGAGAAGTGAGATGTCCTTTTCTCTTAAAGGTATAATTACTCATTGCATAAGATAGATACACCATACTCAAGTACAAGAAAGAAGAAGAATCACTGATGTAATCTTGATCCCTGAGTGCTTCAGACAAAAAATAATTTACCAGTCCTGCTCATAAAAGCTTGTAACAATAGAAGAAAAGGGTGCTATCTAGAACCCTTTTCAAAAAAATTCTATATAGAACCATCTATAGCTCATTCATGCATGTTTTCCATCAATCTGAAGAACGCTTTCATGATGCAAAGAACCCTTTAATCATACAAAGGGTTCTTTGAGTGTTCACAATTCTATATAGAACCACTTTTTCACATTGAAGAACCATCTTTTTAAGAGTGTAGACAAGAAAAAACATCAACATGGCAATATGTCAAAGGTTTGATTTAATATCTCAAAATAATGACTTATTTTCTCAAAATATTGTTTTTTTTTGTCTCAAAATAAATGACCTAATTTTTCAAGATTTTAATTAATTAAGAAAAAGGTTGATGTAGCAAAATGATGAGTTATGACATTTTAAGAACAAAGTTATTACAGGATAATAAGTCGGTAAAAATTTTGTGAAAGTAAGCCATTAATATTGGGAATATGAGTCATTCTTTCGACATGTGAAGTCAATGTTTTGAGAAAATACGTCATTATTTCTACACAAGTCAGAATTTTAGAGTAATAAGTGTTTCGATATAATAAGTCAAAATTTCCTTTTCTGCCTAGTGGGAATGGGTATCCATCCCAGGTTGTATGTTCACTTTAACAGCGTGAGAGCGCTAAGGAGAGGAGAGGTGATGTAGATGTGGATGTGTGGCTGTGAGAAGGCGCTGGTTTGATGCAGGCTGAGCTGTAATGCGGACTCTGGGCCTGTAGGTGGAGCAGCTGCTCTAATCTGTCTCCTCAACCTCTGAGTGAATCAGTGAAGTAGACTCTGATGAGGAAGTGTTGTGGAAATTGATCTTTCCTGAAGCTAAGAGCGATTTAAAGGCTTAGGTAAGCTGTAGAAATGAATATTCTTGGAATCACTTTGTGGTCAGTAGTTTGTTCTTGTTTTGTCGTGCTGCTCTTAGTCAGAAGCTCCTGACAGCTCATATCACAGCACTGTGGCTCCCGGCTTGTCAGCTTAGCGCACCGAGGCTAGTTAACCCAGTTAGCCGGTGTTTATCACTGTTTTGGTGTGAATTTCTGCTTTACTCAGAAAAAAATCCGAGGTAATTTATCAGTTTGACTTCGTGCAGATTTTGGACTTTATTCTCTGCCATGTCCAGCCGCTTTGAAACGATATTTGGCAATATTTAGCTAACGTTAGCTTGTTTTGTATCCATTCAGATTCCAAAGAGATTTTTCGAAATTTCTGTTTAATTCGGTTGCTGAAATCTTAAGAGTCATTCAGAGTGGTTTTGTGTGAAATGGTTCATTGTAGAGACTCACCGTGTCTACAACACAAATATAGCAGTTTTATTTACTGTCCCAAACTACCATGTAGGTTAACGTTGATGACGATAAAATAGTGGTAACGTTAAATCTGAAAAAATACATTTTCTTTGGGGACTGTTTTGCCTCACAACTCGCTGTATGTACCCCTCCGCCAGGAATGGATTTAAAAATTATATGCTTTAGAACCAAAATCTTCTCAAAACTATCGTAAAACAACGTCTCAGACGTCAGGCAGTGTGTCCATAACTATTTGAAGTAGCTTAATAACCTTTAGTAAGGGAGCTTGTAGAGGGCTTAATGCTTCAAACGTTTGGTTCCTATCAGCACCACTGCGAACAGTTCTGACTCTTAAGTTTTTCTTAAACAGAGCATTTCACACCAAACCACTCTGAGTGACTGTTTACATCTCAACCAATTAATTATCCAGAAATTTTGAAACATGGGTGGAGATCCCCCTGTTTGTTGCTTATGTCTGTCACTGACAAGACAGCCAGTGACACGGGACATGCACTTTTAAAATCATGCTATGCAGAATTTGCAATAATAATATATGAAGGGTTTATTGATTTGTTTATTCATACTACATCCAGTGTGATACACTCTTAAAATAGATGGTTCTTCAAGGATAAAGAAAATGGTTCTATGTAGAATCATGAACACTCAAAGAACCATTTGCATGCTTAAATGGTTCTTTGCATGGTAAAAGCGTTCTTCAGATTGATGGAGATGATGTGTTTTATATATGGTTCTATATAGAGCCTTTTTGAAAAGGTTCTGTTCTGTTCTGTTCTTTTGGTCCTATGTAAAACCATATACAACACAATGCCCATCAGTTTTAAAGGGGAACACCACCAATTTTTCAAACATTCTGCATAACTAAATGTTTCAGATGTAAACATAGTTATTCAGAGTGGTTTGGTGTGAAATGCTGTATTCTAGAGAAACTCACAGTCAAATCAGAATTGTTCACAGTGGTGGTGATAGGAACCACACGTCTGACGAGTTTAATGCCTGTGAAAGTTGCTTCACAGGAAGTTATTACATGAAATGGTTAGATAAACACTGCCTGATGTTTGACACATTATTTTATAATAGTTTTATTATGATGTTATGGCTTAGAATGTATTTTATTTTAATCCGTTCATGGCGCAGGGGTAGTTGCAGGTCGTTGTGAGGCAAAATAGTCCCCAAAGAAAACTTATTTTTTCAGATTTATGACTATTTTACCATCATGAACACTGTATATAAAAACTCAGAATACATGCGTAGGTTCACCGGTGGTTTTGGATAGTAGATAAAATGGCTGTATTTATGCTATTGATATCATGATCCCTGGTTCCTATCACCACCACTGTAAAGAAATTTGTTTCTGTAAGTTTGTCTACAAATGAACCCCTTCACATTAAACCACACTGGATGAAACTGTTTACATCTCAAGGACTGAATTATTCAGAAAGTTTGAAAAATTGGTGGAATTCCCCTTTAAGAACCATTTCACTATGCAAAGCACCATTTAATGTATGCAAATTGTTCTTAGAGTGTTTGTGGTTCTATGTAGAACCATTGTCTTTACAAAAGAACCCTTGAAGAACCTTTTTTTTAAGAGTGTAGTCAAGTTGAATGGAATGTGGTTTTCATGTCTTGGTAGCTCGTACAAGAGGGAGGAGCCTAGAACCTTTCTCAAGCAAACGTAATGCAGTATTGTCAATATTATTATTACTTCAAAACATGATGAGCCAACAACAAGAACAGGTGCAAAACAGTATGAGTGTTATTAAAACGTAGCAGGCCAAAAAACATCAAGTACGGAGTGTCCTCTATATAACACACAGTACAGCCAGTATTTATGAAGGCAGGAACATAAAGGGATACTACAGCAAAATGAAAACTTTGCTGTGACTGCATCTGTTGTAAATATGCCTACTCACCTCGTACAGTGGGGCTGCAGTAGTCTCTAGTGTGACATTCCTTCGGATGATGTATCTTGAAGGTGGAAGTACAATTTTACAATAACCTTGGGGTGGAAAGTTGGTGGTGGGCTGAATTTTTTTTCTCCTTTGACCAAGAAAAAAGTTTGAGATTAGTGCTACATCACTAATGTTATTAAGCTCCACAGCTGTAAACCGAGATCAGAGGCCAGGCTATCAGTCAGGCTTGTTGAGTGTTGTAGGAATTCCCAGTGGTTGTACAATGTGTTTGCATTATGCATGCTGGGTAGTGTAGTGAGACACCACTGATGGGTAAAAGTAAACAAAGAAATGGCACAAAATTGTGAATTCTGTCAAACCGATGAGGCTGAAGGATACAATGCTGCGCTACAAACTAGCATGACAAAAAATAGTTTTAGAAATGAATGCCTCTAAGTTCGCGTGGTGCTGTTTTTTTCCTTTCGAAGCTCAAACATGAAACACATGAGCTACAGCAAAGCCTTACAGATGCTGAACCAACAGAACAGAATAAAATTCAACCCCACAAATGAATTATGAACTCAAAGTATAAAAACTGAAAGTAAATAAAAGTATTTTTATTTCATTCAGAAAATCCTCAAATTACGATCAATACGTACCTAAGTGTGTGGAACTAAGCACATGTAACCCACCTGTGGTGGTTTTTTTATGCATATGACCAGTAGCTGGGCACTATGGAGACTTCAGATTCAGGCCCAGCAGATGGAGAGGAGCGGCCCAGGACCCGCTCCAACCCTGAGGGAGCGGAGGACAGGCGCAGCAGCAACGGCAGTTTAAACAGCACTCCGCCGCCCCAGCCTGCAGTGGGCAGTCGAGTAGAGGGTGAGGGAGAGGCCTCCAGCACTGATGGTGCTCCAAGTTCCACATCCACCATCACCACGACCGTCCCTGCCCCGACTGCGGCCGCTACGGCCACCACTACAGCCAGCGTGACCGCTCCAGTGTCTGCAGCAAAAGACAGGCCTAAAACCACCCAGCCTTCTGTGCCACCCCAGATCCCTCCACCTGCAGAGCTCCAGATACGAGCACCAAGAGTCAACTGCCCTGAAAAAGTGGTAAATGATAAGCACTAATTGGACAGGATTAGTTTTACATGATGAGATGTGGTAACATAATTATTACCAGAGTTTAGTACTCTATTCGGATGTGGCTGTAAAATGAAATGAACTGTATATTAATCCCAGATTCTATCATTCTCAGACGTGTTGGAAAATATTGTCCTGTGCTGTGGTAGAGGAGTTTTTGTATTGTTCTAAAGTATTTAGAGCACCAAAGGAAGCAATTACTTGCATTCTCTGTGGCCCAAACCAAGCCAGCATGCACTGTCCTAAAATACAGCTCCAAACATTAAAATCCAGGATTTTTCACAGGATTGAATTGTGCTCAGTCATGAACATAACAGACATCCTGTGGTAACTTTATTATTATTATGAAGTGACCCTTATTAGTCCCACAATGGGGAAATTTCACCTCCACGTTTAACCTATCCGTGCAGTGAAACACCACATACGCACTAGTGAACACACACACTAGGGGGCAGTGAGCACACTTGCCCGGAGCGGTGGGCAGCCCTATCCACAGCGCCCTGGGAGCAGTTGGGGGTTAGGTGCGTTGCTCAAGGGCACTTCTGTCACATATTGTCGGCTCAGGTGATCGAACCGGTGGCCTTCCCATCACAGGGCTGGTTTCCTAACCACCAGCCCATGACTGCTCACAAACTTCTGGAAAACCTGTCTAAATAGTACTTAACACTGATGAGTACATTTTGAAGCACCCAAGAAAGCTGTGAGTGTTTTTGATGAGGTGTATTATTTGATGGGGTGTATTATTTCTCTTAATTAGATCATCTGTTTGGATTTATCGGAGGAGATGTCACTGCAGAAACTGGAATCCTTCAATGGGTAATATGCTTCAGTCTGGTTTCAACCCATCTTTTTTCCCAGTCCTATGGAAATCTGTATGTTTCAAGTTCGTGTGGTTCCAGTTTGGTTATGTTCATTACAACTCTTTGTTTTTCATCTTCAGATCCAAGACAAATGCCCTCAATATCTCCCAGAAGATGATTGAGATGTTTGTGAGAACGAAGCATAAAATAGACAAAAGACACGAGTTTGCCTTGGTGGTGGTCAATGATGATGCCTTATGGGTGAGTATTCTAGCATGGAATCTAGTCTGACAAAACTGAATCTAGTCTGACAAAACTGTGTACCAACTGTAGGTTAAACTGGATAAAATTAGGACAGGATAATACCAGTAAAATAAAATACTCAATATAAGAGTTCCAATGTGATTTGTGTGTTTTTACAGTATGATGCTTTTTTTACCAAGTCAGATGTCAGCAGAACATGTAGTTAAACTTGCATTGCCTTATATGCCAGAGAGATGCTTATCAGAGTGTTGTTAATTGAAGGATCATTGGTACATTGACAATTGAGTGGTCTTTTTGTTAAAGCTGCAGTGACTCTGTGAACCAACAGAAAGTATGACAACTATCGTTATATGTTTCAGAGCAAGTGCAGAGCCAAACCGTGACCTGCTAGTTTGAGATTTTAAAAATAGTGTTTTTTATTGTAGTTATCAGGCTTCACCTCTGATCCACGGGAGTTATGCAGCTGTTTGTATGACCTGGAAACAAATGTCTGTGAATCCTTCAGTATCCTTTTCATGTTAACTCTGATACTAACTGTGCCATTGGAGTTTAAGCTGAACAAAATGGAAAGGCATAATACTGCATGTTGGAGAAATAAGATGTGTCAACCTACTGTAAACTGCTGATCCCTTAACATTTTAATCTAGACCTGGAAGATCTTCTCAATGTAATGTAAGTTTTGTTGTATGTACTATAACCTCATTAAAGCTAGGACAATTAGACCCTCATGGCTCTTAAATAAGTGTTATTGCATGCTCTTAAACTTCTGCTTATAGTCTCCAGAAGATTGAGCTTCCACTGATGGACAACGTTCAGACGATTCCGCCTCCTTTTGTGGTTCGTACTCTCCTCATCTACAGTCGGCATGCAGGCCAGCTACAGTTCAACCCGTCAGATGCCGTCAGTGTAAGTGAGCTTGTCTTGTGTCATGATCTTCTCATTTTTTGATATTGTTTGGCTTACCTGCATCTAAACTATATGTCTTATTCTTTTTTTTTCTCCAGAAAATGCTGCGCTCCCCTTATTTCTTCTTTGATGTCATTTACCTTCATAATGGAGCAGATGAACAAGTGGACGACAACAGCTGGAGGGTAATTTATTTCAAATTTCTCTGCAGCATCAACTTTGTTTTGCTTAAAACTTACTAGGCAACAGATAGTAGAGTTATAAATGCATCATTAATTCTCAAATGGACATGTTTGGTAATTTAATAGTTAATTTTTCTTCTTCATACTCTGACTGTGTGTCATCTCTGCAGGATATATATGCATCCTTCTCTAATCTGGACTCTAAAGGGATGTGCTACCGCTTTGAAGTGTCGCTCTGTGGCCCTGCCATCGAGCTTTACAACTGTATGGCAAAGCTGCTCTGCCACCCGCTGCAAAGGCCTTTCCAAAGTCATGCCTCCTACAGCCTGCTAGAGGGCGACGATCCACAAGAGATAGAGGCCACAGTCTAGAGCAGACATTCAGTCCTGGATCCTGGAGTAGCCCTGTTTTCATGTTTTGGAGTTTTCCTGGTCCTTATCCAAATAATCAGCTAATTATCAAGCCCTTCCTGAGTTGTGGGGGGTAAAGAGAGAGCAGGAAAACACTAAAACGTGCAGGGCAGTGGTGTTCCAGGACCAACGTAGATACACTGCTGTAGAGCAGTGGTGATGGGGTCCGGGCAAGAGGGAAAGGTGTGCCAATGAACCAGCCAAGTGTTGCCTTCTATCACCCCCCCCGATCAGCACCTAATGATGAGCACTGAACGAAGAGGAAGCTGAAGAAAACCTTTTTAATGAGAAGGATCACTTGAATGAAAGGATCTTTGCCTGTGGACTGCAATGGACTTTCTGTAGCTTTGAGCTTTTTTCACCAGTTTATCTCAGTACTTTCTTTTTTGTATACCTGATTTTTATGTTCTTGTCTTATGTTGTTTTATTTGTTTACTGGGTAATGGAGCAAACTTCATTAGTTTTTTATCCAAACAGCTATAAACCCTGATATGAACTCTGAGCCCATGATTGTGAAAAAAATGATTTTTTCCCCCAAAATTAAACCCTAAATATTATGAATGGACATTATGCCAAGCAGAATATGTCAAAATATTATGTAAAATGTTTCATTTCCAGTCTGAACAGCCTTAAGTGTAAGCTATTCATTTTTAAGGAGATACTTCTGAGGAGATTAGTTAGGAGGTCATCCACTTACATAAGGAAGATAAAAATGTTTCCAAAACTGGAGTTCAAAAATTCTTTAAAGATATAGAGAAAATGAGTCTTAACAACTGTGTAAGACCACCACAACTGTCACCATTAGAGAAACACTACTTTCATCTTTAAGAAATTGGAGAAAATCGAGCTCTTGCTTCAGACCTAAAAAAATACAGATGTAGTGGATCTGAAAGGATAACTAGCTGTCAAGAAGCTGTTTCTGAGAAAAGAAATAGATAAAAAAGAACATTTGCAAACTAAACAAAACTACTCGTATTCTCAGAGCAATGGACTGACCACCTCAGTCAGTCCAGACCTCAACATCACTGAATGCGTTTGGTATTACTTGGATCGTGAGAATTAGAAAATGCACCCAACTTCTAAGACTGAACTTTGAAGGGGTAGAAAAATATCCTTCCAGATTTTTTTGAAAAGCTGAAAGTGAGTCTCCTGAAAAGAATAGAATCTGTATTAAAGGCAGAGTGGACACACTAAATACTGAACAAATATACTTAGTTGTTGAGGCTTCTGTGTAAATTTCTGTTAAATATATATGTTTTCATCTTTTTTCCCTTGATGCAGAAAAATACATACAACATAATGGCCATTTTGACTGGAAATGAAATAAGTGAAGGGTGGTCTCTGACTTTCAGGACTGAAATGACACTGTGGCCTTTTACTTAGTTTAATAGTTTTTGCTTTGATGGGGAAAAACTGTCTTCTAATAGATTCATGTTGGTAAAGGGAGTTTCCAGAGTGTTCTTTCAGGGTTGTTATTGTCCTACTTGTATATGTTAGCTTTCATCACTGAGTCAGAAGAGAAATCCATCTGAAAAATAAATAAATAAAGATGTAGAAAACGGCTACATAGTTCTTTCTCTTAATGTCTTGCCAAGCAGAGATACTGATGTTAAGTTGATGATGGGTTATGAACATTACATTAACACAAACTTGCAAAGATTTCTGTCTTACTTTATCCAGAAGGCAGGTTTGTCATCAGTAGTTATAAATGCATCATTTAATTTTAATATGATGTAACTGCACAACTACAGAATCACTTTACATTCTTTTCACATGGTACATACGACCACTTGCATCGCAGTCATTTAATGATACTTAGGTTCAGCAGTTGGTTGCCAATAACCCACACCATACAGCCAATGCAAAAGTTTAGGCGCCCCTGGTCATATTACATGTTTTGTTGATTTTCTAAGTGGAAGTAAGTTAACACATCCTCTACAGAGACACACTTCTGCGCATTCTAATACACAATTAGTGTTTATTTGTTGAATTTAACATATTGGGAAAAATGAAACTGTGCACTTAAGTTTGGATTAAAATGCCTCAATAAAGTGTGTCTCTGTAGATGATGTTTACTTATTTTTACTTAGAGGATCAACAAAATGTCCTTCGAACAGGGGTGTTCAAACTTTTGCATATGACTACATACTCAAGGCGTTTTTAGGTCCCAGTAGTGAATTTTTGGACAAATGTTAACACTTTTATGCAAACAGTTCAAAAAGTTTCATAACTCATTTCCACATTATTTAACTTGTTTTGGATCAAAATACTGTTTTATCCGTGTCCCACACCTTGGACTTTAATCTTCAAATGCATAAAAGTAAGTTACCGAATTAAAAATGACAAAGTTGATCAGTCATTGTCATCCTTTCCTCTAAATACATCTGCCCACGTCTTTGCTTTTACAGCAACACTGACCAAAAGACCTATAATGACATTTTTTTCAAAGCCAAACAAACCTGCTTTCCATTGAGATAAATTACTCTGAGCGCAAAGACAAAAGTGTGGGACAGCAGAGCAAACGTTATGTTTTTATATTCAGTATCTACTGCATGTTCTTACTGTAGTGTTTAAACTACTGTGTTTGACAAAAAAAATCTTTACCGCAGCACTTTTGTATTAAATTTGGACTGCAAAACCGCCCATAGTTGCAGAAACAACCATATAAAATTCATTAGTGGAAACTGTTGTGAAAAAAGCCCTCAAAACTGAATTTACCACTAACAGTACAAAAAAATGTAAATGAAGGGTTTCATTCCAAATCCTGTATTTACATTTGTGACAATTTTAGATATAAGAAATTTTTGAAAAGAATAACAGCTGACTTTAATGGAAAACAGACATTTCTCTAATAAAGCTGATATAAATCATGATATAGCATTAATATTTCTTACGTTTAAAGCCGTACACCGTGTTCCAAATTATTATGCAAATTGGATTTAAGTGTCAAAGATTTAATTTTTTGTTTTTCAATTAAACTCATGGATGGTATTGTGTCTCAGGGCTCTTTGGATCACTGAAATCAATCTCCGACACCTGTGATAATTAGTTTGCCAGGTGAGCCCAATTAAAGGAAAACTACTTAAGAAGGACGTTCCACATTATTAAGCAGGCCACAGGTTTCAAGCAATATGGGAAAGAAAAAGGATCTCTCTGATGCCGAAAGGCGTCAAATAATGCAATGACTTGGACAAGGCATGAAAACATTCGATATTTCACGAAAACTTAAGTGTGATCATCGTACTGTGAAGAGATTTGTGGCTGATTCAGAGCACAGACGGGTTTGTGCAGATAAAGGCATGATGAGGAAGGTTTCTGCCAGACAAATTCATCGGATTAAGAAAGCAGCTGCTAAAATGCCATTACAAAGCAGCAAACAGGTATTTGAAGCTGCTGGTGCCTCTGGAATCCCGCGAACTTCAAGGTGTAGGATCCTCCAGAGGCTTGCAGTTGTGCATAAACCTACTATTCGGCCACCCCTAACCAGTGCTCACAAGCAGAAACGGTTGCAGTGGGCCCAGACGTACATGAAGACTAATTTTCAAACAGTCTTGTTTACTGATGAGTGCCATGCAACCCTGGATGATCCAGATGGATGGAGTAGTGGATGGTTGGTGGATGGCCACCATGTCCCAACAAGGCTGCAACGTCAGCAAGGAGGTGGCAGAGTCATGTTTTGGGCTGGAATCATGGGGAGAGAGCTGGTAGGCCCCTTTAGGGTCCCTGAAGGTGTGAAAATGACCTCAGCAAATTTTCTTCCATGATACAAAAAGAAGAACCGTGCCTTCCATAGCAAAATCATCTTCATGCATGGCAATGCACCATCTCATGCTGCAAAGAATACCTCTGTGTCATTGGCTGCTATGGGCATAAAAGGAGAGAAACTCATGGTGTGGCCACCATCCTCCCCTGACCTCAACCCTATTGAGAACCTTTGGAGTATCCTCAAGCAAAAGATCTATGAGGGTGGGAGGCAGTTCACATCAAAACAGCAGCTCTGGGAAGCTATTCTGACATCCTGCAAAGAAATTCAAGCAGAAACTCTCCAAAAACTCACAAGTTCAATGGATGCAAGAATTGTGAAGGTGATATCAAAGAAGGCGTCGTATGTAACATGTAACTTGGCCTGTTAAGATGTTTTTGATTGAAATAGCTTTTGATTTCAGTAAATATAGCCTCTTAATGCTGCCAATTCAACAAATGACCATTTTCAGTTCTTTACAACCTATAAAATGTTTTGAAACTGTTGTGCATAATAATTTGGAACAGTGCATTTTGAGTTTTTTTTATTTTTGAAAAAATACTGTTATCATTAGGAGGTTTGTTCATTAAAAATTGATTTATACTCTAACGGTTGATGACTTTAAAATTATACTGACTGTCATTTGCATCGACCATTTAGGAAAATCAGAGAAAAATATCATTTGCATAATAATTTGGAACGCAGTGTATATCATGAAAAAAAAGAAAGTTCCTGAAAACCAAACCTTTATTAATTGAAGACGGATCAAATGATCAATATTTTTACTGCAGCTATTTAACTCCCCCTACACCCCCGAGCCCATCATTGTCTATAACTGTCTCTAGAGCAGCACTTTGCTGGAATGGTTTGTGGTTGCTTTTGAACTTTTTGCAATGTGCTACCTGCAAGTAAACAACAACCCAACTCAACTTTGAAGTTGCATCCTGCCATTTAAACCTGCCAAGTACACAGGTCACACAATAATTGTCGGAAGACATTTTATAATTGCATTGATCCTGGATATCATTTCTTTATTCTAAGTGAATCATCATTAGCCTGTTTCCCATCTGCAACCTCCTCTTTTCTCAGAAGTACAGGGCAAGCAGGGCAGGCCCAGACCGTGCTCACGTCCTTCACGAGGTTTCTTAGAAAAGGGTTTGCATGTTGGCTCAACTGCTGTTCTGTAAAATCAAAGTTGACCTCTCCCCACATATGCTTAGTAAACAATGGGGTCTGTGTAAACATGATCAACATGGCCATCTGACCTACTTAGCATGTTTCTTCATTATGCATGTTTATATTATACAAGTTTTTATGCAAATATAACTGCTAGAACATTTCTATTACTGATACACAAATACATGGTACACTTGCTTACTGTAAAGCACAAGAGGGTCATTCTCCATTTGGAGTGGGAAACCATGTCACTCTTTTTTTATCCTGTTTCATCCTGTAAAACAGCTCGTCACAAAACCAATTTTCAACATTTGAGAAATCATTTTAATATAAACAATATTTTTGAGATTTAACTTAGGAATTTGTATAAAACATATTCATGTTTACTTTTTATATCATTAACGTTACACTACATTTAAAATATGTATTTTATTTTAAAAATTCATTTGTCACAGATTTTGGTCACTGGTGTTATCAGGACTCTTATGTTACATTTTAACACAGTATTTTCAGCTCCATTAAGCTGTTTCTTTGGGTCGAGACATATCAGAGAGGAAGCATCTCAAGGCATGAGAAGGCGAGTCCATACTTGCTCACTGTATTTAATTAATTTATTAATAATTTTGTTTATCAGGTAACACGTAACTTCCACGTGTCACCAGCGTTATGTGATGCTTTAATGGCTGGGTAATTAAAATTGATTATATCGTTTTGATTACTGATTTTAAATAGTTGCACAAGGTCACCTGACCACCAATCAGTCAGCCAATTTACAAAATCCTCAGTTTTAACCAGAATGTCACTGGAGTCACAGTCACTGGTGTTGCACCATATTCATATAACACCAGTGACTGTAAAATATGTTTGGAATTAAGCTCTCCTTTCTGCATACATGATAATAGGAGATGTTATTGGACATATTAAGATTAATTAGTTTTGGGATGAAAGACATTGATTTTTTAAAAATGTAGCCACCTGAATTCCCACTCCAAATGGAGAATGACTCAAGAATGTTCGTCATGAATTTGAAGTGCAATCATGATTTATTTGGCTACAATTATTTAATAGGTAAATAAATGTCGAGATTGCTCCAGTCAGTTGATACAGCACTGTGTTAAAGTTTTAGGTAAATGAGGAAATTAACTACGCTGTAAAACATACTGAGTGCGTTTACATGCACTGAATAACCCGATAACTGCAGAAAATCAGATTTTGTCAGTGATGCAATCAATGTGTTTATATGCACTTAAGTAATCAAATAATGGGGAAACTCTAGGTCTACATGAGTCAGACAGTAATCAGATTTCTGCTTTGCAACCAGCCAATAAACTCACAGAATAAAACACGACATAAACGTAACGTAAACTCACGTTTCTTCATGACAGTTTTACTTCATGCAGTTTTACCTGAAACTATGAACATACATCATCTAGAAGATGAAGAATATTTGAATCCTTCATTTCACCAAGCATGTTGTCAGTTTCAGCCTGGCTCCAAAAGTGTTTTGCTGTCATCTCGCAGTAACGCTGCTTGCTTATTTCCGGTACCGCCCACTGTTTTTGCACATGTACAGACTGAGAAATACGAAAGAAATCAGAGTAAGAGTTTACATGCCTTGAGAATCTGATTACTTTATCAGATTTCTTAATCAGATTTTTAGACCTTACTTCGGTCTAAGAAATCAGAGTGTGCTGTTTACATGACCATTTGAATAGTCAGATAACTGCAGAAATCCAATTATGATCAGATTATTCAATGCATATAAACGCACTCATCTGCTGAGATGAATGGTTTTAAATAATGTGCTTAGGTGCCTAAGACTGTTGCATATTACTGTATATCAATGAAATTGTCCACATAAAAAATGACTCTAAAAAAGGACCATTATCTGAATGGTGAATTTGAGAAACAGAGGCAGAAGGTCACCCTAACAGTTAATAAAGCTGACTACTGCAGCTTTACAAGCGCAAATAAATTATCTCGACTTTGAAAATAAAACTCTCAGGTCTCATGCTCATCGTCAATGCCAAGATAAATACAAAATTCTTTCACTAATTTTTTTTCACAGGTCCATCTTCCTGTTTTTGTCTTAAATTTGATCTGTGATCTACGAGCACCCCTTTTCTCGCTTTCTGTCATTTTAAAATGCTCCCATAAATTACACTTTCCGCTGAGGACAGACTGGAGAGAAGACAATAGGCTGCAGGAAAACCCCTGGCTTTCGTTATTTTCCCTTTTCACACCCCTCCCAGACAGGAGGGCCAGCTCTGAACGTCATCACTGCAAACAAGAACGCGGAGGATCAAACGTGTGTGCTGCCTCCTGTACTGTTGGGAATATTTGTTATTCAGGCCTTTAAAAAGGATGACAGGTCACCATTGTTGCGCCTGTTCATTCCAGCGATAGCCTCTGTGGTGACCACAGGAAACAGAATGGTGATGGCTTGTTTTGATCACCTGTGTTTATGCTTTGCATTTGATCCAGGAAGAGATACAGAATGGCCCAGGGTTTGATAAGTGCTCTAAAGTTGCTTTTCTTGGGCAGCATCAGGACCAGGTTGGGCAAAGGTCACATTCTAGGAGTACAATGTCCAAAGCTGTCACACAGACACACAATGCAAGAGCTCAGCTGTTATAAACATGTAAATAATGTTAAAAAAAAGATTCAGTAAGAAACTGAATCAATGTTAAAAAACTGAACCAATAACAAAATACAGCAGTGTTAAGAAAGTGGATCAATGTTAATGAGCCAAACCAAACAGAACCATTGTTTAAAAAAAAAAATGTTAATGAACTGAACCAATAATAAACAATCAATGTTGAAGAACTGAACCAATGTTAAGGAATTAAATCAATATCAAAGAAATGAATCAGTGTTCAGAAACTGAATCGATATTAAAGAACTGAACCCATAAGAAAATAAATCAGTGTTAAGAAAGTGAATCAATGTTAATAAACGGAACCAAATAGAAACTGAACCAATGTTAAGAAACTTAACCAATGTTAAAAAAACAATCAATGTTAATGAACTGAACCAATAAGAAACTGAATAAATGTTAGAGAACTAAATGTTAAGAGAGTGGATCAATATTAACTGAATCAAACAGAAACTGAAACAATGTTAAGAAACTGAACCAATGTTAAACAAAAAACAAAAACCTGAATCAATGTTAATGAAGTGAACCAATAAAAACCTGAATCAATGTTAATGAAGTGAACCAATAAAAACCTGAATCAATGTTAATGAAGTGAACCAATAAAAACTGAATCAATGGTAAGTGAGCTGGAACTGAACCTCTGTTAAGAAACTGAATAAATGTTAATGAACTGAACCTACAATAAACTAAATCAATGTTAAGAAACTGGATTTATGTTAACGAACTGAACCAATTAGAAACTGAATCAATGTTTGGAAGCTTAATCAAGGTTAGGAAACAATCAGTGAGTGTGTTTATCTGCACACCAATAATACGACAAAAAATTTTCTTCAGATAACTTCCTAAGAATTATCTTATTTTCCTCCTAACTCTTTTTTTGGAATAATTTCTAATGAGTGTTATTCTTGAAAACATTGTTTTTAAATGTTTTCTTAACCTTATGAGAGCTTCACACTTGTCTTAGGTGGAAAACGTTGCCAAGGTAAGCATCTAAATTTATCACAGACGTTGCCTCTGCTTCTCTTGCCCATTCTTTTATCTTGCTTTCTGCCATCACCCCACAATTACTGTAATTTTCAAGGAGCATTTTTTTCCTGTTGGCTATTTTTTCCACCATCACCTCTAACCCTTGTTTAATACATTTTTGAATGCTTGGTTTGATGTTTTTCCTCCATTTTGCTGTCCTCTGAGCAGATTAATCCCTTAAGATCCCAGGCTTACTACATCTAAGGCTTATTATTCAGTTATTATGTGGACTACAATGCAAACTTACTGCGCTATTCTTAGGTTATATTAGTGTGTAATAAAACTTTAGGCCTGCTGGTGCGCCCTGGCCACTTAAGGGGTGACACTAAATAACAGAAAAAAAATGGTTAATACAAATTCAAAATGTATCTTGCATCATTTCTGAGCTGCAAAATGAAGATTTTCTTAAGAAATTCTTAAAGAATCTTAAGAGAACTTTTGAGAACTAGAAACATCTTAAAGTTTTCGTGAATCTGGCCCATGGATTTCAGCCCAGCAATCGTTTTTTCAGTGCATGTATACCCTTACTCTGATTTCTTTCGTGTTTCTCAGTTTGCACATGTGCAAAAACAAAGCATTGTCCCAGAAACAGCAAGCTGCATTTAACACAGCACCCGCGAGATGATGAGATGGCAACAGAACACATTTGGAGTTACATGGAAACCACATACATGCTTGGCAAAATGAAGAATTTAAATAGTCTTCATCCTCTAGATGATGTATATTCATATTTTCCAGAAATATGATTTGATGTTTCAAAAAAAGCCACTGAATCAAGATCAATGAACTAAACAGTTTAGAAATGGAATCAAACTAAAATCAATCAGAAACTAAATCAGTATTAAGGAACTGAACTGTCTCTACTGAAACTGGGTTACCAAACACACACACACACACACATTTTCTAAATCGCTTATCTTTCTGGGTCGCAGCCTATCCCAGCGGTCATTGGGAGGAAGGCAGAATACACCCTGGACAGGTCACCAGTCCATCGCAGGGCAGGTTACCAAACACTATTACACTAATTTAATTAGTTAAAGCTAACTTGTGGTCACTATTCCACAACTTAAAAAAGAGACACAAATGGCCAGCAAGTGCATTCAGACCAGAGCATTCACTAGTTTCAGCTCCTCTTCAACATAAGCTTGCATATAGACAACTAAGTCATTTCATGCATTGATGCGGCACGATGCTGAGGGAGGGTGTCCTGCTCTGCTAATCTCCACCGCCCAGTGTGAAGTACACACAGCCTCTGGAGTTGTGCTGGGAGGAGGGTCAGGAAAAGGCTTTGCAGGATGTCTGTGCCAGCATATATAAGCACCACAGTGGCGCGCAACCTCCTGTGTTTACATGTCTCTGTCTCAGCTGATGTCACTGAGCGCTATTGGGAAGCATTTATTGAAGCGTGACGCTCAAAGTGCATGTTAACATTGTGATTTTAGAAGTCTGAGCCTTCAGGCAAAAAGGGTCATCTAGTCGGCTTGACTTTTGGCAGAGATGTACAACAACAGCTACTCCCGGCCCAAAGTTACATTGGAGAAGAAGGTCAATTACAAACCCAAGGACAAAAGCTGTGGCTATTATTGGCGGATAGTTTTCTTCTTCTCTTCACTAATACAGTCGCTCATCATAATCAGCTTGGTGCTGTTCTTGGTGTACGGACAACCTGGTAAGACTCCTGAGGAGAAGAGGGTGGAAGAGCTGGAGAATGGCTACAACAAGCTGTCCAAAGAAAACACAGAGCTAAGGAAAGACAAAGCGAGTCTCAACAGCTCACTGAAGACAAGGACAACAGAGAAAGAAACGGCTGAGAAAAAGCTGACAAAGCTCACAGCAGAGTTAGATGCTGCAAAATCAAATAACACCAGACTTCACAATGCACTAGTAAGTCCTCATTTATTTCTGTTTTTGAGTGTAAATAGGCAGTTTTCAGATGCTGCTGCATGCCTTTTTCAGGAATTGCTAAGTCTAAGAGGTACCATTAGAGTTCAGAAGCAGAAAAGATCAGGAATGATATTAAAAGAATGTTTCAGTGGTCGTAAATTCATGTCTTCGCTTCTTCTGTTTACTGCAGGGCCTTTGTAATGCAAGTAAACCACCACCACCTCGCATTACTCCAGTCCATATCCCTTCAGTCAGCACTTCAAATGGTAATCTATGTGACAGATCACTAATTAAGTGCCAGCAATAAACAAATCAGATAAATATTCAGCACAAATTATAGGTACTGGCACCTGAAAGTGTCGAACATTGTTCATTTAACACTGTTCATTCTCCTTGCAGCACAAGTTAAAAGTTTACAGACTTCTTTGGATCACCAGAAAGCTCTGAACGGATATCTGCAGAGCAATTTCACTCAAACAGTGCAAAGCCTTAGGCTTAACTTGGAACGCATGACAAAAGAGAAGAGCGTGCAGGAGATGGCCGCGATGCAACTAAGGCAACAAAAAGAAGACCTGACCGCCGAACTTCAACTTTTCAGGAAGAAATGCAAGGAGGAGTTTGTGTCATCTCTGCAGGGCATCCAGAATGTTACCACTGCCTTTCTGGTGAAAATCGACAATCTCTTTCCTAATACTTACACCTTCCTCCTCACATGTGACAAGCAGAGGGAACAGATGGATGCGATCAAAACCAACTGCACCAGCCTGTCCCAGCAAGTGGAGACCAAATTCCAAAGCTACTTGAACAATGTTGGCGAGAAAGTCTCGAACCTCCAGGCCCAGAGCAGCCACCATGAGGTGCAAAACAAACGACTGACATTGGATCTGCAGAAGTGCAGACAGAGCCGCACCGAGGAAACTGAACAGTGCAAGAAGTCGCTGCTGGAAGCCCAGGAGGCACAGGACAGGGTGGTGGAGCCACTGCTGCAGACCCAGAAACTACTGATGCATGAAAAGCAATTGCTGCAGACCATGTGTGCATCAAAGGTAAGGAAGTCTTTGGATCTTTGACCTTTGGAATTGGAAAATCTACTGGAAATGTAGTCAAATTCTGCAATTTCCTCCTGCAAGTCATCAATAATGATCACTTTGTTTACAATCTGTACAGCCTCCTATGCCTAGACCCTCTGGACTTGGTCCTCCAGTGGTCTCTGGACATCAAAGCAGGCCAGGCATAGGCTCACCTGGAGCAGGTACAATAGGCAAAAGATAACCACCAAAGGTACATTCGCGCAAACATCTGCAATTGCTACAGTTTTTTTATTGCCTATACGTTTTGTTTTTGGCTCCAATAAATATAATGCATAAAAGGTCTGAACAAAGGACAAAAAAGACCTATTAAGTATTTAAAGCTAGATTTAGATTATGTTAATATCAATATCATTATATTATATAACAATTATATTTAAGAATATTTGTTTGAGATGCATTGGTAATAATGTGCTTACTGACTTTACATTATGTTTTCATCACTTATACAGGTCAGGTGAGCGACAGTGTGCTTCAGTCTTCAAGCCGGTCTCAGAAGAGCTCCAAGTTTGTGGGTTTTAACCTGTGATCATTTGTTAATAATACTGTGACAGCAATAACATATGCGTTGTACATATAACAGAATGAATGCTTATATGAACTTGTATTTGTAATTATGTATAAATGTATGTTGAACATTTCTGGCAACAATGTGACATCATTTACATGGATGGTAAAAGGAAACGGAGACTCTTAGATGAATAACAATTATGCTAAAATCTATTCAAAGTGGCTACCTTTTATAAAAAATCTGTCACTGTGACTGTGAAGTGTGAAAATTGTCTACATCAGCCCAAAAACCCTCACTGTGAGTTTTGTAAAATAATGTTAAATATACTGCAAGCTTTGTTATTGAATTATAACTAAATGATACTTGTATAGGTGCTAGCAATGTAAATTTATCATACAGGCTTTGTAAAGATTTGAGTGCAAATAAAGTTAAAGAGCTTAATGCATTTTTCTGATATTGAAATATTTTAAATTGTTTGACTATTTTTTTAATATCAGATTCAATGGTATCATCTGTCATTTCCTGAACAGTGTGTCTCTGCTCTGTCTCTCTTATTTCCATTCATCAGCACTGATGAGTGACTCAATAAAGTGTTATATAGTTTTCTATGGCCTCTTTATACTTATGACTTAAATCACCTTTAAACTAATATTGTTATGCTGGTCAGTTTTGCATGTTAAATGATTTCCCTGCTCACATATGCTACTAAACCTGATAATTAATAAGTAAAGTCAAATGTGCTTGAGCACAAAAATGACCAACGATGACCACAAAACAGAAGAAAAAAGATTAAAAAAAAGGGATTTTACTGAGGTGCCATGGTGATTTTATTTAGCATAACATCTTTGTCAGTACAAAACCTTTTTTCTGCAGAATTTGAAAACGTCTTTTGACCTTTACAATGTGTTCAAACCTCATGATAAATGAAGCAGCAGAAATGACCCAAAAAATCTTGTTCCATTAACTTTCATTAACATTTAAAGGGCCCATGTCACAGAAAACCAGTTTCCTCACTTTTTAAAAAAATAGAGCTTCATTTTATGTGAACATTTTTAATGTTTCAAAATGTAACATTCACCCCCCAAATCCATACAGTCCACATATAGAAACTGCCCACTTTGAATTCTGTGTTTTTGTGATGTCTCTAAAACCTACACATTTACATCTGCTTATTCAGCATAGAGCAGTTGAGCCCCTTTCACACTTAAGTCATAAGTGTTTCAGCCTAGATTGTTAAGATTGTTATATACATTATGTATGTTATCAGTGTACCAAAAATAGAACAGTAAAGATATGGGCCCTTTAAGAATATACACATATATACACACACACACAAACATATATATATAATATATATATATATATATATATATATATATATATATATATATATATATATATATATAAACTGAACTGTCAAAAATGTTTTTCCAATGCGTTCTTAAGCAAAGTGAGTGCAAAAGGCCATCTTATTTTTCATTTTAAACAATTACCCTTAAGTGTTATCCAGCAAGCCATCTGCTATATGACTCAGAGTACAGTACTTACTATGTTGACTGAACCTGCTTGGCTCGGTGTGATTTGTGGGACCTTTATAACCTCTGTAAGTCAAGAAGAGGACTATGAGCTGCATGACGTCATTGAGATGAATTGTAGGAAGAGGTAAGGGTACAGCATGCTGTGTCAAGCTCCTTTCTGCTACACACAAGGCAATGCCATCACAGAGGGTGAGGAGTTCAACAGAAGAGCATAAATACATAAATGAAGGTCAAACTGACAAGAAAACAAAGGCCAGTGGGGACCGCCATTAGGTCGTCTCCTTCCTAAAACAGCCAAAGGATCATCAACGTTCATGTAGTTCAGGAAAGCACCCTCAGCACCTTAAGTAAGATCCTTAGCAGTTAACTTAAGCTCAGAAGAGAAAAGCCTTCACTCCCCCAGGTGAAAAGAATTTTTTTGGCCTACAATGAAACATATTACATTTCCTGATGCTTAAGAGTTTTAAAATAGGACGATTCAAAAGGAATGCCTCAGTGTTTTTATATAATCTCATATATAATCGGATATGTATTTTCTTTATCTTGATGAGGCATTGGAGAATAAAATGTAAAATCTGAGTCTGCAATGCTTAAGTGTCAATTGATTCTCTAAGTGAAAATAAGTTAAAACATCCTCTACAGGCCAAAAACCTAAATATGGCATTTTTCTGCTAATTTTATTTATTTCTATTTATTTGTGTTTAATATTTTGCAAACAAACTTACATAAAACATAAAATAAAAAACATGCCAAAATTTTAGCACAGCCTACATTTTAAGTTATTTTTCCCCAACATGTTAGTCAGCAAGTAAACAGTAACTGTGTATTAAAATGTGCAGAAGTGTGTTTTGTGTAGAGGAAAGGTACTTATTTTCACTTATGAATCACACATGAATGTATGTCTGAACTTCAGCATCTTGATCTATCTTTCTGAGAAAAGCACAGACACATGCTAAAAGAAAATACATGGTCTATTGCAAATTCAATGAAAAGACATGGGTTTGTTAATTTATAGAATGTAGTTACAGTTGGGGGAGAGGTACTGTGAAGTCAACCTAAATTGAAAATTGGCCTATTTTAACCTTGTTTATGTCTCTGGTCATATTAAGCACAGTCCTCCATATCATATCATATATATTTAAAACACAATTCTTGTATTTTCATCATTGGCCCTCCAAGATCCCTGGGCACTAGCCTGGTCAATAATCTAACCTTGTTAGTCTACCCATTTCTCTTGCATTTTATTTTTCATCTGAATAACATTTGTGTGGTTTTATGCACCAGAAACAACCAAATCCAACAAGTTCCAATTTTTTTATCCCCTAGTACAGTAGTTAGGAGCTCCAGTTAGCTCAGTGAGTTTGTTTTATTAGCTCAAACACAACAATTAGTTAATTACCTATTTAGTAGAAACAGGAGTCTCTCTCACGAAGCACGATCACGACAGGGTTCCTGACAAAGTTTTAGCTTCATAAAGCAAACACAAATATAATTAATTTGTTTTATGAAAGTGGTTTAAAACTTTCTCTGTTAACTCAGGTCTCTAAACTCTATGATTAATCTCATAGAAAGCACATGAAAATGCACATGAAAGCATGACAACCAACCATGCATGTGAAACATGAGGAAGAGTCAAGTAGCTCATTTTTCAAAAAAATGTAAAAGTATATACACTACGTTAATATGTAGAAAGTAAAGCATTAATCACAGTAAAATAGGCAACACTGTCACCATAATGTTGGTGCTTAATGGATTAAGATTAACTGCCTTACATTCTTAATATCTATGTAGTATGATTTGCATCAGCAGCTAAAAAACCTGAATTCTTCTCATGATTAACAGCATAAATGTCACGAAGAAAAAGTGACCAGAGGGTCACTGTACTTAGCCTACTCTGGAGTAGTTAAGATGTGCAGTATAAGCTGCCATGGTGATGCAGCCCACCACCACGAGACAGAAAATCCAGAGTTAGATCCAAGTAAACCTAAAGTTAGCTGGCTAAGCAAAGAATTCCGCTTCACAAGAGATTCACAGGCTGTTTATGTAACTCGATTTCCACACACACAGACTGTGTGGACCAGGACGTAAATGAAATGGAATGTTTTGTAACTTTAGCAATGTTTACGTAGTACCTCAAACATTTTTAGAAAGAAGCAAGGGAAATGCAGTTTTCCAAGATATGACCTCTTTAAATGAAATCATTTGTAACATACAACAGTACACTTAAATAATGCACAAACATGAGAAAATATATCAAAATGCATCAAACCATCATTATTTCCCGATGCAAAAGTCTCTAAAAATCACATCCAGGATGTCCTCAGCCCCCACCTTGCCAGTGATCCTACCCAAGCTGCTGAGGCCTAAGCGCAGTCCCTCTGCTGCCAGCGCCAGGTCTATATCCCTGTACTGATAATACTGATTCAAGGCATCCACGCACTTCTGCAGGTGAGCTCGATGGCGAGTCTGAGTCAGACTTGGGCTGCCAGCCAACGGGTCTCCACACCTTTGGCAAAAAAAGGGTTGATTTAGCATTACAGCAATAGTTCTTTACCCCAAATACAGCTGATCAGCCAAGACATGTTTGGTGTTCAAAGTTTCTTTAGATAGAAGGAGATTTTTCAAAAGTTTATTTGTGACAGAAAATTTGAATCAGAACTTTCACTGTGTATGAGCATTTTTGATAAGAAAAAAAAGATGATGTTAGTAATGACGTGAAAAATTAGGTGAAAAAAATAATTAGAAATTATCTAAAGTTTGGAAATAAGGGTGGTCAAGGTGACCGTGACATTTGGAGATAATAGTGTGCAAATCAAAAAGTATGAAATATTTGGGAGGGGCAAGGAGGTCAATACCTGGCTTCTCCTTGCCCCATCTAAATATTTCAAACTTATAAAAAGTATAAAAACTGTGGGTTTTTGTGGTTGTGTCAGTTGATGCCTGGGCCAAATCAAGATTAATGCTTGAAGAAACTGTGCATGTTCCTGCCAATCCTGGTGTCTTGAGTTTTATTTTAATTTTGAATCTGGAGCAAAGCTGCATATATTTCTTCCACAAAACAAGACTAAGGTAGTCAACATGAATGTGAATACCCTACCAAAAAGCAGCCAATACACATTGCTTCAAATCACATTGAGTTGATAAGTAATCCCAAATCTCAAGCAATCTTTCTGACACTGTATGATATACTGTTGTCAAAAAAATAAAAGCAAAAACAAAATTTAAACTTCTGCTTCTACTGTTTCATAGCTTTTATAGATAACAGTGTGTCATACACTGTAGGCCACATAAGCAAGTCTTCCTGAAGTTACTTTACAACTCAAAATGGGCTGGGGCAAGTGTGTGAAGATGCATGCTAACTGGTGGCGCATGAGCTTCCATTACTTGTTGGCTTTATTAGCGTTGTAGCTTCAGTACAAAACTAAAGAAGCAAACTTCAGACACCAAACATGTCCTGGCTGATCAGCTACTTGTGGTAAGGATGTGTTTATTTAATTTTTCTCCAAGCTATCTCTTTAAACCATTACAAGGACAAAATCTTTTTTGTTCAAGCTGAACGGTAAACACTTACAGCGTCTTTAGTCTGTCCTGCAATAATGTGAGGAAACTGTCCAGCCCTTCTCTGCTATGGCATGACAAAATGCTGACCGGAGCCATATCAGATGTCTGTGTGAGAATGTTCTGGATCATACTAATGTGTTCTTTAGGGAGGAGATCACTTTTGTTAAGGATCAGAACACAGCGCTGCTCATGGTCCTTTGCACTGGGCAGCACGTTCTTCAGGTATTCACTCAGGAAACCGGAAACCATCTGAGGCTCTTGAGGAAGCTGCATTGAGTCAACCAGCACCAGCGTCAAGTCTGCCAGCTCCACCCTACGGAAAGAAATATTTCTGTATGATCTGAGCATAGGGGAACACACAGTGCCTTCTAGGCTTTCAGAGGTCAAATGATTTCTATGAAATAAAAAAAACCCTTAATTCGTTGTTAAGTTTTGGTTAGAAATTCTTGAAATGCCCAATGGAAAATTATCCATTCAGGATATCCACTGTATCTAGCTAGATACAGCCAAGTGAGGACTTTGTTTAGGACTTCAGGAGCTGGTCTGAAGGCCTAATGTCATATTAACTACTAATACAATTAAGAACTGACAATGGACTCAACTACTCAGGTTTAAATTTACAAAGGGAGGAACCACTTTTGTGAGGCAAAAAACATCACTCTAGGCCTTCTCGAAGACTTAGATACGTCTCTGAGTGCAAGTACGAGTGATAGCCTGACCAATCAGTCAGATGTTAGAAATGGAAAACAGCAACAGCTCTGTGCTATGACTCTTCACTGAAAGGGTAAAGCTGTCACTAAAATAAACGATAAAATGTCGTTACAAGCTTTAAATAAAACTTGGAATATCTTCTACAAGCTTCCATGTTTAATCTAGAACACCCCAAAAATGTTTCACATGAATTTCTTGGCGCTAACATACTGCTAGAATCCTCAGGAGCACTAGCAGAAATTAGCATTATCATAGAGGTGTTTTTTTCATATTTTAGACAAAGTTTTGATGTTTATGGCTTGAACTGAAGACCTAGCTCTAACAGTCACGGTGCACTACTGGTTCTGATATATACTTTATCTGATGAATTTTAACCCCTTTAATTTTTGGCAGGCCCAGACTTAAAAAGTCTTCACTTCTACTTTAGCTACATTATAACTTGTCATTTGCATGGTTATCCATATAGTTACTGTCTAATGCACTTAGGATGTGGACAAATAAAGGAGTTTTCTTTTTTACCCCTCAATGAAGCATCAAGGAAACACAAGACAACAGCATGCAATCTTTAAATATGTGTAATACTAATAAAATTTCAGACAATGTGTCATGTGGCAGTCATCCTCCCTTCTGAGATGAGCAAAGACATCAGGGTAGCAGAGGATGCTTATTCTCCAAGCCTCCTTCCTGAAGCAATTCACCATCCTATGACCTTTCTGGCCTGGGAAAAAGCCCCTCCTAACACACAAGATTGACGCACACTTCCTCAATAGCTTAGTTACCCCTAGTGCAAGAAGCAAGTGTGGCCCTCTGCCCACACTACACAAAAAGATAAACAGTGGAAGCAGCTGTCTAAGATTTGTGTGTGAAAGTGCACATGTCCATGTATGTTTGTGCTCTATTCTGATTTTTGGGAAAATATTATGCAACCAGACGGTCTCTTATATGGATATTGCATAACCTCCTATTTTCTAAATGTGTATGTACCTTGGTAAACAATAGTGAGCACAGGAAATTTACCTGAGGCTAAATTTAAGCCCAGAAAAACACAAAAATTAAGAATGATTGTTTCCTCTTCCTCCACACAGAGTCTATGGAAATCATGAAGAGCGCATTTCCTTAAGCAGAGCATCTATAAAACGCGTCATTTCTATAACACGTCAGAGTGTTTAAATTAAACATTGCACTGTTTATATTGTTCCCTGTTTTCCCACAGGCGTCCCCTACATCTGCCGGGCGCGGCGGACACCCTCTCGTTCCACGCAGTCGCCCGTGTCCCTCAGGCCCGCTGTGTCACTCAACAGGACAGGAAAGCCCCCGATGTCGAGAGAAGTCTCCACAACGTCTCTGGTCGTTCCTGCTATGGAAGATACGATGGCAGCGGGACGCTGGCCTGTAGTGAAAAAAAAACAAAACATTGCATAATATTAAAAACAACCAAACAAACAAAACATACACTCACATCTTGTTCTTATCTCTAAAAATGCATTCTGTGAAGATTTCACCTGAAGGCACTGAGCTGAAAGTCCACTAGAAAGAAAACTGCTTATTTTCAATGAACAGCATGTACGGTACTGATAAGGGTCTAACCTTCGAACAGCATGTTCTAGTATCAACAGAAAAAACACTGAGCTCTACAAGTCTGAGCTGGATTGGAAACAATAACAGGAATAAATCAGAGAACTGATGAATACAGGTCACTCAGGGCAGGAAACCCAATGATATCCACATCCCCTCTGCGCTCTCTGCTACTGTCATTATTGGCTATAGAGAGAGAAAGCTCAGCTGTTATCTACAAGTGCTGTAGATAAACACCAAATACTCTTAGACTCTTCCCTTTCATTTACAGCTGTGACATTTGGCAAATTCACACTTTTTTTGTTAGTTAAAATTCAATGTATCGTCTGATTTTAGGTAATCAAATCTACTCCAGTATTTAAACATTTAGTAGGGATGCCATTTTTTTCAATAGAATCATATTAAATAATACTGTTTTGTACTTTATACATTGACAGATTTAGAAATGCAGGCAGTGAGTTAGGTTAAAAAAGCGAGGTGCACTGCCCCATAAGCAACTTGACTGCTTCAAGTTGATATGTTGACTGACTGCTCTGTGCATAAATAGTGCCCACCAGTTTGCATAAGATGAGAGGCACCATATGCACAACAACAGTGAACAGAGAGCATCTTCCTCCTTGAAAAATCCTAAAATATTTCTGCTGGACAGAGGCCATTCGTGGCAACATGGCTAACTGTAATTTTTATTTTTCTCAATTTCACTTACCATCTTTCTGCCTCTCATTCGTCAGAGTTTCCTCAGAGCTATCCGCATCATCCCTCATTTCACTTTATTCGCGGTCATTTTCTTTTCAAACTCACCCTCATTTATATGGTCACTTTCCTTTTTGTCACTGGAGTTACAAGCTAAAATTATTGGTTGAATCAAAGGGAAAAAAGTGAGTGAGTGAAACCAATTTAAAGAGCCCATCATGGAAGAGTGAATTTCCCTTGCTTTTTTAAATAAAGGAGTTTGAAGTAATATGTAAATATTGTTCAAGTTTCTAAAACATACCATTTACTATGCAGTCCAATCACATACGGAAACTATGCTGCAAAAAAGCCGGTTTTGAATTCATTGTTCCTGTGATGTCACGACCAACTAATTTATATACATCCACTTATACAGCAATTTAGCCCATTTATGTTCTAAGCAGTGTTTCAGCTCTGAGTGTTTATGAACGAGGTACAATGCAGGACAACCAGTCAAGACAGAGCTCATTTATCACACATTAGTCTTCAAGGCACAGTGATAAAAACAGCCTGTCTAAGAGATAAAGACCGGTTGGAAAATGGTCATGTAAAAATTATGACCATTTGTGGTACATAAACCCATACAAATGTTATAAGTGGGTCTCAAGGAAAAAAAATAAAATACAGGAAAAATGTAGGATTTTTTTTTCCTTTAGCGCTGCTAATTTGTGATTTATCATTTTTGCCAGTTCACAAGAGTGTTGGGGCACAACAGCCTGGTTTCCTCATTACGGAGCCACTTATACGGTAATGGACCTTAAATTTGCTCTCAAATGCGCACATTTTAAACAAACATCTATCAGAATTTTATATTGCATACATATACTTACATATTTTATATAATATTTTTTTTCTCCATATTTATTACTATTTTTTTTTTTTTTTACTTTTGGTCACATTCATACTGTGGGCTACCCTCAAGTGTACATTACATATACATTACACCATCCATTAAGGTCACCAATTTAATGACACGTTTAAAAAAGGTATTTTCGTCATTTGTATTTGTATTTTTATTTATAGAACTGCTAGCAGCTTTTTTTCAAGGTTAATGTGGCAAGAGAAGGCCGTAGTGTGGGCTGAGGAACTACCAGCCAGTCTTTCAGAATGTTATATCAGAATACAACCCCAGTTTCAAAAAAGTTGGGACACTGTATAAAATGTAATTAATGTAAATAAAAACAGAAACCTCATAGACCCATATTTGATTCATAATAGAACATAGAACACATATCAGATGTTGAAAGTGAGACATTTTACCATTTCATAAAAAACATTAACTCATTTAGAACTTAATGGCAGCAACGCATCTCAAAAAAGTTGGGACGGGGCAACAAAAGGCTGGAAAAGTAAGTGGTACTAATAAAAAAACAGCTGAAGGAGCAATTTGCTCAAATGACTGGGTATAAAAAGAGAATTTTAAAGAGGCAGAGTCTCTCAGAAACAAAGATGGGCAGAGGTTCACCAATCTGAGACAAAACTATGTGTAAAAACCGTGGACCAATTTAGAACCCAAAAACGTAAAATTGCGAAGACTTTTGATATCCCACAATCTACAGTACATAATATCATCAAAAGATTCAGAGAATCTGGAGAAATCAATATTGGACGCTTGTGATCTTCGGGCCCTCAGGCGGCACTGCATTGAAAAAAAGCATGATTCTGTACTGGAAATCACTGATGGGCTCAGGAACACTTTCAGAAATCATTGTCTGTGAACACAGTTCACCATGCAATCCACAAATGCAAGTTTAAAGCTGTTTCATGCAAGGAAAAAGCCATATATAAACAGGATCCAGAAACCCCGCCATCTTCTCTAGGCCAAAGCTCATTCTGTGGTCAGATGAATCACCATTTTAAATTCTTTTTGGAAACCACAGACACAATGTCCTGCGGACTCAAGAGGAGAGGGACCATCCAGCTTGTTATCAGCGCACAGTTCAAAAGCCTGCATCTCTGATGGTTTGGGGTTGCATTAGTGTCTATGGCGTGGGCAGCTTACACATCTGGAAAGGCACGATCAATGCTGAACAGTATATAGAGGTTTTAGACTAACATATGCTCCCATCCAGACAAGGTCTCTTTCAGGAAAGGCCTTGCAAATTACTGCAAGACAATGCTAAACCACATACTGCATCCACCACAACAGCATGGCTTCGTAGAAAAAGAGTCTGGGTGCTGAACTGGCCTGCCTGCAGTCCAGACCTTTCACCAACAGAGAACATTTGGCGCATCATGAAATGAAAAATCTGGCAAAGAAGACCCAGGAACTGCTGAGCAGCTAGAATCCTACATCAGACAAGAATGGAACAACATTCCTCTCCCAAAATCCCAGTAATTGGTCTCCTCACTTCCCAGACGTTTACAGACTGTTGTTAAAAGAGGAGGGGATGGCACACAGTGGTAGACATGGCCCTGTCTGAGATGCATTTTGAAATGGTAAAATGTCTCACTTTTAGCATCTGATATGTGTTCTACGTTCTACTGTGAATAAATTATGGGTCTACGAGATTTGCAAATCAATGCATTGTCTTTTTATTTACATTTTACACAGCGTCACAACTTCTTTGGAATGGGGGTTGTAGTTACTACTAATCGCTGAAAAGGGAACACTCGACTGATGAGGATAAACAAAGCCACACAATAAAACAATTACAGGATTTCACATTGAGACTGAGAATCACTGGCCTGATGTCTGAGGAAAGACTTTTACAAACAAAGGATGCTCATTTTTCTTAGCCTTACTACTAATAAAGGCATAACAGGAAGCCCATCTCAGATAAGCAGAATGAATCGTTACAATTAAATAGCTCAGGCTAAATTTCATCAAGTTAATATAAACACATATTTAGAGAATTAGAACAACATCAGTGCAATAAGCTGCATCTTACACAGTATATTGAAAAGGCTGCTCTTGCCGGCGTTGGTGGATCCTGCTATGACCACTTGCACTCCACTGCGGAGTCGCTCCCCCTTCCTCTCATCACACAGATGCTTCTCTATTTCCATCTGCAGCTGGGGTACAGCTATGTCCACTGCATAGATGAAAAAGAGGGCACTGGGTCAGAAAAATAGGCCGCTATAATGCATGGTGACTAAACAGATAACCTGTGGAAGATCTGCTACATGTTTGTTGAGGATTTTGTCCTTTTTAACACTCATTTATTAGCCTTAGGTTAATTTAAAATTTTCAGTTTTCACTGAAATCATCCAGTTGCATGCAAAACTGTGGGCACCCCTGGCTAAATTACATAGTGTGTTGATTTTTGAAGTGAACAGAAGTAAATACACCCTCTTCAGCAAACTGTTTTAAAACAAACACTTATTCCATCAATGTTAATACACAGTTACTTTATATCTGATTTACTTAAAAATAGGAAAAAAGTAGTAATTGTGTTTTGTGCAGACATTTAGACAACCAGCTAAGACAGCTTACAGACACTTTTTAGAGCCAGCTAGTAGAGTTTTTCTGTTTGTAAGATTTTTACTCTTTGCATTTTTGTCTTGTATGCAAAGCATGTTATTTGAACTACAAACCTCAATTAAAAAAAAGGTGGGACAGTATATGAAATGCAAACAGATACAGAAAGCATTTATAAACCTACTTTGAACTCTATTTAAATGACAACAGTACAAAAACAAGGTATGTAAAGTTTTACCTTATTAAATTCATTTTTGTAAACATGCACTCATTCTTAAACTGATGCTTGCAACATGTTCCAAAACATTAGGACAGGGGCTTTTTAAGACTAGAAAAACTGAATGCCTGCGACCTTTGATCCTTCAGATGGCACTCCATTGAAAACCGGCCTGTTTCTGATATCCCCACATGGGCTCAGGAATCCTTTGACAAAACGTCGTCAATAAACATCATCCATCGCTGCATCCACAAATGAAAGTTAAGACAGTACTATGCAGAGTATTTTTCAATGTCAGCAATGTCCAGAAACTCAGCCGACTTCTCTGGGCTCAAGCTCATCTGAAATGGACTGGTGCACAGTGGAAAAGTGCGCTGTGGTCTGACGAGTCAACATTTCAGACTGTTTATAAAGGGAAAGGACCGGCCAGAGAGTTATCAGCGTAAAGTCCAAAAGCCGGTGGTTTGTCACAGTATTCGGGGGTATTAGTTTTAACTTGCAAATCTGATCTGTCTCCCACTGAAAACAACTATTAAGTGTTGTTAAAAGAACAGTGATGTGACAAAGTTGTAAACATGCTCCTATCCCAACATTTTTGGGATGCATTTCATATTTGGAATAAGCATATATTTACAAAAAAAAATTCGTAAGGTAAAATATATAAAATTTTGTGTTTTGTACAGTTTTCACTTTAATACAAGTAAAACAGAATTTACAAATCACTGCTTTCTGCTTTTATTAGCATTTCACATAGTATCCCTTTTTTAGAATTGGGTTTGCAGCTCATTAAGGATTTTGGGGTATGTTTGGGATCATTGTCTTTTTGTAGAAGCCAGCCTTTTTTTAGGCTCAGCCTACTGACAGACACAAATGGACTTTTGTGATGAAGCTGCAAGTAAGATTTCCTTTTGATGACTCTTCAATGCAAATCATGTTCATGGAACAACACTGTACAGTAGAACAGAGCTCCACTCCTGTGTCAGCTAAATCTTCCGGCAGGTCTTTTGCTGTCATGTGGAAGTTTTGTTTTGCCTTTCTGGCCAACATATGAGCAGTGTGGTCCAAGAACGTTCTTGGTCTTTCAGATCTTGGCTTGACTTCCATAGTTCCCCTAATTTGCTATTTCTTAATGACATTTCAAACTGGAAATGTCAAGCTGGAAGTGCTTTAATATCTTTTTGTAGCCTTAACCTGCTTTGTAGACATCAATAAGCTGCATTTTCAGATCCTTTCAGATGCTCATGGTTGTTGAGTGTCATCATAAGGTTTGAAGAGTCAGAGACTTTAGAATAGTCATAAGCTGAAAATGCCTAATGAAAAATTTTTGACCCACATACTCTATACTCGATACTGCTAGTCCTAGGGGTGTCCAAACTTTTGCATATGCCACAATAACTATTTTAGTTTATGTTTTAAGTTAATCAAATATAAAGTAGTTATGCATTCACAACAGCAGAAAAATCTTGTTTTTATAAATAGCTTGCTGCATAAGTTGTGTTTCCTCCTTTAAATTTCAAAAACAAAAACTATATAATTTGGCAAAATCTTTGCATACAACTGTATATGTAACAAAAAAACAATAATTAAAAAAATAATAAAAAATATAAATGCACAATTGTCTAATAAAATGATGGACCTCACAGGCCTTTCTTCCCCTTGGAATTATAAGGTTCTATCTGACAATTTTGTCAAAATTGAGTTATTCACATATTCTTATTCTGTGATAACTCCTATCTCCAAAGTCAAACTTCTATGTTCTATTTGTGAGCCAATCAGCACTTCAAATACACGCAAGAAGATCAATCAGTCTGCTTCTTTGTCATGGCGCCATACTGCTCAGTGACTGCTTAGTGACTGTTTATAAAACTTAGTGAAACATGAAAACACGTTGCTGAAACACATCATCTTGCAGTTCTTTAAAAAGTCTTATTGTCTTAAATCTTAAAAAGTAATTAAATAGTGAACATTTGAATCCATGGGGTCTTAATAACTACATAAACATTAACTTCATACATTCATCCAGCTTTTCTTTTTCTTCTTTCTCCCAAAATAAGACATTTTGGTGCATTCGAGTCAAAATTTCTGCTGTAAAAGAAAATCTCATACTGCCTTTAGGCTGACCTGCTATACTTACTTGCTGGGACAGTTTTTTACAGTAGCTGGTTGCTGTTAAACCTAAAGGAAACTTAAACTAATGGTTCCCACCTAAAACTGATCTCTGCACTGGAAAAAAATATTCAGCATTGACCTTTATACTTAATCTGCAATGCTCTTTTGAATAAGAAAAAGATGATTTGTCCTAAAACAAGAAATGTCATTTAAAAATGAAAAAATATATATATCATAAAAATGTAACAGAAAGCATTACATTTACCTTTCTGATACACGTAGACACTCTGTTACAACACTTTTATGTTTTAAATTACGTTTGTGTTCCTTGATAAGCATTGCTTCTTTTCATGTTTGGCACATAGAACTTTATAATTCCAAGCAGAAAGTGAGTTCTTACGATTAGAAGGTTCTATCTGCATTTGACCTGTTCAAAATAAAACTTTTACAAATTTGACAGGATTTTGATACTGTACATTTAGAATAAATTCAGGGTGTCTGTCTCTTTCGTGCATGAAAGAGACAAGTTCCACTTATCTGTTTTGCTATTTGAAATGCAAAATCTTTGAAGCTCACTATCTCAAAAAAACTGCTCAGAATGCAGACAGAACCTTATAATTCCAAAGGGAAGATTTCTTTGTGATGTTGACAATGTGACCTGTAAACCCCTGCAAGCAACTGCAGATGTCACCAGGCTTAAAAAATGAAAAATTCCACCTTAGTTGTTGATCTTATGCTTTTCTACACTTTTTTTTGATACTATAGTTAAATGGGATTTTATGTGTTGACTTGATCACACCTCTAGCTGAACATTCTTCTGAGTACCTCAACCAGCTTTGCATCTAATGTCAATTACTTTGCATGTGTGAACTGAAGTGCCACACGGATAATGACAGTTTAGACATTTAGCCCAGTTAACACATTCACAGTGGCAAACAAAATCTTCAAAATCAAAATTCAGTTCAAAGCTGCAGAATTCCGGCCATAAAGAAGCGAGCCAATTTCCGTTTGCATGAGCGACCTCTAACTGGGCACTACCGCTGAGCTCATGTCACTCAGAGGAAGGAGATGGTCAGTGACAAACTTGTTCCTTGACGCACAATGAATCCCCTAAATTCTCTCGAGAAACACATTAAAACATGAATACAATGTGCACCAAACACTACAGCTGCAGGGAAAATGATAAGAGATACATTAACCCCTTAAGATCCTTTGTGTGACCACATGCTAAGGATTATTATTCATTAACTGTGCGGAAAACTTTAGGAATATTTTCATCTGTTGCAAGTTCCTATGGCAATTTCGCCCCGCTTCCTCGAGGAAACTGACATTTCTCCACTTTGACTCTCAATAATTTCTCCTTCGTAATTATGGCATGTTTATCCTGTTGCAAACAGGAAGTCCTCACAATGCACTAAGGGAAAAATCCCCCATCTGTTTTCCATTTTTCCAAAGGTGGAGACATACCTTGATTTAAGACTCCATCCTCTATGAGGTCACCCTCGCTGAAGTCAATGAAGGCTTCCACGTGCGCCAAGCACTGCAATTAAACAAACGAGCCTTATTACAAATCATTAGTCATTCTTTCAAACAAACAAGTATATATTAGACTTTTTCTTCCAAATTCATTAAAATAAAATCCATTGATAACTTACTTTAGCCATTATAATCATTAAAAATGTAATAATTATTATATGAAAAGGATTCTTGAATTATTTTTATTATTTCTTTGTTTTTCTCTTCTGCAGAATTTGCTCCAGGTGCTGAGGTCCCTTTCCAAGCTCTAATCATCATGACAGGAAAGATAACCAACCTCTTTTCAGTTCAGCAATAAAATTTGACCTTAATCAGTACCGACTAAATACCTGGTCCATTTCCAAACGGGGGGATTTTTTGCAGTCCTCTGAAGAAATGCCAGGAAACAGAAAAAACATGCAATTCCAACACAAAGATTTGCAATAAAAATGAAAATAAATCCATCAAACGTACAGGGCAAAAATCAGAAATCACTCTTCACTTATTTCAGTGCCAGTCAAAACAACGATTAAGTACAAATCTTTCATTTTTCAGAAGACATTTCTGAGCAGATTAGATAGAAGATCATCTACTGGCATTAGGAAGGGGAAAGTCTAAGGAAAACAAGTGAAACAAATAAGAGTTTTCAAAGTTAGAATGGGATAAAGAGCACTTAAAGCGCTCATCTTTGAGAGAGAGAGGAGAAAATCAAGCTGCTTCAGATCTGAAAAAATCCACAAGTGTTTCTGTCCATCCTTCAACTGTGAGAAGACAACTCAACACTATGGGTCTGAAAAGGTGTGCAGCTGACAAGAAGTTCTTAATGAAATAAAGGACAAACAAAGAAGAACATTTGAAAATCATACAAAGAAGCTGTTGGTATTCTCAGAACAATGGACTGACCAGCCCACAGCTCAACATCATTGAATGTATTTGGGATGTTTTGAATTGTGAGAAAACCAACTTCTAAGCCTGAACTTCGTGTGTGGAATCATATCTCTGCAGCTTTCCTTGAAAAACTGAAAGCAAGTCTCTCCAAAAGAATGGAAGCTGTACAAAAGCAAGAAATTATAGAAATGGAAGGTCAGACTTTCACACAGCACTGCAAACAAAGAAAAGCATCAGGCTTATACTGGTGGTGATTGGGTGAGTTAGAGTCAGACAGCTTTGTTGAACTCCTTCTTATAGTTTTCTTAATGGCACTGAACAGCTTAACATCCATCATAATGCAGCCGTCAACTACAGCAACTATTGCCACTCCTCATAATGTTCACTATAGATGGCTGATATGAATGAAAGAAGCTACTCCAGCAGTTTGTCAATAAAGCTGTTAGTCAAAGCTCTCGAGTAGGCAACATCCATGGAGACTCATCATCCTGTTCTTAGAAGAAGCGAAACCAAAGGAAACAGAAGATTATCTCCTCATTTCAAAGACATTAAGCTGGCTTGGTTTACTGTGCAGACCACATGAAGTTTTCTAGTAAGTAAATCCAGAAAAATCCTGATTAGTTTGCCTAATCTCTAAATGTAAGATAAAACTTTGCTATCTCATCCCTGAGAACTAACTGGGTCCACTGCCTTGCAAAATTACATGGCTGCAATCTAGGAAAAGTAGTTTTTCTCATCTAACTCCTCTTCTCACGGATACTTTCATGGACTGAGGAGTGAACCGATAATTTAGCTCATCCAAATTCAGTTTGAAAACCCCTGTGGAATCCCAGTATGCTCAGTCGCAATTCTAATTAAGTTGGCTTGAAAAAGCCAACTTACTGTTCTTCGTAATCTTCTTCTTCTTCTTACTATTATTATTATTATTCTATACTCAACAAACTAAATGCTACTCCTCCTACAGTTTTCGAGCTAGAGCCACGAAACCTGGCAGGATCGTAGGACCCATACCCACGGGTGTGCTTGTGCTTTTCTAAGCGATCCGACGTACGGTTTTCCCACAAATTAACGTTCAAAGTCGATATTTTTTCCCATAGGGAATGAATGGGCGGAATGTTGGCAGCATGCCACACATGATGTCACAATGGCCCATTAACTCACACACCCATCCAAACTGACGCACGGTGCCCTAATGTCTCACCCACTCCCAGCCTAATGCTCAGCAGTGTCAGCACACATAATGATTTGTTAAGGTGGAACTGCTTTTAAGGTGGAATTGCACTTAGGTAGCACTGAATTTTAAGGTGGAACTTCTTTTAAGGTAGCACTGAGTTTACACTGACACTGAAATTAAGGTGGAACTGCTTTTAAGGAGGAATTGCACTTAGGTAGCACTGAATTTTAAGGTGGAACTTCTTTTAAGGTAGCACTGAGTTTACACTGACACTGAAATTAAGGTGGAACTGCATTTAAGTTAGCAATGAATTAAAGGTGGAACTTCAATTAACATTGGACTAACTTTAAGGAGGCACAGAACTTAAGGTGGACATTTAAGGTGGAACTCTTTAAAGTAGCACTAAAATTAAGATGGCACAGAATTTAAGGTGGAACTTGGTTTAAGGTGGCAATGCAATTAACATAGCATTAAATTTAAGGTGGCACATAGTTTAAGGTGGAACTCTTTAAGGTAGTGCTAAAATTAAGGTGGCACAAAATTTAAGGTGGAACCTCATTCACAGTAGCAACTGGCAAAGAATTGCTATCCTCCACGGATGCTGCAGCTTCTGCTTAGTAACATTTTGGCAGTATTTTAACAGCTATCAACAGCCTTCAACCATTTTAACTTTGACCATTTTAACCATTTTAACTTCTTTTAAGGTAGCACTGAGTTTACACTGAAACTGAAACTAAGGTGGAACTGCTTTTAAGTTAGCACTGAATTTAAGGTGGAACTTCAATTAACATAGTACTAAATTTTAGGCGGCACAGAATTTAAGGTGGAACTGCAATTAACATAGCACTAAATTTAAGGTGGCACAAAATTTAAAGTGAAACTTCATTCACAGTAGAACTTCGCAAAAAATTTCCATCCACCACGGATTCTGCAGATTCTGCTTAACATTTAGCAATATTTTAACAGCTATCAACAGCCTTCAACCATTTTAACCATTTTAACTTGTTTTAAGGTAGCACTGAGTTTACACTGAAACTGAAATTAAGGTGGAACTGCTTTTAAATTAGCACTGATTAGGGGAACTTACTAGTACTAAATTTGAGGCGCACAGAATTTAAGGTGGAACTGCAATTAACATAGCAAAAAAATCAAGGTGGCACAAAATTTAAGGTGGAACTTCATTCATGGTAGCAACTAACAACGAATTACCATACACGACAGATACTGCAGCTTCTGCTTAACAAAATTTTGGCAACATTTTAACAACTATCAACAGTGTTCAATCATTTTAACGTTTTAACGTAATTAACTGGCTTTTTCAAGCCAACTTAAAGTTCGTTCACGAACTTTCCCTTTCTAGTTCTCATATTGCTGTTGTCGGGACAAAACCTCAAATCTCCATTTTGGTCGTTTTTCAGTTTTTGACATAACTTGAAAATGCCTGTTGTCCTTTACATTGTGTGTAAATTTCATGATGAATGGACCAAAAAAGTGGCCAAAAATGACTTGGGGGAAAAAAAACTTGTTCCATTGACTTACATCAAAAATAAAGCAGGCTTTTTCCTTCTTCTTCTTAAGTTACCATTTTGGAGGTTTTGTTCCAACAATAACAATGTTTTAAAAATACTATCATTATGATTATTTGGTGTCGTAATAGCAAACTTAAATCAGCATTCCATATGAAATCTATAATTTAAACAGATTAAAGACAGCTTGGAAGAATTTAGCCAACATTTCCTTCAGGGAAACATGCATTCTTTGGTTTGGCAAATGAGTAAAAAGATCTCAAAAAGCCTAGGAAAGAGGCTAGCATTCCCATTTTATGCCTCAACTTTATAGAGATTAAAGAGATTTTATGGCTACACATTTATTAATGATAGCATTCATGTCCTTAACACAAGACCACTAAGTAACCTGATATATATATATACAAACCTGATTCCAAAAAAGTTGGGACACTAAACAAATTGTGAATAAAAACTGAATGCAATGATGTGGAGGTGCCAACATCTAATATTTTATTCAGAATAGAACACAAATCACAGATCAAAAGTTTAAACTGAGAGAATGTATCATTTTAAGGGAAAAATATGTTGTTTCAAAATTTCATGGCGTCAACAAATCCCCAAAAAGTTGGGACAAGGCCATTTTTACCACTGTGTGGCATCCCCCCTTCTTCTTACAACACTCAACAGACGTCTGGGGACAGAGGAGACCAGTTTCTCAAGTTTAGAAATAGGAATGCTCTCCCATTCATGTCTAATACAGGCCTCTAACTGTTCAATCGTCTTGGGCCTTCTTTGTCGCACCTTCCTCTTTATGACGCGCCAAATGTTCTCTATAGGTGAAAGATCTGGACTGCAGGCTGGCCATTTCAGTACCCGGATCCTTCTCCTACGTAGCCATGATGTTGTGATTGCTGCAGAATGTGGTCTGGCATTATCTTGTTGAAAAATGCAGGGTCTTCCCTGAAAGAGATGACGTCTAGATGGGAGCATATGTTGTTCTAGAACCTGAACATAGTTCTCTGCATTAATGGTGCCTTTCCAGACATGCAAGCTGCCCATGCCACAAGCACTCATGCAACCCCATACCATCAGTGATGCAGGCTTCTGAACGGAGCGTTGATAACAACTTGGGTTATCCTTGTCCTCTCTGGTCCGGATGACATGGCGTCCCGAGTGTTCCATAAAGAACTTCAAATCGTGACTCATCTGACCACAGAACAGTCTTCCATTTTGCCACACTCCATTTTAAAAGACCCCTGGCCCAGTGCAAACGTCTGAGCTTGTGGAGCTTGCTTAGAAATGGCTTCCTCTTTGCACTGTAGAGTTTCAGCTGGCAACGGCGGATGGCACGGTGGATTGTGTTTACTGACAATGCTTTCTGGAAGTATTCCTGAGCCCATTCTGTTATTTCCTTGACAGTGGCATTCCTGTTTGAGGTGCAGTGACGTTTAAGGGCCCGGAGATCACGAGCATCCAGTAGAGTTTTACGGCCTTGACCCTTACGCACAGCGATTGTTCCAGATTCTTTGAATCTTTTGATGATGTTATGCACGGTTGATGATGATAACTTATTTTACGCCGGGTAACACCATTCTGGTATTGCTGCACTATCTTTCTGCGCAACAATGGTGGAATTGGTGATCCTCTTACCATCTTGGCTTCAGAGAGACACTGACACTCTGAGAAGCTCTTTTTATACCCAATCATGTTGTCAATTGACCTAATTAGTGTTAATTGGTCTTCCAGCTGTTTGTTATATGCCCAATTTCCTTTTTCCAGCCACTTATTGCTACTTGTCCCAACTTTTTTGGGATTTGTTGACGCCATGAAATTTTGAAACGACATATTTTTCCCTTAAAATGACACATTCTCTCAGTTTAAACTTTTGATCTGTGATTTGTGTTCTATTCTGAATAAAATATTGATGTTGGCACCTCCATCATGCATTCAGTTTTTATTCACAATTTGTTTAGTGTCCCAACTTTTTTGGAATCCGGTTTGTATATATATATATATATATATATATATATAGAGAGAGAGAGAGAGAGAGAGAGAGAGAGAGCATAAATAATAATTTGTGCATTAATATTCACAGAAGTGTGTCTCTAAAGATGACATGCTAACTTATTTTCACTTAAAAAAATCAACAAAACCTGTAATTTTACCAGGGGCGCCCAAACTTCTGCATACGATTGCAGATACATCATCGTAGCTCCCTCTTCAGTAACTCATTAGCAGGCGGAAAAGGGCCAAAAACCTCAAGAAGCAAAACGGAGAAGACTACGCCAGACATCTGGCTGAAACTCAAAATGAGCGTTGGGAATGAGCATTTTTGTAGTGCTATATCTCTCAATCACTCAGCCACTGAAGACCCTGACTAGACTTAAGTCTGGCACACACCCAAAGCAGGATTTCCTGTCTCCTGATCTCTGCTCCTCACCTACCAAAGAGTTCTGCATATGGCACATTGCTTTCAAACACAAACAGTCAGGAGACAAGCACTAACATAAAGACAAGAACGGGAAGCACACTGGAATTATATAAACAAAACTATAAATGTCTGCATTTTTGTGGCGCTGTCACAGTATGTGAGAGTTCGCAGCAAAAAGCTTACAAAAACGTAACATAAATCGACATCGTCAAAAAAAAAAATACGCATGTTTGTGCATCCACTTTTATCTGCCTATCTGAGGTCCTATTAGAAACACTGGTTTTGTTTTAGAGAGGCAGCTCCATCTGCTGGGAGCCTGTCTGCACTCCAAGTAGAGACGCACCATTTGTGATCCCAGCTCTGCATATAGACCTGAGATCGGCAACCCAAATGTTAAGAAGAGCCATTTTGTCCTTTGAACAAAAACAACCCGCCTTGTGAGCCACATTTTATGCCTAAATATTGAAGTTACGTTTCACCATCTTGGCTGTAAATATGTCTTAGTATGTGCCAATGTCCTGGCGTATGCTAAAAAGTTAATATAATAGAAAACGCAGACTTACTTTGCTTTGCTTTAAGCTTTAGCTCAGCTGTAACTGCTATTCTCGCGTCTTTGGTGGCAAACCTTTCCTCAACAGTAGAGCAGTTTCCTGTAGAATGTCTCTCAAGGTTCGACTTCTTACGAGGCTGAAGTCGCTTCTCATTCGCCAGCTTCTTGTTCGAATTTCTCCGTTCCACCTTAACTGGTGCAGTAGTTACATTCTGGCGCCTTAGGCACCATTTAAGGTGGAACGGGAAAATACGAACAATAAGCTGGCAAACGAGAGGCTGACTGCAGCTTTGCGAATTTTTAGTGTTTTAGAGTTTCTTGCTGCAGATTAAATGTATCAGGAAACCAGCTGGAGTGCTTATAAATGCAAATAAATCCATTTATCTCCAAATTATCGATGTTCGTCTTGAATCTTTCTCTCCGCTGTTTCGTTAACCTAGCTAAAAGCTAGGCGAGACTCTTCTGCGTTGCTATGGTGACCAGCAGTCTGCGCTCTAACCTTCAGGGTCAAAGGGTGAGTTAGCAGTTATACATTAACTCCAGCGTTTCAGACCATTTATTGTTAAAACTGTGTTAGAACGACCAGCAGAGCTTTATTTTACTGCAAAGGAGTTTTTTTTAATTTTCACTTAAAAATCTAATTCGTCTGTGGAGCCGCAACAGGGCAGTAAAAGAACCGCATGCGGGTCCGGAGCCACGTTGCTGACCCCTGACCTAGACTGCCACTAAAATACTCTTTATTGATGAGTTCTACTGAATAAGTAACTCAATAAGGTAAAATTGTTCCCAGTTATTTTAAATGCACAAGAAAGATACATAGCGTTTACAGCATTTATGAGCGTTTTCCCACTGCACAAAGTACTGAGACCTTTAGCAGCAGAAAACTGCCTGTACTTGTTCCATTGGTCTGACACCAGAGGTTCCAATTTTATGTTTTTTGGTGCCAACAGTACCTAATGGCACTAGAGAGGGTTCCCCTCTGTCTTCAGTAACAATTGCAGCTGAAACTAACAATAATTCTAAGTTTCATGCTTGTTACATACTCGCTTAAGTTGCTCACTCCAACCATTATAGAGGCGTCCCAGGTCCCCCGCCATCTGCCGGAGCGCTTGCCTCCTTTGAGCTTCTGTCTCAGCGTGAATAAGGTCCCCCAACCCCTCCACTTCAGTCAGGTCCAACTTCCCAGCATGGAAAGCCCGTCGGGTAAACTCCCCTGCCTCTGCAGGCCGCAGCCCAGGCAGACTTCCTGAGGCACAAATACAAAACAGATTAAGAATCTGTTTAATCACTTAACGATAGATGTTTTATTGAAGAGTTGACCAAGATATAGGTCCATTAGAATTTAAGTGGTTAAAGTTTCAGTGTTAATTTGAGAAAGATAGCACGCTCAATCAGGGGCGTCAAATCATGGGTGGACTGACTAACCAGGGCCCTCCATAAATGGGGGACCCTCAAAAAGCCTCGGAAATAAACTGATTTTGGTGTCTAATTTTGATACTCTATCTTATAAAAATAAATGATACGAGATTGCATTTTCCATGATAATCTTTCAAGCATGGGATTTGATTCAGTTCAGCAAGTAGGTATTTTTAAAATAGCAACTCTGCCTTTACTGATGAAAACATAAGGCAAGGTGAACTCAACAAACTAGGTTGCTAAGAGGTAACTTCAAGCAACGATCGTCGAGCAGTTTCAGTGAAAATGACAATAAGTATATTTAAATACATTTTTAATTCTCTTTTCAACTTTCCTCTGATTACATTGATTTGAACAGAGACCAAGTTTGATTTCAGTCCTCAGTGAACTACAAGATTGATGATTCAAAGCAGACTGCTTTATCAGCTGTTTAACCCTGAGAATATCATATCAACCAACTACATAAAGAAACACAACATAATAAACACATCCGTTTTTTTCTTTCATTTATTTTCTAGGGAAGAAAGAGGAAGGGGACCCAAAATTTGGTGCTGCATGGCGATCTGAACTGCTGCTGGGAGACATCAAGTGAAAAACTTTTTTTTTTTTAAATTGAGCGCTGGTTTGAGTTTATATACTACAATTTGCTCTGGCTACCAAATAGTAGTGAGGTCCGATTCATGAACAAATTATACTGACCAGTGCATACCAACCAACCTCATAAAAAAATACAGCACAACAAATACATTATACATTTTTCCTTTCCTTCATTTTCTCAGGAGGGAGGAGGGGGGCCAGGGCACGCTACTGTGCCCAGGGCCCAAAATTTGGTGCTACGCCCCTCTCTGTGGAGTGGAATATACTTCACAAATAAACCCTGGGTAAAGCACTCACTGCCATCTTGTGGTTACAGTGTTCTGTCGGCTCTCTCAGCCAGGAACCAAACACCTGTTTCAACTTTAAACTGGAGTCATATGACCAGTTCATCCAACACATCATACAATAAATTTAAATAATTTATCAGCCACAGATGGAAAAGCAAAAAAAAAAATTACCAAGGGCTTGCAAGACGCCAGTAATGACAGCAGGTCCACCATGTATGTGAAACTCTGCAATGTCCTCTCCAGTGAAGCTGTGAGGGCCTGAGGGAAGGTAATACACATATTTACTCCCAGGTAGTGATTACAGTACACCACATAACAATCTTAATAGATCTTGATTGTCTAGATTTCTAAATAGTCCATTTGTTTTATAAATTCATCATCACTTTTGACAACTGTATAGTTTCATGCTGTATAGTTTAAAATTTTCCCTGCTCTAGGACACTTGGCTCATGCAAAGCTCCGCCCCTGAGTTGCATAACATATTAAATCAAAGAAGAAACTGTAAAGTGCTGTAATTAAACACTTTCTCCTGACAGGAAACACTGGCAGTGGTTTACTCAGAAGCCTCTTGAGAGTGTAAGTTAATGTTGGCTTAATATACGTACTGTGTACAGCCAACACTTCATTTTGTACTCTTTGTGGGACCCTTGTACATTTGAGAATCTGGTGTGTTGTGTCATCACATCACAACACACACACACACATATTATAATACATACACATATATGTTTATATGTAAGTGTATATATATATATATATATATATATATATATATATATATATATATATATATATATATAAAGCAATTTAGGAATTAGAGACAAAGGTTATAGACAAAATGAAAAAGGTAAGAAAAACTATAAGAAGATTTAATTTCGTGTATCTGGCCCCTGTATGTATGTCAGAGCACTGGGCTAACTAAATGTGCAGGCAGGGGAGACAGGGCTACTGCAGGACCGGGGCTGGTTGGGAAACACTGCTGTGAACAAACCTGGAAACCACAGTACCAGTCCGCGGTCCAGCACCTCCTTGGACTGAGGGTGAACGATGCTACGCAGAAGGGCAGTGCGAGGGGCGGGGAGCCCGCAGCTCAAGCCGGCCACACTGCGAAGAGCCCCGGCTGCCGCTGGTCCGCTGACCCGCACCACTGCCACTCCACACCGTCCCTGCCCCGAGGACAGAGCGAAGACGGTGTCAGCGGGTTCAGCGGCGCTGCTGGCTGAGGAAGCACATCTAAATCCCAGTCGTAGCCTGAAGAGAAACACCTAACATTAATTAGTCGATTTCACTGGCGTCTTTCTCTCAGCATCAGATCAGTAGCTAAATGAGTCACACAAACCCTTCACGGTTTAAGAGGAAGGTGCTTCTCCGGCAGCACGTTAACATCATGGTAACACTTCTGGTTTATTACTTTGGTTTGGGCGTTATATAAGTCGTTACACTCAGAGTTAGGCTTATTTTATGAGCGCTGCTTAACATCGTTTCTCTTTTCTTGCTAGCCATAAATAAATGTAGGCATTAAACAAACTCCGCTTTCCATCCCCCGCTTACGTGTGAACTACATGTGAGTTTCTGTTTAAACAGCCATTCGGTTTGTTGATGATGCGAATCTCATTGGTTAGCTTCAGTAAACTACGTAGATTTCGGAAGGCTGTGATTCGCAGTTCCTGCTGTCAATCAAATGAAACCCCACCCTCTGCGCACTTGCTTAATGTCTCCGTGTTGACACCGCAAATGAAACATACGGATAGGTCCGTTTCTTTAAGACCACTAATACAGAGCAATTTTAATATGAATAATGCATATCAAACATGTTATGTTTATGCCAAAAGATGGATTTCAGCCATGTTTAGACTTCATGACCTTAAATGCGTGGCGTTCATAGTGTAATTGGAGGAGTCAGCATAATCTATCACATTAGCAGAACCATAGCAGAACAGCATCCACCAGTTTTCTACATAATGTGTTGCCCCCTTTTCTAAAAACTGCTTTATGCCTCATTTCTTTACCACAAAAACTAATAATAATAGTATTGTACACATCTTGTCCCATAGCAGGGGTGGGGAACAACACAGTTTGGTGATTTCCCTGCTGGCTGATGAGTTGAATCAGGTGTGCTTGAGCAGGAAAATCACCAAACTGTGCTGGATTCCTCACCCCTCTCCTATAGCCTCACTATTACACTTTAAAGATCGCATATTCTAAATTTTCTTGGTATTTTACGCTTTCCCTGAGGTCCACTCACAATGTTTGTGTGGGTGCATTAACCAAAAAAGCTATGCTTAAATTGTATGACTATTTTTTAGTCTCCCTTTCTCCCTTAGAATTAAACAGGCTATTATTGCTACTGTGCTTTTGAGACTGATATTTGTAAATGACCTCTGTTCTGACTGGCTGCCCTGTGTTGCGCCTCATTTAAAAAAGCAGTCCAGGCTGAAACACTCCATATAACTTCAGTGTGAATAAGGTGAGGCTAAACAGCTGTAGGCTGAATAGACAGATACTGGTAAATGTGTTGGGTTTTGTGACATAAAAAAAACACTGAATTCAAAATGGACTGTTCAAATTGACTGTGGGGACCAGGGAAGGAAATGATGCATTTTTGCAGTTTAACAGTGTCTACATACTACATTAAACATCTCAGCAAATTATCTCAGCATGTTACTATAATAATCATCCATTAACTGATATGTAGACCTATAGGAAATAATCTGTCAAACGCACGGGCAATAAGACATTTGATCTATGACCTGGGAGCATTATGTGCTACCGGAGCTGTACAGTGCACCGGGCCTCACTGCAGAGGTGGTGAGACATGAGGATGGTGAGTAAGCAGAAATTATATGGCTTAGCTTCCTCTTAGCAGAGAATGGGGGGGGGGTGCTCAGTAGCTGCCAGCGCCACAGAAGTACATATAGACTTTTCAGTAGTGAGAATTTTAGACCATGCTTGGTTGCCTAAGGCCAGCGTACACACAAGAGGATCTGTGTTATTTCAGTAGAAGTTCTGATTTGACAGATAACACTGTGACATATTCTGTAATTTATATAGTGGAACTGATCTACCTGTTTTGTCCAACTGTTCAGAATGATAAGTTATCTTTATCTGTATATGAATCATGCAAAAAATATTCAGCTTGGAGGATATTTTTTGCGCTGATGAATAAATCATATAGCACTTCATCCTCTTGAACAGGCTGAGCCTCATTAGTTGCACCATTTTAGGCCCTGCACCTGCACTGAGGCTGCAAACATGCCTCAACTTCTTGAGAAGTAGATGTAGGCAAAGTTTCAACCTCCTGCACTCAATAATCATTCAAGAACTGCTGGTTATGTGCTCTTTGGATGAAATGTGCTGAGTGACAGCAAAACACAATCCGTTGTACAAGGCAGTTATGTCTGAGTGGAGAAGGTAAGATGGATTCAGATATTATAGTGTTATAAATACAAATGTAATTGTAGTGCAAAATGGCTTTATTATTTGGTATCTATGACATTCATGTCCTATAATACTCCAATAATACTAATACACCATTCCTTGTAAGTTAATGTCCTATATGACCTGAGTCCACCTCTTCATATTGAGGCAGTTATTGAGCAATTTAGGACAGTAAAGGTGTCTATTGTTTATAAGCCTCAGTGGTGAAGCTGTAACAAAACCAACTGACAACCTTATATATACATTTATATCTGCATACATTATTTAAACTAAAAACAAAAACTTTATCTGTTTTTCTCTTTCCTTGAGAAGACATACGAGAGCCAAAGAATGCAAAATGGTTGAACCATAAATGACCTGCATTACAGGTGAATGGATAAAAGACTTCCACTCATTTTTCTCAAAACCATGCATATCATTAGTAGTTCAATTAAGGAAGAGAAAGATGAAAAAGAAGAGGGAAGATGGAGATGGAAAAGAAGATAGAACTAGAAAAAAAACAGGAAGGGTGAGAGATGAGAACTGAAGAGAAGGGAGGGAAATAGAAAAATAATGACAGAGAGAGAAGAAAGAGAAAAATAAAGGAAAAGCAACACAGTGAGACTTGGTTAGAAAGAAGAGTGAGAGAGAACTAGACAGAGAGAGAGAGAGTGTGTGTCCTCCTCCTCCTCTTTGTCCCTCCTCCATAGTAAAGCCTCCCCTCTCCTCCAAACGCGCTCAACCTGCTCTCATCCCGCCGCGCACACACGCGATGCCCGGCAGCCGCCTGCCGTCTGCGCTCCCCTCCATTTAGCCCCACATCCGATCCGCGCTGGACGCTTTTGGGAGTTAGCAGAGCACTCTTCACCCCCGTTTTTCCCCCGGGAAACAGCACCAGCCCCCCTCCCTACCCCTCCACCCCGTCCCCGGTCCCTCCGCGAAGCAGCATGCCCGACTCGGCAGCGGCGTCCACCAGCAGCAGCGGCGATGCCGAAGGCTCCAGACACCGAGGCCGGCCGCAGGGAGCCGGAGACGGGGAGCCCAGCGCCTCCTGCCAGCCTGCGGCTTCTGGCGTTCTGAGTGAGTTTCTTTCCGCCATTCAGACCGCAAAAACCTGGGAAAGACGAGGGGCCCGAGGAGCATGTGGATGTGAGGGGAGAGCATAATGAGTCGCTGTTCACCACACTCAACCTCCTTTTGTCTGTTCGGTCCGACACGGCCAGCCGAAAACGTGACCATCACAGCGGCACGAGAATGAATTGTCGTATGTATCTCAGGCCTGGAAGGTCACAGACAGTTTTGTGTCAACATTACTTGAAATTCGCCATTAAAACGGGAGAGGGAGAGCCAGTCGGCGTCCAGCGTTACGTTTCGTGCTCGATTAAACCATTTGCTGGCCTTTTTGAGGCAGGTTAAGTTTCCTGGGGCAGCTTGTTTGGTGGTGCTGGGTGTTTTTTGAGGGGTGCAGTGTTTTAGCCACATGCAGGCTAGTGTTCGTTTCCTTGATGCGGCTGGTTGGGAATTAGCCAGCTTGTGATGGCGCGGTTTGGTCTGCTTTTTTAAGACGTTAAGTGCCTGTATGCAGGCTGGCCATTTTCTGTCTGAGGAGTAATGTTGGTGTGCTTGTCTGGTTAGTCAGTGTTCAGCGTTTGAGGGCTTTGTAACGCCTCATTTGGGGCGTTTTTTGGTGTTGTTTTCTGCTCGCATCATCTTGCACCCTTGTTCTTATGCGGCGCAGCGTGATGCAGTCAGCTAAGCCAAGACATCTGTAGTGGAAAGGACACTCAGCTCACTGGATCACAACTCCGGCTGCAAGAGTGCGTGATGTCATCAATATGATGTCACTGTGCTGTATAATCACCTGACGGGTGCAGGTATGGTCCACTCTGGCCTGCAGCAGGTTAGCTTTTCGGTTTCAGCTTGGCTCTTTTTTGGGCATGGTCTGTCAACAAGGGACTGGTGAGTCTGTCACAATATGAGCTTTCTTAGCAGGATGGAGAAGAACTGGGAAACCCCTGAGAATGATGTCCCAAAGTGTGGTGAATGCCCTAAAAAGACCTCATAGTCATGCCTTTTGGGAGTTTTGTCCATGTAAGAGGCCCTTTTTGTTCTCAAATAGACTCTTTCCACTGAAAACTGTTTTTGTCCGGCAACTGAAAACTAACCCAAATGAACCAAAACGTATGCCATACTTTACATTACAAATAGTATTTGTGGTGCTGGTATCCACAGGTATTTAACATTTAGGAGAAAGTGTGTACTGCATGTCCTGTCACGTATTATTAACCAAAATTTTGGCTGTACTTTAAAGGAAGTTATTGTGCAGTTTCATTACTGTGGTTAGGACGAGGCTGTTGTTCCACCCTTGCTTCAGGAGCCACAGACACATAGTGTTTACTTTGTACTTTGTTGACATTTTTATTCTTCCGATACATGAAGCAGTAATTATTCATTCAAAAATTGCAGTTTTTTGTCCATTTTTAAAAATCAGACTTTCAATCATGCAACACACTTCAGAGTGGGAGTTCTGGGTGATAATACCTCTAATACATTGTAATAAACTGGTTGTTACAATGTCTTTTCTCAACCCACATCACTTTTCCTCACCTACTCACTGGAGTCGTGAATATTTTTTGTGGCTCTGCATTGTAAAATAATTGTTGTGGCTTCCATTTTACACACAGAATTTCCCAGAGCTTTGCATAATGCAGTGATTCTGAATGTGGAGATGGACGTGGGTGGTGTGCTGTGATTAAATTAGTTTGAATTAAATTAGATTATACTTTGTTTCTTGCATATTTGAGAGCATTTGTTTTCCATATACAGTTCAAGTTTGCAGCATGCGGCCGCAGATTATTTCTCACACCATGTCCGTTAATGTTCAGCGTGTGTGCCATCATTTCATTCGGCACCTGCTGGTTTTGTTTGGAATTGTAGCACAGTGTTCTGGATAGTCTAAAAAGCTCTGTTTTTGGAAAGAATGAATCAGAATCAAAATCTATATTTGCCAAGTACCAGATGCATGAGGAATTTCTTTTGCCCAGTGCCCAGTGATAATGCAGTTTAGTTCAAGACTACACTTTTAAAAAAGATGGTTCTTCAAAGGTGCTTTAGTAAAAATGGTTCTCTTTAGAACCATGATTTAAGTGTTCTTTGCATTGCGAAAAGGATCTTCACGTTGATGGAGAATGTGTTGTAGATGGTTCTATGTAGCACCAAAAAAGGGTTCTTCTATTTTAAAAAGCTTGACATTGTAAAAGTAGAACTATATAGAATCATCTACAGCACATTCTCCATAAATGTGAAGAACCCTTTCGTGATGCAAAGAACCCTTTAATCGTGCAACGGGTTCTTGGAGTTTTCATGGTTCTATATAGAACCATTTTCTTTACTAAAGAGGCCTTGACGGACCATCTTTTTAAGTGTGTAGACATCATGTGTGCCTGTACAAGTATACCCTCCATGGTAAACCCTCCTGTTATCACTGCTCTGCTTACAGCAGACAATAAGTGAACTTCAGTGCTGGTGCGTATGATCAGGTACATCAATTATACTGCACCACACCTCAGTCATCCTGTACGGACTTGTTTTGTAGGAATGCACACATTTTGTTCCGTAGTGACAAAGTATTTATTTGTACTGTTAAATTCTCTGGATTTGAATCCACCCATGGTTGACTTGGAACAATTTTTGGGACCTGAAAAAAAAGCGTGGTTAATCCTCTGCCAACTGGCTTTTTCCACAACATTTATGTTGGCAAATATTCCTGGAAATAAAGAGAGCAAGAGCAAAATAAGGTCTGCACATATCACTTAAACAGTGGACTCATAAACATAGTTCTGAAGATAAGGATGAAGTTGTTTTTGAGGTTTTTTACTAAGCAAAGCGTATATGCATTTTCAATGTCTGGATCTTTAGAATAATAATAATAATAATGAAAAAGACCAGATGTATTTCAAGCGTTTGGGGAAACTGTGCTGAAACATGGTTTCTATCCTTGTCTGTCCTGGTACTACGCTCAAGGTCACATATGAAGCACAATTACAGCAGCTCTTGTCATTTGACACCATTTAGATCGAGCTGAATGAGAAGACGCTGGAACAGATTTACATGTTAAAACAGGAGTCAGTGAGGTCAGTTATTTTCCCAATGTAAATAATTTAGTACATTATTCCTTGCCTCAGTTTCTAGCCATCTGTATTGCTTGGGCACGTTACACTGTTGCAGAAAAATCAACCCCCCATCTTTGGAGGAGGGAGATGTGTTTCAAATGCGCATCTGTCGTTTCTTCAGATAAAACCAGTTTCCTCAGAAACATCAAATGGTTTAATTTATTATGTTCCTTCAGTTTGTATGGTGTATGCAATGAACCCCTCAACCCCACTCATTTTTACCAAGAAGCTGTAGGAAATATAATGTCACTGTGTAACTAATGATGGTGAAAAAGGTTTATTAGATTATAAAAATACTATTCCCATACATCCTATATCATAATAATAATAATCAAATATGTCAAAATATGACTGAAGGCCTGCGTTGGGCTGTTTGGGTGATCTGTATTGGAGTCATCTACCTTTCTATGCTGTTGTGTGAGAGAAAATAAACAGTGTTAATATTCAGTGTCTGTGTCACACGCCGATGAATTCCATTCTCACTTTCTGTCTGGATTCTGTTTCTGATTATTTTTCATGCAGGATCATCTTTCAAAAATCCTGAAATTTTTAAGTGCTTCCGTGGGATTCAGAGAATCAAGCTGGTGTTCATAGATTCAGATTCACTTGCTCATTCATAATTTGAGTGCTCTCTCACAATGCTCTATTCAGCCTGTTAGATAACTAGGAACTGCATCTCAGAGAACATCCTATTTCAGGGTCTAGGAAGAGCATTTTAATGAGGACAGCGTACTTAACTCAGTGTTGAATGATCAGTGTTTCTTTGGAAGTTTCTTGCAAGCACCAATTTAGCAAAGCATTGACGAAAAGATAAATAGTGAGTGAGTACACTAACAGCTACTGAGTGCATTTGGTGTTTCTTAACATGTTGCTGCATGTACTTGCACAAATCTTGTTTGAATAGCCAGTCAGTGGCCATGAGGAATTTGTGGTGGAGCTCAATAGATGTCTAGATGTCTGTGTCGGGAAAAATATTATTCATAAACACATTGTGATAAACAGGAGTTGGGCACTTGGGCCTGTTTTGGCAGATTTGTCACCACTTTTGCTGGAGGACAATAGAGCCATATCAGTCTTTACATGAAGTTCTTTTAGTGGATATTGAATCCATCAGCATTCTGCTTTCGAAACACATTTCCAGCTACAAGGGGCCGGACAGCTGAGCCACTGTGGCTGCCGCTGGTAGGTGTAGCCTGCTAATGCAGGCTGTTCTTGGAGCATTAGCTCATCATGTCTGCCTGTCATCTCGGTTGTTTGTCTACATGACACAAAAGACCTTTTCTCTCCCCCTCAACAGCGCAACAGAGGTCAATTGCATTTGTCTTGTGATTGAAATACGCTGGAAATGGCCTCATTTAACATCGGAAACACTTGGCTGTGTCCCAGAGCGCACCTGTTCTGGTGCTCTTAAGTAACGTGGGGCGCAAATGGGCAAAATAAGGCAGCCCATGAGTGCTACCTGCAGTAGTTCGGCTGGGTTCAAGTGAACAGGCCGTGAAATGCATGAATTTAGTGGTGGTGCATGGTTCGCATTTGGTTAACAGTTTAAAAAAAAGGATAGCAATGCAACATTTCCTGTGAAATGGATAGTAAGTTAAAAATATAGCACCTTTTAAGCTTGCACATTTTTTTTTGCTTCCTCTTCAACACATGCAGTGGGTCACCACAGCTGCTGCTCATGCAATGTTGAAGGACAGCTGAATTTGCTCAGAGTGCACTATTTACTTCGCTTCTGGTCCCTTGCTGACCCCCCAGCCAATGCACAGCTCGGTGTAATATAGTGTCGTACCACCTGCACATGTGATAAAACTAGACGAAGCTTACTCTGTCCTATACTGTCTCTATAGTAACTTTACACAACCAGATAGAAAATGAAGGAACTATACATGTGGTTGAAAGTTTTTGTTGATATTTAAGCACTTTTACAAGCAGAAGTGACAGCAATTTTTTGTGAAATTTTAAGGGTGTGAAAAGTTGGCAGAATTTGTAACGGTTATGCTTTGCTTGCTAGCGGAAAGCAGCAGCGGCACTAAAGGAGCTGTTAAAATGTTAAGAGTCAGTTTCTGGTAGCTACATAGAACAAATTAACCTAATGAACTAGTTTTTTTTCACGTTGGCCTCAAAATCGTTATCAATACAAAATCGATACATTGAAGTGATAATGATGCACAGATTGAAATAAAACTGCCAGTCTTACAAGACATGTTCCAACAGCTAGGCTGCAGACGAGAATGGTGGGTCCTCGGCAGGCCTGTCCTATGAAGCCCTCTCATTTGTATTGCATAATGCAAAATGGAACAGTCTACTAATGCGTCTTTGTCACGTCATCAGAAAGGAGTTGGTGCTCCATTAGATGCTGTCCTCTAAGCTAAACACTGTTCAACTCAACAAAGGCAGGTACATTTCACACCCTTTTAAACAGATACACAACTAAAGAAATTGTGTACTGTATGTGTTACTACATTTCACACCTTTCTTTTTAACAGCATGTATTAGTCAAAGAATTATGGACGACAGAACTCTTTGAAGCATTATATGGTAGTGTCCTTGCAAACTGGAGTGTTGTATTCAAATGATTCTTCTGATTGGAACAACTTTGGATGATGCAGTGGTCTAGAAATGCTGCCCACCTAGACAGCAGCCTAGCTTTTGGAGGGCAGCTACTGCTATAACCCCTTAAAATACCAGGCTTATTACATACTAAGGCTTATTATTTAGTAACTACTGGGACTTCAGTGCAAACTGGTTGAGCTATTTTAGGTTATAGAAAGGTGTAATAAAACTTTGGCCATTTAAGGGGATTAAATGAACGAAAGCAAATTTCCTGTTTTGCTTAATGTCATTTTTCCATTTAGTTTATGGGAAATAAAGAGTTTTCCACTTTGTTTAGAGACTTGGCATCATTTACACGTATTTACAGCATACATGGACCTGGTTTCCATATGCACTGATACTTTGACTCAGTGGCAGGAGAATATAGGAAAGAATAAAAGCAGACTGATCATAGAGCCCTGTGGTACACCAAAAAGAATAGTATATCTTTTATAGATAGATATGGTTATCTAAACTAATTACTCAAGAACTGTACATTATAAAGTGGTGCTTGTTTATTTAAAATCGTTTTTGTCTGCCAAATGAGAACATATGGTGATAAGCCAAAAAAAGAAGAAAAACTTTTCTGAAAAACTCCTATACCAACAAGTACTTGGTATTTGGTACTTGTCATTAAGTAAGCTTAATTGTTAAATATCTTCTTACCCCAGCCTGAGTGATACAGAAAAAAATGTGTTAGATTCAGTTGCGTAGACCTACGGTAATACATGCAGAAACATTTTTTTAGTTTTACCTCTTCACAACTTCCATCATTCACTCTTTAGGAGAAAATCACTCTTCTGTGCCTTTAAAGTGGTAGTCTGTATTTCATTGCCTCCAGCTGTGGAAGTTCCATGTCAACTGAGTATTTGAACCAGTGGCGGCATTTAAGGATAATAAACATTGACCAAGTAGCCTTGTGACTAAAGCCTTGTGGTACGCTGTAGTGTTTGCCATGTCTTTTAGAGATATATTTAGAGTCAATTCCAGAGAGAGCAATCCACTTGCTTGTGTATACTGTGATATGCACTGTCAAAAGCAGCCCTTATTATTTATTTAAAGCTGTTCAACAGTCCACCAGGGGAGAAAAGGTACTACTGAGCAGACATGACTTCCTGAAAACTGAGTACATATATGACATCATCAGTATGCATTGATAGATTCATTAGCTATACAACGGGCCCCTTAGGCTGTCTTCAGCAGGACTTTTAAAAATGCATTAGACCTAATTGGCACAGAGTATCTGTGGGACAAAAGCTCTAGTGCTTTTGTCTCAAGTTGTATTAGGTGGTCACTTGCATTATAATACATCATCCCTACAGCACAAAATATTATACTTTCCAGTTATAAATAGAATGTAATGTATTTATAACATCAGTGCCTCCTAGGAAACGGACCAGCAGAAAGCTAAGTGACAAATGGTTGATTTGACAGGTGTTTATACTGGATGTCTATACTGGATGGTGAGTTATGGGAGAGATGATATGATATTGTCTGTCTGCGCTTGTGGAGAAATGACGGTCCTTTTGTCCTTACCAGAGCGTAACACAGGCCTCCAGGCAGAAAGATTGTGAGTCACATCAAGGGTTCAGAAGACAATATACAACACTAGCCATTTACTGTATTTCAGTTCCAAAGGGGATTCCTATAGTAGATATATAAGCTACGTCTAGCTGCCTCGTAAGTGAAATGGTCCTTGACCAGTGAAGTAGGGCAAATTGTTTTGCTGGTTATTAGGGTATTTTGTGGGGCACCTCTGAAGATGGTATTCAGTCTCAGTGTCAAACATGTCAATCATAAAGCTCCAAAGCTTGGAGTTAACAAATGCTGCTTTCTTGTATTGCTCTTTAGGGAATAGAATCGTAACAGATAATTTTCCACAATGCCTAGACAGTCATCCAAAATGCAAGAGATGATTGTTTGTGGAATGTGGCCCACTTTCAGAGCGGCAGCTTCAGAGTGAGCATCTCTGAGGACCTATGCCTCAGTGAGCACGGAGCCACTGCGGTCCAGCAAGCATTTACACACACACACATACACTGGCCTCAGAGTGCACCAAGCCATAGCCAAAAACCTTCATTTTAAATGATCTTTGCCTCCTACAGTTTCATAGTTAGTGAAAAAAATCTTTTCTAAGATTTGCTTCAGTATAACAAATCACGGATAAGAATAGCTGCAGTTGTGCTTTTCGTTTTATCTTGACACGCCCATCTTTGTGGAGAGGTATGAATTCTTCTCACACTAGAGAATTCTCACACCTCCCCTCTCATCCCCTATTGCTCACTAGCAGCTCAACATAGCCACAACGTTTTATATACAGAACAACAGTGCATGCATGCACTTAATAATCCGATAACTGCAGAAAATCTGATTTTGTCGAAAGTCAGGTCAACACGTTTACATGCACTTGAGTAATCAGATAATGGAAAACTCTGAGTCTACATTAGTCAGGCAGTAATCAGATTTCTGCTTTGTAACCAGCCAATAAACTCACAGAAGAAGATGTGATGTAAACATAATGTAAAACTCAAACTTTGTGCTGCAGCTTTTTTTTGAGTCGCTTTATCTGAACACATCATCTAGAAGATGAAGAATATTTAAATCCTTCATTTCATGAAGTATGTAGTTGGTTTCAGCGTTGCTCCAAAAGTGTTTTAGCAGCAACACTGCTTGCTTATTTTCGGTACCGGCATCTGTTTTCGCACGTGCGCAGACAGAGAAATTAGAAAGGAATCAGACTAAGAGTTCGCATGCACTGAGAAATCTGTTTACTGAGCTAAAATCCAGCACTCTTTATCGGATTTTTTAATCAGATTTCTAGACCTTACTCTAAGAAACCAGAGTGTGCTGTTTACATGACCATTTGAATAATCAGATAACAGCAGAAATCCCTTTATAATTGGATTATTGAGTGCATGTAAACACACTCAGTGTTATTAATCTGATAACAGAGTTGCAGGGAAGAACTTTCATTTGATAATATTATTTAAAAACATTTGATCTATTTCCATTTCGATGGTGGAATGGCCGCTATCAGACTTGCAAAAAGACACTACATTGCAAGCTCTCTTGATATAAGTTTTAAGCTCTGAAGCCTAGTTTAAAGCTTAGTTTAAAGCTGCATCAAGTCTTAATATCATTTACAAGCTAAACGCACCACTGATGCCAGCAATTCGGCAGGATGCACAGGACAGTACTTGCAGGAAACCTATGGGTAAATCAGTAAGCAAGCAAACTAACAAGAGCTACTTTTCCCCTTGAGAGCTTCCATCGTGAAATGAATCCACATACTATATGAATGAGAAGTACTGTCTTGTTTCTCCTAGCATTTATTTAGTATTTCTTTCCCTCTTCTTTTCATTATTTAATTTCTCAAGCCTGCAGTCTGAGCCGAATGCAACAGTTGTCTTTCACACTCCTACTGCTATGTGCTAATCTGTAATAGCGGGCATATCCACCCACCTTAGGTCCTGTTAACTCTAAGATGTAAAAGCAAACATGTCCAAGTGTATGAGGTAGAGATAATGTTCTCAACCCCAAATGCAAACATTAGCTCTCTCCCTCACGAGATGCCTCTCACAGCAGGCTGAGGCCCATATAACGTCCGGAGCAACAAGTAGCCAGGCCTTCAGGCCGAGAAGAGTTAAGCTTGCAAGTTTTATTTGTCACGTACAATGAGCTATACAGCCTGTAATTTGTTTAGTGAAAAGATACAGAAGCTGTACAGACATATTACAGAATAAGAGACAACAGTTTAGTGCATGTAGTGGAAAACATAACCCAAGACAGTAATACAGTACACACAACATACAATATATTACCAGTATACAAAACTACTTGGTACAATATACACAGAACACACCTGTTCACAATAGAAACATTACACGTGTTTGTTTAGGTGAATCTGATTTGCTTAAAAACAGATGCTGTAAAAGTCATGCCTGGTCATCTCATGTTGCAGGGAAAACATGGGTGACATTTTAACTTGGCAAAGAGAGATGGGAGCTGGAGTGTGTGTCTCAGAGTGTGTCTGTCTATCCATGGCAACATGGCAAGGTGACTGACTCTCATTCTCTCTCTCTCTCTCTCTCTCTCTCTCTCTCTCTCTCTCTCTGCCTGCCTCTATACTCTTTCTTTGGCTCCACAGATAAACTGTTTGGGAAGAGGCTGCTGCAGGCCGGACGGTACATCATGTCCCATAAATCCTGGATGAAGACAGTGCCCACAGAGAACTGTGACGTCCTCATGACTTTTGCAGGTGCTGCCATCTCTCTTCGCTTGTCCGTCCTTCTCTTTCTCTGTGGTGAAATAAAAGATCTGGGTAGGCATAAAGGTCCATTTAAGGTTTCAAAGAAGACATACACTACAATTCAGAAGATTGGAATCACTTATTGTTTAATAATTGTATTTCAATAATAACTTATATAGTGTAGGTTAAAATGTTGTAAACTGGACACCAAAATGTAAACTGATGTTTTTTTTTTCACAATTTAAAGTATTTTGGGAACAATGAAAAGTTATGACATGGTAAAAAAATGTTAAATGTTATTAAATAATACATTTTATTTATCTATTTATAGTAGTTTTATTAACATAAAACACCTGTGAATAGTTCCTAGTTCAGTGAGATTTGGTCTCCATTTTTGTAACACGAGGCTTTTTGGATATTGATTTTTTTATGTTTTTTCTCAATGTTTTTTCTTATACAGTGAAATCATTGACAGCTCTGTTCGTCATCAAAAATATCTTTATTTTTGTAGCTTCTTACATTTTTTTTGAGAACCTATAGACAGGGGAGGGCGATATGGCAAAAATGTTGTATCACGATACTTCAAAGCATTTTTAGTATACTCGATATGTATCAGAATATTTAGTTTTCTAAAACCTGTAGTGCCATAAAATTACTACAATAATGTTAAAAATAAATCTACATTTACAATAATTTTTATTCAACGGTTTACACACTCCTAATTACGCTGAGTTTGTAATGAAACATGTAGTTAGTGTTCATGAAGTGCTGACAATATCCACGATATGCTCAGAAAAGCTTATTGTGACATAATTCATCATGATAATGATAAAATATCATATTGCCCACCCCTACCTATAGAATATCAGCATCATATTAGAATCATTTTATACATATATCAGCAACAAAGTGAGTTTTTTATTATTGACAACAATGGTTTCAAACTTTTGAACGGTAGTGTGTGAGAGAGAGAAATGCAGTTCTGTGTGCATTTGTAATGTTTGTCTGTCCCCATTTAGGCCTCGTTTACATGTGGCATAAATATATGTCTTGGCTGGTCCAGTCATTAGTGGACTGCACTAAGCAGGTTTGAACTGTGTTTGTATCGGTTTCAGTGAGGTATTCTTGTCCCATCACTCAAAGCACCTTTGGAGGCGGTCAGAGACACAAGATAACGATTTGTAGTGTGCAGCATCTCAGTGTCTCCCGACCATAGACTGTATGTAAGACATATACAGTCTATAGTCCTGACAATAATTAAGGGCTGCATAATCAACCGCATCGTCACAGCAGAGGTGAAAGCACCTGCTTGGCATAGCTTATTTCCTCTCCTCTCCTGTTTGTGATCTAAACTTTAACTTTCATAACAGCCTGTGCATTTACAGGAGCAAGGACTCCTGGGACTGATTTTTTATAATGCGATTTTATATGCGAGACTGATGTAGTAAATGTGCCTCTGAGACACATGGAAATGCCAGGTGTAAGTGCTGAACATCTCACTGTTCACTTATAATCATTTCACTGCACATGCATGTCTTATCATAATAAAACACAATGAAGTCCTTAGTAGTGGTTATTATTATCGTTTTGCCACATGATTGATTTACATTACCTAATTATTTAGATATAATTACATAATTACAGAGTTACATAATGAATTACATTTACATTCAATTTCCATTCTGTATCAACAAGTTCACATCAGATTGATACTTTTTCCATTGTTAAAAATGGAAGGACTGTTGCTGACCAGTCATTAATGTCATTTGCTTGTAGAAATATATCTGTTCTATATTTATATGTCTTTACCGCAGCACTGACCGATTTTTTTTTCCAAAGCCAAACAAACTTTTATTTAGTTATCCAGATAGCACCTTGACAAAAGTGTGGGTGTCTATGTGTCTATTCTAGATGTTGTTTTTTTTTAGAAAAGCAGTGTTTCGTTTCATATTAAAATATACACAGCATAAACAGCTTTGCCGGAAAGTATCCTTACCGCAGCACCATATTTAGAAACAACCCTGTTCTTTAGGGGACCTAGGAAGGTTACCATGGTTGTTCACATGACCATACAACATGATGGTGTATCATAATAAATACCAATCCTGAATTCTTTTTGTATCTCCTAACAGACACCACAGATGACCACACGCTACTTTGGCTGCTGAACCACATACGCCTTGGCATCCCAGAACTTATCATCCAAATACGACACCACAAGCATACCAGAGTGTACGCGTTCTTCGTTACAGCAACGTATGAAAAGTAAGACACCTTTAGCTTCGTTTCAGCTGAGTGTGTTTTGAAACAGGGCGAATGTCTTATGGTTCTCAATAGCAGACTCCCTTCCGAGAGGAAGTGCAGTCAAAGCATTTTCAGCTGTGTGACGAGTTCAGGCTTAGGTTTTGTCCTAGCTGTGACTTTGTGATCCCACACAAATGAACCACATTCTCATTTGAGCTGTGCTGCTCTGCAGCACACTTTACTGGCCAGTCAGAAATCTGCAAAGTTGCACTTGCACAGTGCTCAACAATGCTGCATAGCATGTTGTTTTAGATGCTGTGGTGAGAGGCTGGATCGGAAAAAGCCTCGGCTGCCAGTGTGGTGGAGCTGTGTTGAGATAGAGGAGGGAGCTTTTTTGGGGAATGGCTGTGATTAGGATGAAAACAAGAAAAGAAAAAGTTCCACAATGGAATTAAGTCAAGTGTTTTTTATGTTATGCTTGGGATTATTATGCTATATCTATTTATCTATGCATGTATCTACTAATTGACATGTATACATATAGTACAAACTAAATTTACAGAACACTTTTTGATCTACAATGACAAGATGTTTAACTTTATTAACTTTATTGTTTTTATACATATATCCTTACTCTAAATTTAATACCTGCAACATGTTCCAGAAAAAGTTGGGACAGGCAGTTTATCTCTCTCTAGTCTGTCTGTCTCACTTACCTAGCTGGGCAACGCATCTCTCTCTAGTCTGTCTGTCTCACTAACCTAGGTGGGCAGTGCATCTCTCTCTTGTCTGTCTGTCTCAATAACCTAGCTGGGCAGTGCATCTCTCTCTAGTCTGTCTGTCTCGCTAAGTGGTGTCAGGTGTGACTGTGGGGCAGTTGCAAATGGTTTACATGGCTCACGGATCAGGTAGGAGGGCCCCTTTGCACAATATAGCTTAGGGCCCCAGGGAGGTCAGGATCAGGTCTGGTTACAACACCTTTCCTTTGAACAACATCACTTGTGGAAGTGGAATTTTTCCCATTCTTTATTGATATAACACTTTAGCTGCTCAACAGTCTGGGGTCTCCTTTGTTGTGTAATGTGCTTCATAATGTGCCACATGTTTTCAACGGGAGACAGGTCTGGACTGCAGGTAGCCCAGTCCATCATCTGTACTCTCCTACAAAGCCACGCTGTTGTAAAACATGCAGAAGTGGCTTAGTGTTGTCTTGCTGAAACAAGCAGGGATGACTCTGAAGAAGACGTTGTCTAGATGGCAGCATTTGTTGCTGCAAAATGCTCGTGTCAGCATTAACGGTGCCTGCACAGATGAAGGCAGTGCGTCTGGAGGTTGTTGATATATCGCTTCTGCTTTGCGTAGTAGAGTCTTCACGTGCATTTGCAGATGCAGCAACAAACTGTGTTTACTGACAAGGGTTTTCCGAAGTATTCGTAAGAGGTTATATTAATTACGGAAGCATGGTGTTTAATGCTGTGCCATCTGAGGGATCAAAGGTCACGGGCAATCAGTATTGGTTTTTGGCCTAGCCCTTTATGCTTAGAGATTTCTATGCATTCTCTGTATCTTTCAATAATAATGTTATGAACTGTAGATGGTGAAATTCCCTGCAATCATTTGTGAAAAAACGTAGTTCTTAAACTGTTGGACTGTTCACTCGTGCAGTTTGTCACACAGTGGCGACTGAGCCTTTCATGAATGGTCCTTTTATCTGTCATCATAATAGCGTCTCCTGTTACCTATTCAAATGTTTACTTGTGGAACGTTCCAGAACAGGTGTCTTTGATCATTCCATAAACTTCCCAATCTTACATTGCCCCTGATGCAACTTTTTTGGAATGTATTGCAGGCATCTAAATATGGAATTAATATATATTTACAAATATAAATAAAGTTGATGTGGTAAAATATTAAATATCTCTTTTTTGTGCTATTTTTACTTAAATACCTGTAAAAAAAATCAGTTTACAAATAACCGTTTTCTGTTTTTTATTTGCATTTTACCTACTGTCCCATTTTTTGTAATTTAGTTCATACTATATATACATTACAGTTCAAAAGTTTGGAATTTTGTTTTGAATAATATAATAATATAAATCCAGTTTTGTTGCAGATATATGTATATTCATGTATACATGTATGCGTGTAGATACATGTCAATATTTGAATCAATTTGTAGTAATCTTTTGATGATGAATAGAGCTGTAGATGATTCTGTAGTAATTGATACAGCTGTGTAGCAACGAGAATGAACTTACAATAAATTAATATCTAGAATGCCTCATGTATTTGAAACGCAGAGACCAAATCTTGTTGATGAAACAGCTATTCATAGTTATTTTATGTCAAGAAGTGATTATAATTTCAGCTTACTATTTAATAATATTCACTATTTTTGCCATGACATCTTGTTGTTCCCAAACAACACTAAAAATTGTGAACAAACCGTTTTGGTGTCTAGATTACAGCATCTCAGCTACAGCATGTCATGTAATAATTGCTATTCAATTATAGGAAAAGAGATTGCAAACTTGAATGTTAGTACACTATATATACTGACTGGCTTATTAAGTACACTTACTTGCTAATTACACTGATTGGACAATTTATCAGAAACACCATATAGGTGCCCTTTGTAGGTTTAAAATGATTCACTGTGGCCCATTGTTGCTGCACAGTTTATCAGCAACCAAGCTGTACTTCGTCTGTCAAAGGAAAGGTACCAACATATGACCACCACTGACCAGATATTACTTAGGTGGAGTTTTTCAGATGCAGCAGATGGTTTACAGTCAGTATACCTACAAAGTGCATGTATATGGTGGACATAACATAAACAGCCAGTGAGTGTATGTACAAAGACACAATGTAGGTGTAGTTAGTAAACTGAGATCTCACTGTGTATTTACACATACAATATAGTAAGCTATATAGCTATGTATTAAGTTCAAGCAGCTAATCAATCTGGAGTCAAAAAGCCATGTTACCAAGCACATTGAGTAAAGCATTCATATTCATTGTGGTATGACTCACTCGAATCCAAGGAGATGGGAGCTCTCCGAAGCTCAGCCTGTACAGTGATAATAGAAGGTGTGGCAGTCGCATTGTTATTTCAGTGTACTGCCTGAGGCAGAGGCTGGCTGAACAGATGGTAGATTGATGTTTACTGTCAGGTTCAGACCCAATCCTCCGCAGACCATCAGCCAAGCTGAAGTTCCTCACCAAGAGAATCTGCACATTGGAACAGCCACAGTTACTGTTCAACACTCACAATGACGTTTATCTAGTTTCAAGCTGTGACCCTCCAGGGCTGGTTTCAGACACCCTCGGGTTACACAAAGTTTTTGCTCTTAGAGCTCATGTTCTATGAGATTTATGTCATAGAACTGTGTACTCATCCATTTAATATGCCATTTGAGTCTAGATGTGTCTCTATGATCAGAGTGTTCTGGATCAGGGTTTGTGTGTTTTCTTTACTGTGGTAAACACGTGTGTTTTGTTCAGTCTGTTGCGAGGAGCTGAGGAGATGGGCCTGCGGAAAGCAGTGAAGCCAGAGTTTGGAGGTGGATCTCGCAGCTTTTCTTGTGAGGAAGACTACATTTATGAGAATATTGAGAGTGAACTGTGCTTCTTCACATCACAGGTGATTTAGTGATTTCCCTTAACACCTTAAACTGCCTTGACGAGAGCCCACACTTCAGTTCTTTACCCTCATAAGTTCATACAGTACTGTGCAGCACTCCCAGTCAAGAGACCACTTCATTTATTTAATTTCCTGTAAAAATGGTCATGAAGTACAAGCATTTTTCAGTGTCAGAAAAAAAGCTGATTGCAGATTTATTACAGCTTCCATTCTTTTCAAGGAGACTTCCTTTTAGTTTTTAAAGAAATCTGCAAGGATATTTTTCACACGTCCAAAGTTCAGTCTTAGAAGTTGGTTGTATTTTCTGCTTTTCACAATCCAATCAATCCCAAAAACATTCAGTGATGTTGAGGTCTGGACTCAGCGGTGGTCAGTCCATTGTTCTGAAAACACCAGCAGCCTCTCTGATTTGCAGATTTACTTCTTTTTTGTCTATTCACTTTTCTTAGTAACAACATCTTAACAGCTACACATCCTTTCAGGCCCATAGCACTGCTTGTCTATTCTAAATGGATGGATGGTCAGAATCATCTGTTGCTCGACTTTCTCCTATTGTTCAAAGGTGAAAGCTTTATGTGCTGTTTATTTAATGGGGACAGTTGGTGGTCATCCAGATCTTGCACGGTTGTTAGAGTCCCATTTTCTATACATTTTTAAAATATTTTTGAGCCCCATCTTGAATGCAAGTGGATTATCTTATATTTAATCTCCTCAGAAATATCTCCTGAAAATAGAATAAGTTGTACTTAATGGCAGTTTTGACTGGAAATTAAATAAATGAAGGGTTTCTGACTTATGCACACTACTGTAATGTATGAATCTTGTACACACTCTGCAATATTGTTTCTGTGTGTATTTTGTACCTTTTAATTTTTGCAATACTAAGAAGAATCTGCAAATTCATTTCTCTGTGCATGTGACAATAACAAACTTGATTGAACACCAAGTCTTAAAATGAGTAACAAGCTTGCTGCTTAATTCTTCTTCTGCATATTCTGATATCGTCTAAACCGTAAAATGCTGTTAGTAACGATTTCTTTGCCTGGATTCTTATCTTCACAGGAACGTCAGAGCATAATCAAATACTGGCTGGACAATCTCCGAGCCAAACCAGGGGAGGTCCTTCACAACATCCACTTTCTTGAAGGACAGCCCATAAGTGCGTGTCCTTTTCTGTCATACAGTGTTGCTTAAAATAGCACCCCAGTGACTGAAACATACTTCTCCCTGTCATTTCTATGTATGTAATTTCTTGGGTTCTTTTGTGAAGAAATGCTCATGAAGCAAAGTAGAACCGAAGTGATTTTGTAGCTCTGAATATCTGTAACGTTTATAACAGGGTGGAGGTTGGTGCATATCTCACTCTGTGTGTTTCTTACAGTTCCAGAGCTGAAGGCACGAGGTGTGATCCAACAGGTCTTCCCCCTCCATGAGCAGAGAATTCTGGGTCAGCTAATGAAGTCATGGGTGCAAGCAGTGTGTGAGAAACAGCCTCTAGGTTTGTAATCAGCACCTCTTAACATAAGCACTTGTCTTCATTACTGTCTACTACATGCCTCTAGTGATACTTTTACAAGTGATTGCTCACCTATTAATAATATTGCTTGTAGAGTCTAAATAGCTATTTGTATAATCACCGATTTAACTAGTATTCTCTTATTGGCCTATTTACTTTGTGTTTCTGTCTCTGTTAGATGATATTTGTGATTATTTTGGAGTCAAGATTGCCATGTACTTTGCCTGGCTGGGTTTTTACACCACCTCTATGCTGTATCCCGCTGTGATCGGCTTTGTACTGTGGATGCTGACTGAATCTGATCAGGTAACAGTTCAGAATGACCTAACTGTGTATTTTATGCTGCCATTTTTAATCATAAAAACCTGAATCCAACCCAAAATGATCAAACATGTTCATATACAGTACTTCACTAAGGCCACTAAGTACAAGTTATTCATTTTACAGGAAATGTTAATGAGCTAGAGTTCAAGAATATTTAAAAGGCATAGACCTAGCAGACCACCAAAACGAGCACCTTCAGATAAACGTTACTTAAAGCTTTCATCTTTGAGAGATCAAGCTCAGCTCTTGGTTCAGATCTAAAAACACAGATTTTTGTCCATCTTTCCACTGGGAGAAGACAGATTAACACTATAGATCTGAAAGGATGTGTTGCTGTCAAGAAGTCATCTTTAAGAAAAAGAAATAGATAAAAAAAGAAGAAATTTGCAAATCGAATAAAGAAGTTGGTTACAGGTTAGAATGGAAAGTTGTAGAATTTTTTTTTTTTTTACGTCCAACAGTTCAGATCAACTTTTCAGTTTCTTCATGAGACATTGTTTACCATATAAACATTTGGGTCTGACATCTGAGACCACATTGGAAATCTAGGATAGTTTTTATTTAAATCTAAAAATACACAACAGCAAAGTTGAGAATTTAAAAAAAGTTTAAAAAACTAAATAAATACACATGTAATGACCAATAAAATGAAGAAATTCTGCACTGTTTCTAGGTCAAAACTGAAATTTAAGCAAATTTGTAACGTTCACTATGTTAAGGCCTTTGTGCAAAAAGGTCTTATGTTTTTGTTTTTCTGAGTCTTATCCTTTCCATGGAAGCGCATGTTCAGACTGTCATGTTGCTCCCCCCTCTGGGGAGATTACTCTTGGACTCTGACTGGCTCCGCCCACTCACACTTGCATGTCATTCCAGGACTCATTACTCACTTTTATAAACACATTTGTTTGGTTTAGTTTTTGCAAAGTCTTTGTGTTGCTAACCTAAATTCTAAAGTCTGTTTTCTTTGTGTTGTCTTTTATGTTTTTGACCCCTGTTTGTCTTTCTGTTTTCCTTTTGATGATACCTGCCCGTGTTTTGACCTCTGCTTCCTATGAGAATGAGTATTGGACTGCCCAAAACAAAGCCAACCTCTATGCCTCCGATGTCACACAGACCACTCTTTCTGCTTCTCAGAGGCATTTACACCAACTTGTGGAGTCCATTGCCAGCTCCAGTGCATGCTGTCATTAAAGCAAATGGTGGACATAGCAAATCCTAAAAAAAATTATAATTAATGTTAATATTTCTAAGACTCTATGCAAATTGTTATAACGACAATATAATGCATTTATGTATATATGTATATTGCAATGACAACCTTGTATTGAATTAGAAAGCAACGTAAATCATTTTCATTAGCGGTCTCAGATGCTTGGACGTCATCATAGCTATTTAAGGGGAAGTTTATGTATATAATTCTATATGTTCTGCATTCTCTGGCCTCGCACAAGCAGAGCAGTGCAAGATTTATCATTGTTCATTGTGTACATCTGTGTATTTGATAAATACCAATTTTCTAGTGTGTATTTCTAAGGTGCAGAACTAGAACATGTTCTACGCACACTTTGATAAACGAGACCCTCGATCACCTAATGTTTTTGTTACTGTTTGATTGATGCCATTGCTGTTTCTCACGCAGACCAGCAGAGATATATGCTGTGTAGTCTTCGCCCTCTTTAACGTGGTGTGGGCCACCCTGTTCCTTGAGAGGTGGAAGCGGAGAGGAGCAGAGCTGGCTTACAAATGGGGCACGCTGGACACCCCGGCCGAATCACTGGAGGAGCCCAGGCCACAGTTTCGGGTGAACAGACCAGTCATTTTGAGATAATTGTTGACCTCTTCTTATTAGAAAAACAAAAATTCAGCATTTAGCAGTTTATTTAGGGCTACTGTTCTCTCTCTCTCTCTCTCTGTCTCAGGGTGTGAAGCGGTGCAGCCCGGTGACAGGCTGTGAGGAGTTCTATTACCCGCCCTGGAGGAGGAGGGTGTTCCGATGGCTGGTCAGCTTTCCTGTCTGTATCTTATGCCTTTGCTTTGTCTTCCTGGCCATGCTCATCTGCTTTGAGCTTCAGGTTAGTGGCATCACAAGCACATTCTGCCATACACAGGTATGAGTAGGACCTTTTATACACTAATGTAGTGCTCACCAATCCTAGTACTGGAGATCTGCCACAAATGCTTCTACAGAGGCTCTTGATTGGCTAGATCAGATGCATTAGTGTTGCATATTGGAAATAAACTCTCCAGGAGGAGAGTTGATGACCACTGCACTACAGCCTTTAATGCAGCCAGCATAATGTGTTGGCACTACATATTATGTTTAAAGGTGCAGGGGCAAGACGTTAAAGGGCCTGTATTATTCTATTTTTTTGTCGTATTCTGTTTTCCCCTTAAGTTCACTTATAACGTTTGGGTGGTTTTATGTACCAAAATCAGTCATCAGAGATCACATGACCTCACTTTACCCTTCATTATTAAACAGGCTGTTTTTTTTTACTGCACCTTTAAGGCTAATATGTAAATCAACTTTGTTGTAATTGGCTGCCCTGTACTGTACCTCATTCAAAAAACAGTCCAGGTTCTCCCGAGTGATGCAACCGTCTAAGCGTTGGCCCTACCATCAGGAGATCGCAACTTCGATCCCTGGTGATGCTACAGCCATCTGTAGCCGGGAGTCCAAGAGAGCACAATTGGCCTCGCTCTCTCTGGGTGGGTAGGATGGCCCCCACTTCTCCCCCATCACTCAAAGCAATGCTAGTCAGTGCAGGCAGCTGTTAGCTGACGTAACAGATCTGGCGGTTGGTGCTTTCCTCAGAGCACGTTCGGCTGTCCAATGACGTTGTATGAGCGGCAGTTCGAAAAGATGTGGTGGCTGGTTTCACAGGTCTCGGAGGAAGCCTGTGCTAGCCTTCGCCCTCCTAGCGTTGATAGTATCGTGTGACTGGGGGAGTCCTAACTAGCGGGCGGGATTGGAGACGACTAAATTGGGGAGATAATTGGGTAAAAAAAAAACAACAACAAAAAAACAGTCCAGGCTGAAACACTTACATTTTATAACTTCATTGTGAATGGCCGGACCCTAACTGTTGTAAGCTGAATAGGTGGATATATGTAAACATGTTAGTTTTCGTGACATCACAAAAACAGTGAATTCAAAACAGCCTAAGCTGAGTTTCCAAATATGGACTGTATGGACTGGGTATGTTATGAAACTTTATCAATGTTACACGTTAAATTAAACTCTGTCAAAAAGCAAGGAAAATTCAGTTTTCAATTATATGGACCCTTTAATTGAATGTAAAATTAGGCACATTGGGATCGAATGTTGCAACCACATTGAGTCACACTTTGTGCTGCGCCTTCTCACACACACATCTGGCCCTCGGTCTTTGATGGACAGATGTTTTGTACAGCTGTGAAATGCACTTGATTTGTTGAAGGTGCCCTCGTATTTAAGTGGTACAAGTGCAAGGGAATAATTATGCAAATAGGGCTACGTGGTGCTCGCTGGAAAGACTAGTTGTCAGTAGTCTGTGTGTAATTAAAACGTTAGAATGTTGTGGTACACAAGTAGAAAGTTATCTGACTAGATGCACATCTGTGGTCGGCAGGAATTTGTGATGGGGATTAAAGAGCTGCCGCGGGTGGCGAGGTTTATCCCTGAAATCATACTGGCCATCACTGTGACTGCGTGTGACGAGGTGTACAAAAAGATAGCCTGCTGGCTTAACGATATGGGTGAGTATTGCTTTTAAAGGGAACACTGAAAAAGTGATGCATTGAATGTACCTGATTCACATGTGTATATCATTTCTGTATGAATGAAATATATTTTCAGTTTTAATTTGGTTGATGTAATATATTTCAAATCAAGTAAATTTCAGTGGTTATGTAATCGTTTGCTGTATGTATGGTATAAAAATGCTTTGCATTAAATGACATATATTGTAATTGTATTGAGGAAATCACTGCAAAGATGTTGTAGCACTTCATGAGCTACCCCAGGCTCAAGGAGGACGCTGGAAGCAGGGTTCAGGTTCGCAGCAGCCATATTTTTAATTCCAAGTTCAAACAATACAAACTCGAACAAACCAACGCTACTCTAAGCTGGCCACTTTTCAGTGGCTTCCGACAGCTAGACTTTTCAGTCCTTTATCTTTTTAGCTCTTCACTTAGTCCCTGTTGCTGCTGCTCGTCCCTCTCTCTCTTGCTCTGTTCCCTCTCAGCTCTTTTAAAAGGCGCTCAGAGCACCTGAGCCAAGAGGGAACAAGAGCTCGCTGCTCCGCCTCCGCCCCCAGCTTGCAGCTTGGCTGCCTGGGTCGAACATCAGGAGTAGTGAAACGGCCTCACTGTGTAACGGGGGCGGGGCTTGGGTGGCTGAGCTCGGAACTCGCTCCTTGTTATCGTGCCTCTCGTTGCCGGCACCGTCGTCCTCCTCCTCCTCCTCCTCCCGCCGTCACTTGGGTCACATGGCGGAGCCCGGGCTTTGCGCTCCGCCCCCTCCCCACTCACAGGTCTCTCCCTGCCGTCCTCAACGAGGTTCATCGTCGCTGGGTGTTCGGGGGGCAGGCGCATGCCACAGATGTGAAACAAGACATTTTACTCTACAAGTGCACATTAGGTTCCCCAGCGTTGAACTAATGCGTACACTGTTCATTTGTGCGAAGATGGAACCAAATGAGCACTGTAAGAGTGAAGTCAGCACTGGGTGTACGTGTTGAAGAATTTAATTTTGAATTCTTGTCTCTGTTTTCCCAACAGAAAACTATAGACTCCAGAGTGCCTATGAGAAAAATCTCATCATCAAAATGGTTCTTGTAAGTTCAACCTTTTATGCAGTGCAGAACAAAAATTTATTATAGCGATGTGCAGATATGAAAATGTTGAACTGATATTTTAATGTCTGTGTTTGTCAATAGCAGCGGCAGCACTAGTGTATTATATGTACTGGGTTCAACATTGAAGGCTGCAAGATAACTCAACAAAATGAAATAATCATAATAAATCAGCTGCTTTCACCAGAATGACAACTCTACTGGATGATACATTAAAAGGGAATTTTCAATTTTGCATAATTAATAAACATTATGCTGTAAACAAAGTCAAAGTGGTTTGATGCGAAATGCTCAAGAAACTAGAGTGAGAATTGTTCACAGTGGTTGTGATAGGAACCAGACATCCGAAACAATGCCTCTAAAACAGGGATGTCAAACTGAACCACTAAAAAAGGCCATACTAAAAAATCTGTGGGTCAGCTGTGTTTTTATTTCATTTTTAGTTAACATTTTGCCATGACCTGAACGGGACATTGTTTATTCAAAATATGCCAAACCTGCAACAGTGAAATAGGCATTGGATACTTATTCAAAAATAAATAAAAAGAAATTGTTGTGTTGAACGCACACTATGTTGCAGTGCATGCTGGGGACTGTAGTGCATCTCAGGGTGAAATAGGATATTAAGAATAGAAAATTAAAATAATTTAGAGGGCCGAATAGGACTGTGTCACGGGCATTACTTGGCCTCCAGGCCTTGTGTTTGAAGCATGGGCTCTAAAAGCTCCCTCACAGAAAGTCATTACATGAAATGGTCAATATTAAATTGCCTGATGGCTGAAATGTTGTTTGAGGTAAAGTTTTGGCTTAAACTGTATCTTTTAAATTCCATTCACGATGGAGAGGTACTTGGTGGGCATGATAAGACACAGTTCCAGTTGGGTAGCAAATAAAACTATGTTTGTGTTATAGACATTACGACCCCTGGGTTCTACCACCAGTGTAAAGAAACTGAGTTTCCCTACAATGGACTGTTTCACATCCAACCACTCTGAATGACTATGTTTTACATTTTACAGTTGTTGTGCAGGAAATTTTGAAACATTGATAGATTCCCTTTCAGTGATGCATCATCATATCAGAACTAAATACTGGTCAAATTCCAGACACCACTTTATCAATGCTAGCAGCTGCAACTCTTTAGACAGAGCAGTAGGATTTAGAGTGTTGTTTGTTCCCTTTTCTTGTATATAAGCACATAGATAAAAACTTCACAAGAGTAAGTCCCTTAACCATTTGCATTTATGTTATTGTGTGTTGTCTTGCAGTTTCAGTTTGTAAATTCTTATCTAAGCCTTTTCTACATTGGATTCTACCTCAAAGACATGGAGCGTCTAAAAGAGGTAAGAATTCTGTCTCCCACACAGGTGAAACCATGGCACAGATTCCAAATTCCCAGGCAAATGGCTCAAAATATGCTACATGACTAATTTATTTGATACTCACATTATCTCTATTAGATAGATAGATAGATAGATAGATAGATAGATAGATGTTTTGCTCTGAGCATTGCTTTTGGTATTGCTGTGGGTGACAAACTCACATTCTCCTCGGGGAATACTCTTTCAAGCAGCTGCCCCCAGCTTTCCTTCACCTCACATATGTCTCGCTCTCTATCTTGCCATCTGTTTGTTGGTTCCAAACTATCTGCTGGGCTTTCTCCTCTTCTGTAGCTGAAGTAACTCAGGGACCGTGAGCCATGTCTTCTCCTCAGAGTGCAGTCTGTGATCAATAAAATCCATCAATGCCTTTGGGCATCTAAAGTACACAGTCAGCCCTGACTACCAGTCCATGTATTGCACTGGTTTGACCTTTGTTTGACATGTTAGCATCAACAGAGGTCTGGCCATTCATTGTTCCTTCTCTATTTTAGGAATAGCGCTGTTGTGTTTACAGCCGTCATTATTTTCATGCATGTGCTGGCATCCAAAAAGACATTTGAGCTTTTTGTGTCATCGTAATTTGTCCCGCGGGTCTTTGACACACATTGGATGAGCTATCTCTGCATGTGGACTGATGATTATAGTACTGCGGAGCTTGATCTAATTTCAGCACAGCTTCTCTGGCTGTGTAATTTTAGGGTAGGTTTTGTCTGTGTAAGGTTTGATGAAAACAGTCTGACAAATACTGATTGCTTGATGTAATTTATAGTCATTCGAGCGTTTGGAGGTTTGTCTCCCTTGATTAAAAAAAGCATGTTTGAATCGCTGCCTGCTTTCCTACCTTTGAAATATTGCTATGCCTTCACCTCCTCTCACACTGCAAGATGCTATGAAGTTGACTCATGCTTTTATTTTCTCTTGCCTAGACTATTAAAATGAACTCTTACTGGGTTACCAGATTCGCTGCTGCTGATAGAAGAAGCTGCCAGATTATTACGCTCAGAATATATTTAGCCTGTGCTACATTTTTTAGCACATTTTAAATATTATTAGTATTGTTATTATTATTATTAGTAGTAGTAGTAGTAGTGTTGCTACTGTACTATAATTAGGGTTATTTCATTAATAATAATAATAATAGTAGCAACTGCAAAAGTACATTTTCTGAAGAAAATGCAGAATGATTGCACAGTTTAAGCAATTAGCCAGTATTGTAGGTTGTTGCTAGGGTGTTGGTAGGTGATTGCTATAGTATCTCAGGCTGTTGCTAGGTGGTTGGTATGGTGTTCCAGGTGGTTGCTAGGGTGTTGCTAGCTGTACATACCTATATATAAGCACATCTGTCACAACAGACAACAATAATGTTGCGCATTGCGCAGACACTAATAATGCTGCTGTTCATTCTTGTATTTCAACTCCAGTCATTTTTCTTTTTTTTAACATTACTATTATTGTGCATGATAGAGGATGGATATTATCATCACTGGTTTTAAGATTGTCTAGCCAGCTTTTGCTGCACTGTGTGATTTATTTACTGGACTATTTTCTAACTAGAAACTTGTAGCATTTCACTTCTCAGCCCTGACAGTCCAGGAAAATTACAATAGACCCTCCTTTGTGCTGCAGTTCCCTTTAAGAGCATTAATCCACTATTCAATAATTTTTTTTTCCCGTGATTGTTATGCCTTGCAGATGCTTGCTACACTGCTGATCATTCGCCAGTTCCTGCAGAATCTAAAGGAGGTACTGCAGCCATACCTTTATGAGCGCCACCGACTGGGCGAGCTCACGTTGCGCGCCGTCTGGGACCTGCTTGTCTCTGCTCTGCTCAAATACGGGCGGCTGGCAGCTGGCAGGGCTCAGGTTTCCCCCAGTGACCCCACAATCCCCGTCCCGGGCATGCGGGGGAGCCGACAGGGCCTTCTGGGCCACCAGGAACGTCGTGAACGCAAGTGTCTGAATGGAGGCTGCGGGGTGCCGGACGAGGATGGTGAGGAGGAGCTCGGAGGAGAGAGGCAGAGCGAGGAGGAGAGCGAGGAGGAGAGCCTAGTGGACTGCGGCCTCAAACTGCGCAAGGTCAGCTTCATCGAGAAGGTGGAGCGCAAGTCCATCGGCTGTGTGAGTCCCATGGAAGACCACTTCCTTGAGGAGGGGAGCCCCACCATGGTGGAGAAGGGAATGGACCCGGCCTCGGTCTTCGAGATGTGTGATGATGACGATGATAACGGGATCCCAGAGACCAAGGAGCTGACAGTAGAGCCACCAGCACCTGCAGGGTCTGAAAGCAGTGCACCTCCAAGGCTACGGAGGAGAGGCCGCAGCCTGGAGAGGGCCGACAGTAAGAACAAGAAAGAGTCATGGATAGATCCGCCAGAGGAGCAGGAGGCCACCACACTCACCCAGGCTGAGATTGAGAGCTGCATGCAAACATATGAGGTAAGGATACAAATGGTATATTATTAAACCCTCTCATTTCACTGCACATCTTTTTTTCAAAGGGACAGGTTTCACTTTCTCCACCAGAAGTGGTGGAGATGTTAAGTGCCTCAGAATTGGGTTGTAAATACATTTCTTACTGCACTAGATCTGTCCCAAATAGCATTTGTTGTTATTATAATATTCCCTTTGCCGTACTAAGATCACAGAAGGCTGCAATATGCAGTCTGACTCATCTGACCAAGTAAGTTTCTAGGGTTTTTTCATAAATCAGGATATTCAATGTAAGAATATTGATTTAGTCAAAATAATGCAGGCTGATCTTTAACCTTGTCACATTATTGGTTGACCAAAGCACTTTTAACATATTGCCAGGCGTATCACAGTCACAACCGTTTACAGCAGTTCATACAACAGTTCCAAAATCAAATCGGTTGAGAAGCATTTATGCGTGTTGATTTTTTCATTCCGCTGTGCACCAGTTGCTCAGCAACATCTCGCTTCATGCTGCTGTAGCTAACATTACTCAGTTTGTACTTTATCACATGCAAAAACAGAAAACGGGCACATAAGATAACTCTATATGATAATATTTGATCTACAGCCTGTTTGGTCCGAAGAAGACTGTGAAAGTAGTTCTACATGGCCACCGTGACAGGAGAACAACTACACAGACCGGAGTGAACCAGAAAAAAAACAGTATGCAATTCAGCTAATATGATACTTAAAGACTTTTCGATACTTAAAAACAATTTTTATGTTAATCTGGCAAAAACTGAAAAAGCTGAGTTGAACCTGATACTGTGACAGTTTTATGGCTCTATCCATAACACAGAAGGCTACTACTTTTTTGGTGGAAGGAATTGCCAAAAAAAAGCCCATCTGACACAATTTTCAAAGATCATGCGTTTCCGCAAATAATATCACATATGTGATAATCTACGGTGACCGAATCACAGCTATAATGTTATTTGCAACAATACACTCCCTCTCATGTTCTGTTGCTGAAGAAATTACAATAGTAGCTTTTTGTCCATATTGTGCTGCCCTATTAATCTGATTAATGAAAATATGGTGTGGGTGATATGGCAGAAATGCAATATGACAATCAAGAAATGTTCACAATTTATGATATGTCACAGTTTTTAGACATCTATTAAGTTGGAACAGCAAAAGAGTCTGAGGAGTGTCACGTTTAAATAATACAATTAAAAAACAGTGAGTACAATAATTTAAATTGGACATTTCACATTTCATTTGCATTACACTAATTTAAGACAAGCAGGACTAATTATGCTATCCTAATAATAAAACATGCAGTCGGGCAGTGGTCTACAAGTACTGACAATGTCCACAATATGCTCAGAAAAGCATATTATTGCAAATTGTAACAAAATTCATCACGATAACCCTAACTGCCCTTATATTGTCCAGCCCTAGATGGAAAGAACTGTTCTCAATCCTTAAGGCTTGTTTATTTGGTTACAGTACTGTGCAAAAGTATTAAGCCATCTAAGAAAATCGTATGTAAAGCCAGTTATCTGGCCAAAAAGCATGTATTTGTTCAAAAACACTAATATTAAAAATAATACAGTTAAACAGACCCCTCCTTGATTAAGCCAAGTATTTACAGTTACCATCCAAAACCTGCTTCATCTAATCAATCCTGCAGTAAATAAAATCAGGTGTCACAATTTACCAAACCCATACAATGGCTGGAGCACTTCAAGAAATCAGGAACCAAACCTGTGTTCTTCTTGCTGTATTCTTCTTACCAAAATATCAGTAACTTTTTTAAAACGGGGAAGTCTTGTTATATGTTACTTTACATATTTACGTGTATCTGTATTTGAAGAGTTTCGTTCCAAACTGCTATAGATCCATTTGTAAAGGTTTATGAAAGAATAACAGCTGCCGTATAATGGAAAACACATTTTTATTTCTCTAATAAAGGCGTTATTAATCATAATATAGCATTTATAGCACTTCTTGTACACTCTTAAAAAAAGATGGTTTTTCAGGGGTTCTTTAGTAAAGAAAATGGTTCTATATAGAACCACAAACACTCAAAGAACCCTTTGCATGATCAAAGGATTCTCTGCATCATGAAAGTGTTCTTCAGATTGATGGAGAATGTGCTATAGATGGTTCTATATAGAATGTTTTTGAAAAGGGTTCTATCTAGCACCAAAAAGGGTTATTCAATTGTTACAAATTTGACATCTTAATAATAGATCATGCAAAGAGTTCTTTGAGTGTTCATGCTTCTATATAGAACCATTTTCTTTACTAAAGAACCTTTAAAGAACCATCTTTTTTAAGAGTGTATGTGTCCACTCCCAACAATATATATTGTGAAAAAAAGAAAAATTGAAAGTGGTCAATAATGCATTTTGGAATGATACCCTTCATTTATTCTAATGTCAAATCATATTTTACTGCCAAAAACACACTTACACACTTACAAAAACACACTTACTGCCGAAATAAATTGTTTTTAACATTTTTGGGAGCCAAAGACTTTTACACAATATTGTATATATTAGAGATCTGAAGAATTACTTCATATTTCTCAGATAGTTTCCAGATCCGTGTAACATTGGAGTACATTATACTTAACAACCTTGAAACATAAGAAAAAGGGAAATTTTCCCAACCCAAGTGTGGTGTGGGTCACGTTCCCCAGAACAGTTTCAGTTTCAGAAATTAGATTCCTGAATTTTAGAAAAACACAAAATAATAAGCCATTAGCAAATGCATTGGTCTCGGTCAGCTCAGCATCACAGGATGACATTGTTATCAGGAGATGTGGTCTAGGAAATCAGACCAACAGCCCTCATCTGAACAGATGAAATAGAGCACCAGTCTATAAGTGATGTTGAAAATGAAGTCAGTGTTAAGAGCTGGCTAGCTTCATGGAGCAGATTCAAGTAATAAAAAACTGACAATGTGTCTTAAAAGATGAGAAATAGTAGAATTTCACCTCCAGAAGAACACGGGATGAGAGCAAATAATATTGAGACTCTCCTGGAGGACCAAGCATGAAGCAAGGTGCTCTGGTATGTTAGCACGCCAAAGCTAGAGGGTCATAATATAACAGTCTGTAAACTTTGCATCCGTGTGTTTCTTTTCAGGACACGTTTCAAGATTACCAAGAGATGTTTATCCAGTTTGGTTACGTGGTGCTCTTTTCTTCTGCCTTCCCATTGGCTGCCATGTGCGCCCTCATTAACAACATCATCGAGATCCGCAGTGACGCCTTCAAGCTGTGCACAGGCCTGCAGAGGCCCTTTGGCATGAGAGTGGAGAGCATTGGGCAATGGCAGGTTAGCATGACGTGAATGTGAGTTCTCAAGCTTCATAACTGACCTTTAAGGAATACTAAAAGATGGATGTGACTGTGTCTTCTGTTATTGCACAGACAGTAATGGAGGCCATGGGTCTGATAGCGATCATCGTGAACTGTTACTTGATTGGTCAGTGTGGGCAGCTACAGAGGCTCTTCCCTTGGCTAAGCCCCGAGATGGCCATCGTCTCTATCGTGATCTTAGAGGTACACAAGACACATTTACACATTATACAGTTTAATTCATTTCGCTTTAAACTCTAAGAACCTGTCAAAGGTTCAAGACCATCATTCTTCACTCTCATAACTTCATAGATTAATATAAGTTTATAGTAGTTACTGAACAATTCATAGTAGTAACGGAGAAATTATGCTTAAGATTAATACCTGAACAGTAAGCTTAGGTTTAGAAAGGGTTAACCTCTGTTCTGTGACCAGTACATTTTGTTAATATATCTTCATACTCATTTAATATCAATGTTCTTTTTCAAAAGAAAACGCAATATACACAGTCAGATGCTATATACTCAGTCAAATGAATTGATTTAATCACCTTCCTCCCTTGACAGCACTTTGCCATTCTGCTGAAATATGTCATTCATGTGGCAATCCCCGACATCCCCAGCTGGGTGGGAGAAGAGATGGCCAAACTGGAGTTTCAGCGCAGGGAGGCATTCAAGGTAACAATCTGTTCTTTAAAAATACATCTGTGACTGTTGCTTTAGTTTCAACTATCATATTGGATGACCACAGATATTATAGATGCTATTTCAGATACCTCACTGTCACAGTGTACCCTGAGTGGTTCCCAGATCTGACCCAGCCCCTGCTCTGCTGAGCAAGCCAGCAGCAGAACTAAAAATACTGTTGAAATCTGCTTTTCAGGGAATTCCACCGATTTTTCCAAAGTCCGGTATAATTCAATTAGGTTGTAAACAAGGAACAAGCATTTACTACCTCTGAGAGCTCCCTTGCAGAAAGTTATTACATGAAATGATTACGAATGCACTGCCTGATGCCTGAAATATTATTTCATGGCAGTTTTGAGATAAGCTTCTGAAAACAATTTTTAAAATCTATTCATGGTGGATTTGTACATGCAGGATGTTGTAGGACAAAGTAGTACCCAAAGATTTACAATGGCAAAAATATAATACCACAATACTTCAAGAATACACAACATGTCACAATATTTAAGTTTTCTGAGGTTTAGTAAGCTGGAACAGACAAACACTTAAAACATAATACGGTGAGAATCACATTTAAGAAAAACTAGAAGTACAAATTATTTTTTCTCTACATTTTACACACTGCTCTGCACTAAATCCAAAAACGGGTCTAATTATGCTTCCTTTGGAATAAAACATGCAGTTAGTCACTGTTCTTAAAGTACCAATGATATCCATAATATGCTCAGAAAAGCATATTGGTACATAATGTGACATAATTTATTATGATAAATATTGTCATATTGCATATTACCCAGATAACACCTGTGGGTTCACTGGTCTTTCTAGACAGTAAATATAATGGTTGTATTTGGGTTGTAGACATTGTGACTCCTGGTTTCTGTCACCAGCATTGTAAAGAAATCTGACTCTGTAAGTTTCTCCAAAGTGCAGCATTTCACATCAAACTACTCTGATTTACTTTGTTTACGTCTCTACAATTGAATTATACTTGAAAAATTGGTGGGATTCCATTCCAGTGTGGAGGCATTTTGGCGTTTCCCCTGCTCTAACACTTCAATTCAGAAAGGACTTGTTAATTAGCCAATTAGCTGGATCAGATATGTACACTCATAAGCACATTTCGGCTGTATTCTTCAGTTTTACTGCTGGCATAGTCTGCAGAACATGTGCCTGGGCTCTAATTTTTAAACCTAGGCCAGAACTTTCATTAGGCTATCGCTATGTAAAATCCACATCTATTATGCACATATATTCTTAGGTTTAATGTATTATCCTACCCATGCCAACTCCTGGCTGGACTTCTCTATGCCTGCTGGTATGTAATCTCTGTGTGTTCGGTCGCCGCCAGAAGCACGAGCGCCAGGCGCAGCAGCACTTCCAGCAGCAGCAGCAGAGGAAGAGGGAGGAGGAGGAGCGCCAGCGGCAGGCCGAGTACCAGGCGCGACGAGAGCGGGACGATGGGCGCCCCGATGCCTCCGGGGGTGACCATCACCACGACAAGAGCCAGGGGGGCAAGTCCAGGCCAGGTGGAGGAGGAGGGGGAGGCTCAGGGGGCGATAAACCGAAAAGGCCCAGCTCGCTGCTGGCCAACAACAACGTCATGAAGCTCAAGCAGATCATTCCGCTGCAGAGCAAGTTCTCTTCTGGCACAGCCCGTTCCCCCCAGTCGCCCACGGGAAGCGAGCCCAAGCTACCAGGCTTCCTCAGCTTCAAGTTCCTCAAATCTCCGGAAAATAAGAAAGAGGCAGCAGCTGCAGCAGCAGCAGCAGCCGCAGCTGCAGCTTCAGCCTCAGCTAGTGTTAGCGTTAGCATGGCTGCACCAGGCCAGGAGAAGTCTCAGTCCCCCAGCAAGTCCTTCAACCCTGGGAAACTCTTTAACTTTGGGAAATCAGAGGGGGGGGCTTGTGTGAATGGGGCTCAGCCCTCAAAACCAGGGGAAGGGGGACAGCCTTCAGAGAAGCAGCCCACGAAGTCTGATCTAAACGGTGTGCCGGACGAAATCCCATCCCCGGGGGGAGAGGAAGGAGAGAATGGACACTCGTTAGACTCTGAGTCCTCAGGGCCTAAAATCTAACCCTAAATAAAGCACCCATTGACGGGGGGAAAAATGACTAACAAAGGGTTAAAGGGAAGCTCTTGATACAGAAGGTCGTCCCAGTGCTCTCCGGCGCAATGTAAGACTCAGCCTGGAAGCTGTCAAGTAATACTGCAGATGTGGAAAACGGGATGGTGTTTATTTTTCGTTTGCTGAGGAAAATAGGCTTCTCAAATATGACTCCCCTCACACATACACACGCACATATACACACACAATGCCTTTTGTCTACAACACATACAGGAATGCATGAGCTGCGTTTCTAATCCATTTTAAAAGGATGTTCCAAAAACAAAAAGTGCAATGTTAAGTTACCCTACTCTGACAATTGTAAGCATTTTAGTGGCCTCCATAGTATTTAAAAAAAAATTTTAACACCAGTTTTATATCACATGGTGAGACCTTCAAGAAAAAAAAACACCACAAGTTGATAATCTTGATCTGCATCAGTTTGAACTGTGAGTGTTTTTGGTCCTGAACTTTTGTACTTCCTTAAAGCAGCTGGTTTAGTTTAGCAATAGCAGTGTTTCACGAATAACAAGGTACTGCAAAACCTGTGAGCTTTATCTATCAGTTAAAGGAATCCCTGCAAGACTAAAACATAGGTCTCAAATCAAAAGAAATGCAATATCTTTGTGTTTAAGGATAGCTTTGTGAGGAACAGTCTGGAGCTGGTGTGAAAGCATGTGTGTAAACCAAGGACAAGTGGAACAGAGTGCGAAGATATAGTGTATGTATGGGTAAAGAAAGCACAGTGGCTAAGCATTATTCCACCCAGTTATTCCAAAAGTGCAAATATGGAGGATGTCTTGTCTGTATTCACATCTTGAACAGGCTTTTTTTCCCTTTGTTATTGTAGCCCAAAGGCACACAAAGGGCTGGAGATTAAGACTATAGTTATGCTAAAATCCAGAAGTCCTGTTTTTGGGTATGATACTGTGCATCTTCATATGTCATGACCTAGAGTATGGCATTTAACCTCAACATTCACTGTTCTTCAGTCCTTACATCATGAATTTAGGATAATACTTTAATTTGCAACTCGGAAGCCTGGTGGAACATCGTAAAGAACATGTATCGTCTTTGCAAAGGGACTCTGCGGGGCGCTGTAGCATTTCCTTTTCCATGTACTGGTCATACTAGTTGCAGTCTCTGAGAACATTTTGCACTAAACCTTACTGCCGGTGAGAGGGAAAGACTCTGCTAAGAAAAGGAGAACACCAGCCTGCCTCATAACATATGCAAACGCTCGATTATGGTTTTCATAGCAATGCACTACTGAAGCATTATATTGACCCATCAAGTTTCTGTACATCTGGGTGCTTTGTCTAACTTTTTTTTTCTAATTTATTTGCCTAATTTATTCATAAACCTTAAGGTTTATTTAGATGTTTCATATTCCATTACTTGCCAAAGCTAAATGAATATACACTGGCAGTGCCGAAACTTTTCTTTGTAAAGCCATAACTGTTGGGAATGTTTCAGCAGAAGTTCAGTTGATTTGCGCTAACTCATCCTCACAGCTCTGGTGATGAGGAGAAAGAAGGTCCAGGTTTTTCCCCCATAGCTTTGTTTCTTATAGCAGCGTTCAAGTGCTGGAGAAAAGACGGGCTCAGTTCCATTAATTCAACGTCAACTAAATGAATTAACTTTAAAATCGACTTAAAAGACGGAACCAAAATGGAACCGGCCTCAAACTGGACAGCCAGTGTGAACACGTTGTTGAGTTAACCCTCTTATCAGCATACCCAAAATACAAGATGATGGACAAATGAGGTGAGAGGAATGTTAAGCCAGTTATTATTTTTTGTTGTTGTTCATACGACCAAGAGCGGGTTTTACTACAGCAATCGTGTTTAACGGCAATGAAGCATTTGTGGTTTGATTACGTGCTTCATTGAGGAGTGAGTGGTGCCAGTGATGAAATCAAAAAGAACATGACACTTTTACTTAGTATTGTCGAAACGTGTGATAGGCAACATGAACTATGCACTTCTTTGCTCATTTCATTGACTGAATCGTCTCAAATAACTCTTTGCAATAATACTTTGGCCTGAACAATGATTCTGACCTGGGATCTGAGGCTTCACGTCCTAAATGTTGAATAACGTCAAAAAGCAAATATGAATCGAGCAGCGGTGACTGGTCACCTGCCATGTTCATTTTCTGTTTCAGTGTTATTACAGTCCACCTGTCCTATTATTCCAAGTGGCTCTGAATCAGTGTGCTTCCCGTGGGTCCTAAATAGAAAATCTAAATTTAGAATGACTCCCTCGATCCTTGAATGATTTCCTCCCCCACAGCAATTCACAGTCTGGGGGTGGGGGGGGGGTTGTTTTGGCTTTCTCTAATATTATGTCAGTGCATTAGTGCAATTAAAAAAAAAGAAAGAAGTAGAAAAAACAAGGCTTATCATTTATTATTCTGAATGAATACTGAACAATTACAAATTCCATTTAACCGCATATCAAAGAACGAACTGCTCCCTCTTAAATATGTTACATATCTAGTCATAATTAACAAAGGCAAATTGTTGAAATGCTTCTTCTGGCAGTATTTAATGCCTTAATGCACTCCTCTACTAAAGAAGGAAAAAAATGCTTATCATAGAATGATTTGATTTAGATAAATTGCGAAACAGCCTTGACTTTCCATATTTATCAATGTATTGTGACTCAGTAAGATAATTAAGTTTTATCTGGCACTGATTTCTCAAAACTATATATTATGTAGTAAATGTTTTGCATTTAATTCTGAGTTACACCTTGCTGAAAACAGAGAATGCTCTTGGGTTTTAAGGCCACACAAGAGTATTTTTTGACCAAGGTAGAGGTAGCTGTGGTTTAAAATAGATTTTCATTTCATTTTCATTATTTATTTATGATCATATTCCCTTGACAGCGGAAGTCTCTTACTGCATTGTCCTGAAAGAATTTGCTTCATGGGCTGTGAGATGAGACGTTCGCAGATGTAGCCTATAAAGAGGCCTGACAGTCCATATCTCATCCGAGCTGACGTGTAAGCTGCAGTTGTCTTGAGGTGTCGGGTTTTTACTGTCTGTCTCGTCAGTGCTCTCTCCTCAACGCAGAGATACTGAATTGTATGTGTTAGTTTGAATGAAAAGCTGCTGTAAGGTTTCTGTCATGTTTCTGTCATTCTTCTGCAGCCGCTCATGTCCACACCACCACACTGTTTGTTAAGATCAGACGTCTTACTTTTGCTAGTCTGAACGGTTACCTTGTACGTGGTTTAGGAACCTTGGTTTACGTTCAACCCAACTGTGAAATATTAATGGGCTACTGATTTAAACTTTTGAGAAAACGCCACTCTGAAGCGGATACGTGGAGGTACAGACGGGGAACGAGAGGCTAGTAGAACTCAAGTGTGTAGAATTCCTTCTCTGAAGGCAACCTCACAAACTAACATGCTCTTCCAATATACCACTGTAAAGTTTCTTTCTTTTTCAAAGAAAATGATCATAGGAAAATGGGGTTATTTATTTCTTTTGATTTATTTTGTCATATTTTTGTAAGACCTGAAATGGAATAATAAACAGTTTTAAATTTACAGTTTTGCTGTGTAGTTCTGTATTGTTTAATGCTGTTTTTAAATCAGTGACAAGCAGATGTTCATTAGAAATCAGGACCTCTCCTTTCTGTTTTTGTACTGGTTTAATATCATATTCTAACACATGTATGGCCTGCTCCTGCTCTAATGCTCTAATCTGCCTGCTTTTATCATTCTCTGTTGGGTAAACTATGAAAAATTCTTTGAATATGAAAAATTATGAGAACAAAATGCTGTAGTTTATCTTTGAGGCAGTCAGGACGAACCTTCTGAGCAATTTCACATTGATGGAGAGGCTGGTTTGATGAATTTGCAACTCACCCAAGCAAATAAACTGATACAGATAATGTAGAATAAGAAAATAATTTGAATCAGAAATATTATTTAAGCTGTTCATTGAAATTCATTATTGATAACAACCAATAACTGGATTGCCTTATTATATTGCTTGTTTCTTGGGGAAGTTATTTTTGTGTGAACAGTGTAACAAAACTATGCCTGAATGTAATTAAGCTTCACTATGGAAGTCAGGCAGAAGTATGTCAAGTTTTGAGTTAGTATTTCTAAATAATTACTTATTTTCTAGGATTTTTAACTCAGTATATCAAAATATTTTTTAAATAGTTATCTCGATTTTCTCAATATTTTTTTTTACTATGTCGGAAAAAAATATTAAATTTCACGAAAGCAATTATTTCAGTACAATAAATAATTATTACAAGAATCTAAGTCGTGATTTTGACAGTGCTTTTTTAAACATCAACATTTTGAGAAGATAAGTCATTATTTTAACATGGTAAGTCATATTTTGAGAAAATGTAATTTCAACACAGTACATAATTAACTACGACATGCTAAGTCTTTAATTCGACATAATAAGTCTGTATTTTTGAAAAAATAAATCATACCGAGATTCTAACCCAATATTTTGAGAAAATCAAGTCAAATTTTGGCATACTCCAGTCTAAATCAAAGGTGAAAAAACTTACCTGGCGAGAATGGGCATATATAGGAATAGGCTTCCATAAGCTTCACTTTATAGGAACGAAATACTGAACGTGGAATGTGAATATGGAAATATCTGGCAACCGGACACAGCGCTTTAACTGAACTGGTGGCGTATTGAGCGCAGTGCGTCTGCTTCACTCTGCGGGATCGCTGTGGCTGCACTCGTCTTCCACAAAGCTTGAGCTTCAGGCTTCACACCCTGAGTGTAACTTACTCGGAGCGGGACAGACAGCCGATAAAACAGATCAGACGCGGTCAGATACCCGAACACGAGCTGGCTGGACGGTTTTCATTTGTCTAAACGTTTTTATTTTTTTCCGTCCGTTGTGTTGATCCGCCGAAGTCAGCAGTGTGAAGTGTCTCCAGTTGAGGGGCGCCCAGGGCCCTGTGCTGTGCTGTGCTGTGCTGTGCTAGCGTTAGCGTAGCGAAGAGCAAACCGTCTTGAAGGCAATATTCTTGGATTCACTTTGAAAAAGGCCACACGATGGATAAAGTAAGTTCCTTTCCTGCTTGTTACCTTTTTGCCGTCAGAGACCGCGTTAATTAACAGCTGTAGCTATGTAAATGCGCTAGGCAGCTAACCTGGCTAGCTAGCGAACCTTATTTTGGCTCGCGTTAGCCAGTTAGCTAACTTTAGTTGTCAACTTTCTAGCATGTGTTAGCTGGACTGGACACCCCGGTTTGGCTGTTTTGTCTCACACCAAGTTGTCCGTATTGAAAATAAGTAGCTGATAATTTGAAAAATGCGTTAGATTTGGGCCAGACGTGAACGTTGTTTACGTTGGCATTGTACGTTATCTTAGTTAGCTCGTTAGCCACTAGCTTTCTGTCAGATTCACCCACCCGGGCTTCTGCTAGCTGATAATGTTGAACCCAAAAGCTACACACGCTGTCCTGCTCGCTACTGTCGAGCAGTTAACGATAACTAAAACGCTCAAGAATAAAACCGTCACTATTCACAACGGCCAAGTTAGCTAACCAGTGTTTTACGTCATTGTTAAACGAGATGAAACATAACATTTAACGTTATCACTGTATCATCAGCGATGCACTCAGCTGGCCAGCTCGATGCCTGTATTGGGAACGCCCAAGATTGGCAATGACTTACACTATAGCTGGCGCCCTGGCCGTCTCGCTTTATTACTAACCTTAACGCACACAGAAGCCTGCTAACCAGTCTGATTGGGTTTAAAGACACGTCGAAGTGTTTGGATTGTATAGCTTAGACATGTGAAAGAGTGCATCATTATGCATCTCATTTTTATGGCATTTTTCATATGATGTGTATGACTCATATGAGATCGTTGTGAGCTGACTTCTGTATTCACTCTCCTGATGTGAATCTGTGTCCCTTTTGAGATATTTTTGTCGTCATAGAATTTAATTACAGAGCCTAATTTGCCTTCACACCTGGATAATAAAGCCATTTTGCATGTCCTGTACTGCTAACGTTGATAGAGATGCTGTGTGTTTCATAGAACAGAGAACAGGTGAAAGCTATTAAAGTGAAATACACTTTAATGTAACCCATTTCTAAATAAATTGTTTGCAGGCGGATTTCCTGAAAGGTCTCCCTGTATACAACAAGACCAATTTCAGTAGATTCCATGCAGACTCCGTGTGCAAAGCATCGGTAATCTTTTTACTTAATTGTTTCAACATGTGAATGTTTTGATATTTTAAAGATAGGTAGTTATTTTGTGGATTACAGTCAGTTGAGAAGTTCTTGACATCTGTTACAGAATAGAAGACCATCGGTATATCTGCCTACGCGGGAATACCCCTCGGAGCAGAGTAAGTGTTCGTTCAAATTTTCATCATGGACTTCGAGGACAAACATCATGTGTCTCATTATTTATTTAGGCTTTTTACAGTAAAATAAAATTTTGTGCTTTGACAATTGCATTGTGAATTTTAGGCTGTGGATAGATTTCAGTCTGTATGTTTTTTTCTCTTCACAGTTATTGTTACAGAGAAAACAAATATTCTTTTGCGCTACCTTCATCAACAGTGGGACAAAAAGGTGTGTATTCTAAATATTGTTCTAAAAAGTAGGGTGCAGTTGAAGTTGAGATGTGTATGTGTTTTATTTATGTGCTTTGTCCATTATCATTTGAAAATACAATAGGGAAAAAATAATATCTGTACCTGATGGAAGAGCAGTGATTCCTGATTAAGCATTTACAAAAGCACTTAAGCACATAATCAGTGTGCTGATATCATTACTTGTTCATATGTAGTATTAACAGCCATCTAGAGTGATGTGGTCACGAGTGATCAGAGAGATGTATAGCTGTTTACACCTAGCTTTTCAATGGATCTTAAATGTGTCTCCAGTGACCACTTATGATCAGACTTCATGACTGGATTATTATGTTAGCCTCTCTTGATAATAGTGACATTTACATTTATTGATTTGGCAGATGTTTTTTTTTGTATCCAGAGCATCCCCTCTTCTGCATGTATTTAAATACTTTATTTAAACATATGTGAAATTCAGCATGCGATTGGTAACCAGTATCATTCAGTATCAAATGTACTTTTTCAAATATGGGCAATTTACATATTTTGTATATTATGCTATTGTTATAAATGTAATCCACTGAAAATTCTCCACTAAATTAAGTCAAAATAAGTAGCTTCATTTATCCAAGGATGTTGTATTGCAGTTCTATAGCATGCAAATATCTAGTCTCACACACGTCCAGCACCCCTTGAAGGCAGAGTTCATGGCTGGTGACAGCAATGGTGCGCTTGTCTGATGAACAGCAAGCCCGTGGACGTAAAATTGGCATAGCTGAGAAGTTCCCCAAATCCACAGTCCAGCACAATGAGTGTTTAACAAGTTGTCCTCAGATGTGTATTCTTGTTATGAGATCACACTTGGCCCCATGAGGCTAGCGGAGGCATGCTGATAATGAGCCATAATAATGACAATAACAAGTTGCCTTGCGTTGTATTTGTGTGTAGAATGCAGCCAAGAAGCGGGAGCAGGAGCAGGGTGAAGGAGGAAGTCCTGCACCTCCACGCAAAATCGCCCGGACCGACAGTCAGGAAATGAACGAAGACTCCTAAATGGGATCATTACCAAACAGCACAAGGACAGGCACAAAAATTAGAGCCCTTTCAGAAGTTCATAATACCTGGTCTACACCTCATGTAGACACCTGCACATGAGACTGGGATGTACTTTAAAAAAAAAAAATGAAAAAAGGAGAGAATAAGACCTTTTTTTATGGTGTGCTTTTTTTTTTTTTTTTTTTAAATTAAGCGCCTCCTGTCAAACTGTCCCCGTTGTGCATCCTTACAGCCTAGTGTTAAACACTTGGGGGCGCGGTTAGCTTCCACTGCCAGATTCTGTGGACCTGATGCACTGTAAATTGCTCAGGTAGGATAGGGAGACTTTAGGGCGAGCTCAAAGACACATCGATCTTCAACATGGAGGTGTTTGGCAGTGTGTGGAAAGCTTAGAGTGCATCACAGCGTTGGTCGCAGGTGTGCGTGCAAATCACGATCATCTAACACTGATTAGAGGGCTGCTTTGATCTTTGATGGTCTAGTTTAAGAACTATTCCCACTAGCTCAGCTATGGACGTTTTTTGTTGTTTTTTTTTGCTGTTCTTATAAAGAGAGTGCCTAATAGGCGCCTTAGTTCTTACATGTGAAGCAATTTTGTTTTGGAGAAACATAGATGTAGGAGTATTGGTGGAAGTCATGGGAGATCTTCCTAGAGTGTGCCTACTTGTGCATGGACACACTGTTAAGATTCTGATCTCTTGCTTCGATCATGTCTTGGAGATGTCACGATGGTGCTGATTTGGATTTGTGAAACAACAGTTTGACAGCTTTTCTTTGTTCTGTTATCAGGGATGTATCTGGAGGTGATGCAGAATGGCCGAGTATAGAATGCTAAGCCGATTCGCTTCTCAGTTTTTGAGGCAGTTGCGTTTCCACTCTGGTGTTCCATTCAGGTTTGACCAGCTTGGATCCTGTGCCTTTTAGTAGTTCTCCCCAGCTTGGATAATGATAGTGCTAGTTTTATAGATCTGTGAAGTCAGCGTCCTGCTCCGAGTCTGAGATACTGTTCTTGAAGCATTTAGAGCTATGCAGGGTTTTTTTCCCCCATTTGATGTGCTTGACTCAATATGAATGAATGGTCAGGTCAGATGTCAGTAATAACTAACAGAGCAGATCAGTTGAAAAAGCTTTATGCATGTGGCTTTCTTTTGTGTCTCACCTGGTATGATGTGACCACAGTGTACCTGAACTATGTCGTGTTCACTGTGTTCAGACCACTGCGCTTGGAAGTGTTACATGAGGAAATGCTAAGTAAGGAAATGTGTGTCCATAGTTTCTCTTTAAGTGCTCCTTTAACCCCCTTAACTGGTTTCATTAAGTGTTTGTTCTGTTATTAAAAAGTTTAAAATGCAGATGAAGCCATTAGTGTTGGCTAAAGCACGTATGTTCTGTGGCAGCTCTGCGGAGGGTTTGGCAATAGAAGGCGCCTAAACTGACACTGTTGACTACAGGCTGGACTGTGAGGAAAGGGTGCTCTGGCTGTGTATATAACTCCAATGCTCAGTCCTTATGTAAAACCTACTACTATACCCAACTCTAACCTTAACATTATTGCACAGATTTACCTGTACATGTATCTCTAACCATCCCAGCTGTGTGATATGATGCACAGTATGCGGTTCACAATATGCTTTGCAGCAAAATCAGTTTAAGGTCTTCACCTGACCAAGCACCACGGGAGGTTTTGGGTTCAGTTCTTAAGTGTTTTGGACGTGATGATGAGCATAAGATGCCCCTCTTTCCTTATAGAAACACTTTTAAAGTTCAGAACACACTTTACACATTTTGTAAACACCCAGCTGCTATATTTCGTTGTTTCTAGTGTCATGTTGCCTGCCTCTGATTGCTCAGACCAACACGCTCAAGAGTACATAGCTATAATCCTGCCTTATTAAATATGTGGAGTGCATTCAGAAAAAAACAAAACACCAAGAAGTTGCAGCAAATTGTCCCTTGTCTCTTTCATATTTGTGTACGGGTGAACCTCCCTTAATTTGTATTTTCTCCTGGAAGCCTTCCCGATTTCTTTATACATTAGATCGACATTGTTATTTGAGGAATTAAAAAATAATAAGACCCAGGAAAGTGTCCCTGTATCTCATTCCTCACAATTACCTCCCACTCTGTCACAGTAAGAGCTGAGCAGAGGTATTTCGAGTAGCCTACACATTTTAGTGTTCCCCCTGCTCTCAAAAGACCTAATGCAGCTAATTTACAAGCCCTTCCTGAGGCAAACTGTTCGATTAAGGAAAATACTGCAGCATGCAGGGCAGTGGTTCTCCAGGACCAGGACTGAGAACCATCCTCAAGTAAAAGTCTTGTTCCTTAACTGAAATAATGAGTACAAGTAGATAACAGTAGCTACAGTGCTCAGAAGTAGTCTTGGGGTGCTCTCTGTATACAGTTTGTCTTGTTGGTTTATCACTTACCACAGTAAAGTGACCATTTATTCATAATAACATTAAAGTTTTAATAACCCGTGATAATGAGCAGGTTTCCTAACTTAAAACGATCCCAGTAAATAATAGAAAACTTAAGTAAGGCAAGTACTCAAACTTTATTGCCTTTTTTATGTAAGTTAGTGTTTAGTATTTGTTTTTAGCTTAGCATCAGGGGCATAGCTGAGATATGGCCAGTGCTACCTTCTTTTGAAGCATTGCCACAATTCTGGCCACCCCAGGTAAATGGAGTAAAGACAGCCAGCTATCATCAATAAAACAATTACCACAGCAAAGTTCTACTTCTTTGTCTGAATGTTTTTATGATGGAAATCTGCCATCAGGGCCAGTCAGTTATGATCTGGTGCTGCACTCAGTAATCAGTGTATCTCATAGTGAGTGAACGCTGCACAAAACTGAAATGTTACCCTTTGTCATTTTGCTACTACACTTATAATTTGCCCTGTACATTTGAACAGTGCTGCTCTTTGAGCTACATTATATGAAGTAGGCTATATGATGGTAAGATGAGGTAACTATCAAAAAAATTTAATTACCATCAGTGGGCCTCATTCATCAACTGCTCTCAATAAGAAAATTCTGAAACCCACTTACAGTTTTCACAAAAATTCTGACATTCACCAATGATTTCTTGTGATTTCTTCTTACATACACATAACACGGTTCTTCATGGGTTCCTTAGTAAAGAAATAGGTTCTATATAGAACCATACACACTCAAAGAACCCTTCGCATGATAAAGGGTTCTTTGCATCATGAAATGGTACTAAAGAATTTGCTGTAGATGGTTCTATATATTAGTTCTACCTGTCCAGGGTGTGCCCAATGACTGCTGGGATAGGCTCCGGCAGCCCCCGCGAGCCAGAAGGATAAGTGGTTTAGAGTGTGTGTGTGTGTGTGTGTGTGTGAGAGAGAGAGAGAGAGAGAGTGAGAGGAAAAGGTTCTATATAGCACCAAAAAATTTCTTCTGTTGTTACAGTGTCAAGCTTCTAACAATAGAAAAACCCTTTTCAAAAAGGTTCTATATAGAACCGGCTGCAGGAAATTCTCCATCAGTCTGAAGAACTCTTTTATGATGCAAAGAACCCTTTAATCATGCAAAGGATTCTTTGAGTGTTTATGGTTCTATATAGAACCATTTCAGAAAAAACAGGAAGATGGTGAATAAATCTATTGAGTAATAGATAATAAGCTACTATTGCTTATCATGTAAGCTAAATACTTGCTTACTGCTGAATACTTTTATAAAGACATAAGCTAGATTTAAACATTATAGATCTAATTATATCTTATTATAATTACAGTATACTATTATTAATAGTCAATAATATTGTTATAAATATTATTTTCTCATAATGTTACTATACCCCCTTTTTCCTTAGCAGTTTGCCACCCCAATAAAATGTAAGGGTCTAACCCAGCCACCCCATTGAAAAGGTTCTGGCTATGCCCCTGGTTAGTATCGTGTTGCTTATCCCTTCTTTCAGGCTGGAGTGCCTGAGATTGCACCCCCGATTCACACACAGACATGTTGGACCTTTAGTTTTCAATGTAAACTGTTTGAACTTTTTTCACGCTTGATTTTGGAGTTGTCAATTCATCTGCAATCTTTCTCGCAGACATTTTGTTACCAGCAATTTTTTTGATAGATTAATTCAACTCGATGTTTAAGCTTTCTAAAGCAACATCTTTCTGAATCTAAAATATGTATCATTCCTTAGTCAGAAAGACAAAAACATGCCAAAATATGGTGTGCGTCTTGTGCTGTAGGTCACCCTGTAAAGCCTGGAATATTAATATAAAAGTCAGAGGTGTTAGGTCGCGGGACTTTTTTGCACCACGTCATACATCTGTACAAGTTAATGCCATGTGCACAGACTCGAAAAGAAAATCTGGCTCTGTTTAGGTCATCAAAATCAACACTATACTGACAAAGATATGATGACAATAACAGACTATAATTATAAAAACAGACAAGTTTTGACCAAGTCCTTATTGAATGCTCTTTCTATGCGCTCACAATCAGTTTCATTCGCTTGGAGAAGGAGTCTGAAGCACAATCAACATTACAAAATGTTCTTCTGCCTGTTGCATGCAATTACACATTTCCACCAAAGAGGTCTCCAAATCCCCAAAACTTACATAGTGTAGCTAGAGATTCTGAAGTGTTGCATAGTGGCTTTACAAGAGTAGCACTGATCTGAACATGGCGTGTGTTTTTGTTTTTTTTATAAAGTAAAATGGAAGGTTAGGCGCAAAGCATTGATTGGTAAGTTATAGCTGAAATAATGTCCTTTTGAATACAGTAAAAAATCATTTCCATAATACATAATAACTATGTTTAATAAATTATGATACAGATGTCCCGCATCTAGTTTCAAGCACTGTAAGCAAAAGTAAAATTATCTGCAAAAAAAATTGAGTGGTGATGAAGTAATGAAGCTTCTTAGTACATCCAACATTTGTCAGCGCAAGAACTGAAGATTATCAGGTTTTGGGATCCTCCTGTGGGGTGTGAGCAACAGCAAAACAGTCCATGTTGTGAACCAACAAATCAGCATTAAATTAAACCCAAAAACCGAATAAGGAACTACACGTGAGGGACTGAAGTGTAAGTAAAAACGTAGTTTAGTTGAATTGCCTTACAAAAATAACTGAATACAAGTATTTGTATTCATTATCAGTATTAACTTGGCTAAATGTAACTGGTTAGTGACTTGGCCATGCAGATATTCCCCCGTTTCTCTCTGTCCACATCACCAACAACATGAGCACAAACGAGCCCTGATTGGTGAACAGTCTCGTTAATGTGCCAAACCGGCGTCTGATTGGACCCTTAGTATCTCACTATAGCAACAGCTTGGTAACGGCAACGTTCCTCGGCGTTTTATTGGTCTCGCGAAGGCGTGTCTGAGTTCCTATTGGCTCATTAGCGCGTCGTTCAGGCAGCACGAGGCAGGCTCTCAGGTGGCCCGGCTGCTGGAGGAGAGCAGCGGAGGAGGTTCAGGCGAGGCTGCTGTAGCCGCAGATGTCCAGCAGGTGTAATCCCTCACTAATCTGTACTTCTGTCTGTCACTACACCTTAAAGAAATATGCAGGGTTGTGAGTAAAGACGAATAACGATTAATCGTGGTTCGAAAGTGTCCCGGAGAGAGTAAATGGACCTGTAAAGTGAGCTGAAATCTGGCGCAGATCAACAGATTCCAGTTAGATTAGATTATTGGATTGGCTACAACAGATTATCGCTCGTCTTTTTCCACAACACCAACTGGGAGAAGAGCGAGTAATACGACGTTTCTATGCATTGAGTCTGTTATTTATCAGGTAAGAGACTTGCATAGCACACTGAATACCAGGAAAATATCGAGCCAGTTTAGTGAAATTGGGAAAAGTTGTGTAAGTACTGTTACAGGAATCTCTACAGCATTCATATTACTGCACAATGTTATAGATTACTATAACAGTATTAACAAGGATATTATAAGAGGTGAACATTTTATAAATGAATATAAAGTTGTTATACAACATTATAATTCAGGTTATAGTACAACAACAGTTATTTTTGTAGGGATAGGTATGACCACTGTGTGTTGAATATGAAATATTTTAACTATATTGTTTATGTCAGGCTTGGAAAATAGTTTCATTAGATTTGAATTGTGAAATATTGGACAACAACATATATTTTTCTATAGCAATATAAGAATAGAATGAAACAACGCTGACTTAGGCCTACCTATGTTGAGGGATCTTTGCCAGCAGCCCTAAAACAACAACTGCTAGTAGACTGAAATAGAAACTTCAGAGCTTGTATCATCAGTGGCCAACCTAAAAAGGCTGAAATTAGGGTATTTTTAATATAGCCTGTCTTTGCATCCATATTAGGTGTAAGGATACATCTTAAATGTCATAACATGTAATTTGACTGATTATTTTCAAGTACACCTGTAATCAGACCTGCACACCAACAAGCAGAAAATGAACGCTTCTTCCGTGTTGAGCTCTTATTTACTCAGTTCAGTTGTAACGCTGGGAGCATGCTCTGAATGTCTGCCATGTCATAAATCCTTTCCTTTTATATTTATAATCAGCAGGCTTTGCTCCAATGACTCACAATGCATATAACATATCAAAGGTAAATATATTTTCAGATGAACTATATTTATACTCCTGAATAAGTTCTTAGAGTCTTCAAAATAGTAATAGTACTCAAGGTAATAGCACTGCACTTGTACTTAAGTGCAGATTTTCAGTACTCATTCCACTGATGCTCAAGGAAGGTAATCTTCACTTATGAGCCAAAATAACCCAGAGAGCTTTTCGGCATATCCTGATTCATTATCATGAGGACCAAGAGATTCCATGTTATGGACGACTTTAAGTCAGGCGTGGTAAAACAGTGCATATCTGTTCATACCCAGTGTTGTAATGTATGGTCAGACTCCAGTGAAAGGATTGACCATCTGGGGGTCCTCAAAGATTAGACTGGGAACATGTTAACATATTTCTGCCATGTTTTTCTTGCTTGGGCACATGTCTCTTGTTTGTAAACAAACATCTTCAGTATTTAGAAGACATTATTAGCCTACAGTGTATACAAAGGAAAAGGGCAGATGTTGATTTGAAGTGTGAGATTTGGATTGATCGAAGTCGCTTTTGTACATCTGAACTGTTATTTTACATTGCTTTGTTTATTTAATTGGAGAATTTATTGGATTTTTTAGGCTGCGACTTTTAAAAGTGGCCTAATTTTTAGTTTTATGTGAAAAAAGGTGCCAACTTTGATATTATTAGGATATCATGCTAAATGCATGAACTTTTCAAGCATTGCTCTTTGCATTAAAATTGTGTTATGTTATACAAACATGCATAGGTGCACATCAGTCATGTTATTATTGAAATCTGGAGGATAACTTTTTGGCCCTCTGTATCTCCAAACTGATCTATATAAGCTCTTTCCAATTTTAGTATTTATTTACAGTAAGCTGTAAATTGACAAACTTATGTTATGTGTATACCAAACTAAAATCCCTGAACATCACATGCATCTTACCATCCATAGCTGTAAGTAATTACATTCAATTGAAGATTTATTTACATTGCACCTTTTACAGTGAGCATTATCACAAAGCAGCTTTAGAGAAGATCCAGGTCCAGGCCCCAAATGAATAAGCCAAGGGTGACAGTGGCAAAGAAAAACTCCCTAAGACCAAGAGGAAGAAGAAAGAGAGGAACCAAGCCTCAAAGAGGGAACCCATCGTCCTCTGGTCGACACCGGGTAGAAAAGCAATAGCACAGCATGAGCAATAAGAATAAAAAATAAAGATTTGACAAAGAATATATAATAGTGAATATGAACCAAAGATAACAAATGAGCCTGTCATTTGTTAGATAATTATAATTGTTAGATAATTAACTAATAAATTAGATTAATCACTAAATAGCTGATGACTACTGTTAGAAGCTTATCAGAGTGAAAAATGAGAAACAGATTCATGAAAACCAGTGACTATCAGTGAACATGAGATTTAGGTCCATTGGAAACAATGAGAAGCCTGTCAGATGATGAGAAGTTAGTTTGAAAGACGTACCTGTGAATCAAAAATCATAATGTATTTTACTTCTGTACTAAAACACATCATCAGGGAGGGTCTCTGAGGTAGCTGAGTCGATGATAGGTGAGGGTGATGGTAGAGGGAGGTGAAACATGATATTATTAGTTGATACTACTTTTCTTTGCCCACTGGTGCGTAGTGACATCATCAAAACTCAGGAGGTGTTTAAGAGGCGGCAAAAGTCATAAAATTTTGCTTTTAAAATTATATGAATTGTGCTTAGCAGGGTTATGTACTAATACGGTAAAAAAGGTCAGTTCTGATTAGAAGTTCATGTTAAGGCACTATTTTCCTGCTTTTTTACTCCTCTATATTTCTATAACTACACTCTCAGAAAAAAGGTTCTAAGTTGTCACTGGGGTGGTGCCCTCAAGGGTACATTTTGGCCCATTCCCATTTCACCTCTTGCCCCTACTACTTAGCCCTTACCACTCCGTTTTGCGTGCTCACGCCTAGAGGAAGGGTGTCCTGATTTTTGTTGAGATAGAGGGGCGGGTTTTTCAGATGCTCACTGCAAACAGAGTGTTAAGATAAGAAAACAAAGAAACCCACAGAAGTGGGTATATATAGAATAACCACTGTACTTTCTTAGTTTAATGTCATTTCAATGTATTATGGTCCTTTTCTTCATAAAAAGAATAAAAAATCTCTGGTAGTATGCTGTTGTCTCAGTAGTTAGCTATCTAAATTTCCCATTCCACCTTAAACTTTCTCATTCCACCATTTAAGGTGGAATGAGAAAGTTTAAACAAGAAGCTAATGAATAGTGGACTTCAGCTTCATAACACTGAAGAATTAGGGGTTTGAAGGCCCCCCTTTGAAGGCCTGATATGATTCCCTAAAATTAAATAAAGCCCAGCAGTGAGGTTGCTAAACTTTACCCTCCTCTGCTATCAGTGCAGACCGGCAGGGCTGCCTACAGAGCACCACTATGAGGTAATGTTCTTGTTTATTTGAGGGTCCCATTTCATAGGGGAAGATTTGAAACACAAAGCTATTAACTATTAAATATTGTTTTATTTAGACTGACTCCACACACCCCGTCTTGCCCCCAGGCTTTTTAATTTTGTTTTAAAACATTTGGTTATGAAAAGTTATAATAAATCTGCACCTTCCCAGTGGGCATAACTTATTTAAGGTACACAATTGGACCTTAAAACCACTGTTGTACCTTTGAGGATACATTTACATTGTTTGTAGTTTGATGAATGCAAAATCTACCTGCACAGTACCTTTATTTCTGACCGTGTACTGAAGACACAAGTCTAAAATTTGCCACCTGTCAACAAAAATAACATCACCAATTGAAGAAATTCTCTTCAACACAGGTAATCGCTATGTTGACCAGCTTTATGGATGGAATTCTCTGCTGTTTAACGGGTAAATCTGCCAACGTTGTGGTTCCGATTGAAACATCTGAGCCTGCAGACGGTTTTGAGTTTGTGGAGGTGAAGCCCGGCAGGGTGCTGCGGGTCCGGCACATCATCCCTGACCGGCCAGTGGTGGAGGAGCCAGGCAGTGGAGAAGGAGGCAGCGTGAGCTGCAAGAGGAAAATCACAGTGTACCGTAATGGTCAGTTACTGATAGAGAATGTGAGTGAGGCGACACATCCGGAGCTTGTGCGCTGTCAGAATGGAGACAGCACTGTGGAGGTGGAGGATCTGGACAGCCATCACCCAGCCTCGAGACAAGCTGGAGACTCTAATGCAGTAACACCCCAAGAGCAGCCTCAGCAGCCTCAGCGCAGGCGGCGCAAACCCAAACGCTCTGTCATGATTGACTGCGAGCGCAAAATCACCTGCTGCAAAGAAACACACCCGGACGTGGCCTTGTTCTTCATACACGGAGTAGGCGGGTCTCTGGACATCTGGGGGAGCCAGCTGGACTACTTCTCCCAGCTTGGCTATGAAGTTATTGCCCCAGACCTCGCCGGACATGGTGCGAGCTCTGCCCCTCAGATTACCGCTGCCTACACGTTTTATGCCCTGGCAGAGGATATTCGAATAGTATTCAAGAGATACGCAAAGCGGCGGAATATTCTTATTGGACATTCTTACGGGTAAGGACTCATTTCTGACTGTCCAGCCTTGTCCATTGATAAAAAATAAGGAAAAGTGCTGGATTTTCTGCAGAACCTTCTGAACATACTTTCCCTGTAGTACAAAAATAATAATACAAAAGTTTAGAATCACTTAGGCTACAGGCTGTTATTGAAATTCTGTATATGATATTAAAATGTGCAACATATATTCAAAAGTTAAACTAGACATCTTTTTATGTTTTATTCAATATAATACATATAATATTTTGTCAAATTATCTGCTTTCAGATTTGATCACTTTTAAAATGTGAGGAATCCCAGACATTAATTGTATTATACCTTTGAAATCTTTATGCTCTATAGATTCTACAGATTCATTGATCATTTAGACACATCTGAAATATATATAAATACTGCAGCCACTCACTGTCCACTCTATTAGACACACATACCTTGTTGGTCCACCTTGTAGATGTAGAGTTATCTGTTGCTGCACAGTTTGCGTTGGTCATCCTCTAGTCCTTCATCAGTGGTCACAAGACGCTGCCAACAGGACGCTGATTATGTTTGGTTGCTGGACTATTCGCAGTCCAGCAGTGACACTGAGGTGTTTAAAAACTCCAGCAGCACTGCTGTGTCTGATCCACTCAGACCAGCGCAACACACACTAACACACCCCCACCACGTCAGTGTCACTGCAGTGCTGAGAATGATCCACCACCCAAATAGTACCTGGTCTGTGAGGGTCCTGAAGGATAGGGTGAAAAGTATGCAGATGGACTACAGTCTGTAATTGTAGAAATACAAAGTGCTTCTATATGGTAAGTGGAGCTGATAAAATGGACAGTGACTGTAGGAACAAGGATGTGTTCCTAATAAAGTGCTCGGTGAGTGTATATATACTGCTTCCTAGCTTCCTTCTACACTTTTGAACAGAGATGCCAAACTGTAAATTAAACTGTAAAGAAAAATTGTGTAAAACTGGGATATGTACTGGTGAAAAATTACTTGTACATTTTCTGTAAAGTTAACAGACAGCTCCGTCACAGAAAATCTGGTTAAATTATGAGTTGGGCAGTTCCTTCAGTTCATGTACAGAACATTCTGTAAATTTACAGTTTTATCTGTAAAAATGTTTCTTTCTAATCAAAACAGAAAAAACCTTCACTATCCTCCAGTAGATCCCAACTAATCTATCAGTTAATGAGCTGTAAAGTTAGCGCCATCAACAAAAATACAGTTGGGCTTTACGAGATTGCCCTCTGGGAGTATATATGCACACAATAGTATACATGCTACAACTTGTTTTTCCATTTTTCCAGGGTGTCATTTTGCACCTTCCTGGCCCACGAGTATCCAGAGCAAGTTCACAAAGTGGTGATGATTAACGGTGGTGGCCCTACAGCTCTGGAACCCAGCCTTTGTTCAATCTTCAACCTGCCCACATGTGTGCTGCATTGTTTGTCACCGTGCCTCTCTTGGAGCTTCCTCATGTAGGAATACTGTACAATTATTTCTCTAAAGTAACTGTTCTCCGTACTGATTTCATCAATCAGACATCAGAGTCGCTTTAAGAGTTTTAAACCTCTTATGGACTTAATGTAAACTGTACTTGTTTCTCACAGGGCTGGATTTGCCCATCAGGGGACAAAGGAAAAGAAACTTCTTAAAGAGAAAAATGCCTTCAATGTGTCCTCTTTTGTGCTGCGGTCTATGATGAGTGGTCAGTACTGGCCGGAGGGTGACGAGGTCTATCATGCTGAAATCACTGTGCCCACTCTCCTGGTGCACGGCATGTATGACAAGTTTGTGCCAATACAAGAGGACCAGCGCATGGCGGAGGTAAACGTTTTAACCCTGCCTGACAGTGTTTACAGAGGTTGATATAATCCAGTATTTGAGTATTCTTTCTGTAAGCCAATATCATAGCTGTCAAAAACAAAATTCAAAATTTCACTTAGTCCATTTGTGATGAAATACGTACCCCAATGCGAAGGGCAGCCAGCAATTCCAAAAGGTCCAAAACAAATGTAAAAAAGTAAAAATAAAAAAAATAAAAAATGCTAATAACAGCAATGATATTTCAGTTAGTATACATTTGAAGAAATGTGTATGCTTTATATTTGCAATTTAATAGTGTGAAAACTGGTGGATTGAGATCGCTGTTGGAAAATTTCAAAGATGTGTCCATAATGGTTACGTTGCTCTCTCCACAGATTCTACTTCTGGGCTTTCTGAAGGTCATTGATGAGGGAAGCCACATGGTAATGATGGAATGCCCTGAGACAGTTAACACTCTGTTACATGAGTTTTTCCTGTGGCAGCCGGCCACTACCTCAAAACCCAAACAAGACTCTGCACTTCCACCAATCGCTAACAAAACCTCCAACTCTAAAGAGACAGCAAGGCCGACAACTGCACCCAAGATTATGGCCTCAAAGCCTGAACAAGACCTGACAAGGCCAACAACGGCTCCAAAGTCTGGCCAAGAGGAGGCAGAAACAAGAAAGTAACACAAACGAAAGGGCAGTCTGGCTGCCGTATAAGAGTTTATGCTTTTTTAATTGTGAAAAAGTACACTGCCTGAGCTTCTGCAGGCTCTACGGATGAGCAATGACCCAGTATGATGAGCATGATGATGCAAAAGTATCTCTTGTAAAATGAAGCACATAATGTAGACATAAATATCCAACAAGGGAAAAAAGTGGCATGACTCAAATATGTTCACATGGCACACGGTCCATGGCAGTTTCAAAACCTTTTAATGCACTCTTTGAATCAATTATGCGACGTCTATGTAGCCATACATTTTTGCATAACTGGTATTATTATTCTGTTATTCTCCCAGTTGAAAACATTTTCATTCAACAGTTATGACTTTAGAAACCATGAAACTGCCTGTCTGAGAATAGTGGCAAAGGACAAACATACAGTAACTGCTTACAGTTTAAGTAACACTATAAAGGCCTGGCTACACTGATGTGATGTCAGTTCACAAGTGTGAACTACCTTCTGTTGTTTTTGTCTAGCAAGCAGCATTGCATATTTAGATATGAGGGACCTGTGCTGTTTTGTAAAAATCAGTGCCATATTGGCATGTTCCAGGAAAAACAGCTACGCAAGTGTTGAGTTTCAGGGAAGTATTTATTTTCCTGATGTAGTTACTTGAATGCATCAAAGTGAGTGTTATACATGTAAATAAAAGGAAATTGTTTGTCTCTAGTTATATATTTTTTCAAATAGTGTTAAACCTATAGAGACTATAGTCGTAACGGAGAAATGTTTTAGTTTTTCCACAGTAACTACAAATATTGACATGACCTAAAGCCTCATTTGGGATGTATATTTTTGTTTTTGTACTTTGAAAATAAATGTATTTGGTACAGGAAACAAGTTAATTTTGCATTATTTCTATTAATTATGAATCATTCACACTGTGAAAAAACAGGTTCTGTACAACATGCAGCACATTTACTGTGTAGCTTAAATGAGTTTTACATTCATTTTTCCAAGCACTTATTTGTACTTTTCATAATTTGTTCATGGAAAATAAAAAAGGCTGGGCTCAAGAAACAATGTATGGAGTCAAGGCAACTCAAAGTATTTACCTGCAAAACAAGACTCCAATTATGTTCCCCACCAAAAGGGTGCTTAAGATGTACCCTGGGGTGGGTGCAGAGTGGGAGGTTACAGCACCTGTGAATTTAGTACCTTCGTTGACAGAAAAGGGGAGAACACTAGGCGGCAGAGCAGCTTTGCAGAAAGCAAACGGTGCCAGCGGGTTTGAATCTTCTTCAGCATAGCCAGACTTTTTAAGCAAAAACAAATATAACGCTTTAAAGAGAAACCAAACCCTGCTCCTGAAGATCTACTCCCCAGTTTACTTCCAGCCCACCTGAACCTCTTAAAAGAAGAGGCCTGTTTTAGAGCCTAAACCTACCATGCTTTTGCGAGTATGCACTGCTATTTTTTGGATTAAAAAAAAGATACAAATTCCATAAATGTTGGAAGTCACTTTTATTTACATCAATCACTTTCTACTTCAGAGGAATGAAGCGAGAGGAGTGGGTGGCTCCAATACCAGGGCGACCGTGCTTAACAGGCTTGTATGTGATGGAGAACTCTCCAAGGTAGTGGCCAATCATCTCAGGCTGCAGAAAAACACAAGGGGAAAATGTTAGTCAGACACTATTTCCACTGTCTCTACTGTTCTCATCCTGTTATCTTAATCTGACAGCATTCATCTACTCTGCACAGGACAGTACACCAAAGTGACATTACCGAAATTAAACCAAAGGTCATTCGTGTACAGTACATTGAGTTGTTCATGAAACTGAGCAAATAAATAAATAAATAAATAAATAAATAAAACACAGGGCACAATTTAACCTGAGGATCCCAGGTTGGGCATGAAGTGCCAAGGCATAAAACAAACCAATTATGCCCACTCAACTTTCCTTGGGCACAACTCTGAAAGCAGCTGCCCCATAAATAAACTGGACATATGTAGTCAACGCTAAAAACAAATGCAAAACAGCAATTCTGTGAAGATGTTTTCCCCAGACCACCACTGCCAAACCCACCAATATCAGCAGTCTTCATGTGTCTGAAACAAGCAGGTATTTAGGTAACTTCAGGACTACCTGATAGAAATATCTAACCTCTTCTCATGTTGGACAGCCTTGACCTTTGGCTTAAGTCAGGTGGTTCCCAATTCCTAGCACAATTGTGTTTTCTCTACTCTATAACTGCATAACCTAAATAAAATGTTTGTTAAAGAGTCAAATCAGGTGTACTAGAGGAGACAAAGCACATGAATGTCCATAGTGTGGGGTTGCCAGTACTGAGATTGGAAATCCCTGGCTTCAATTATCTGGCTACAGGTCCAGCACTCCTCAGTGGTCTCAATCCACAATTATACACGTGTAGAAATGTAAGGTTTTCCATTGCATTACCTTAATTTCAACCTGGTTGAAGGTCTTGCCATTGTACACGCCGACCATGGAGCCCACCATCTCTGGCAGGATGACCATGTCTCTCAGATGGGTCTTCACCACCTCAGGCTTCTCCATTGGTGGGGCCTCCTTCTTGGCCTTGCGCAGGCGCTTCAGGAGAGACTGCTGCTTCCTTCTGAGCCCACGGTTCAACCTCCTCCTCTGGCGAGCGCAGTACAGCTGCATGAGCTGCTCACTGAAGAACAGACATTATTTTAAGCTCCTAATATCACATGCATAATATTAAGGACAGCAAGAAACCACATCAGAAATGTAGGAATGCAAGTTTAAAAGAATCAGGTCTGCAACACCAACAGGTATAGTTATCTAATCCTCTACAAGGAACATAACAGGACATCTTTCTGTAAAACCAAGTCGTAACTGACAATACTAGCAAATTAAATGCAGTTTGAAGTCCAATCACAGGAGAACTGTATTTAAAGGGGTCAGCTTTGGTGTACTGAACAGGTCCTGATGTAGGCGAACAAGTCCAGACCTGACGTTTCACATTAATATGAAGCAGTCCAGTTACTCACTAGGACATGTCCAGGAGCTGGTCCAGGTCCACACCTCTGTAGGTGAACTTCCTGAAGGTACGCTTCTTCTTCTGCTCGACGTCCGCCTGCAAGTTAGTTGAGACAGAGTTTAAGGGGCATTCCACTGATTTTGAAAAATTTCTGAATAACTCAGTCCTTGAAAAAAACATCATACAACGTGGTTTAACGTACTTTGTTGTCACAAAACGTTAAATGATTTCTTTACAGTGGTGGTGATGATGGGAAGCAGGGATCACAAAAGCAACACAAATACCACCATTTATTTACTATTCAAAATCACCAGTGAACCTACTCACGTCTTCTGAGCTTTTATATGAAACGTTGATAATGGTTAAACTACTGATAAATCTCAACTTTCTTTTGCCCTTACAACCCCCTGCATGCACACCTACAATATGAATAGACCAAAATAAACGTATTAAAATATGTATTAAGCTAATACTTTATCACAAAACTCATAAAACTGTCAGACAACAGGCAGCATTTATCAAGCCATTTAATGCAATAACTTTCTGTGAGGGAGCTTTTGAGAGGTGGATGACTGGTTCCTATCACCACCACCGTAAACAATTTTGACTCGCCTAGTTTCTCTAGAATGGAGCATTTGAACACCAAACCACTCTGAATGACTGTTTACATCAGCACCATTTATGCTTAATTTTTTTAAAGCGGTGGCGTTCCCCTTTAAGACCAACCTTTATTACTCGAGGACTAGAAACTTACTTATTTTCAAATCTGTCTGGCGTTAAAAGTTTGTTTTAATAATGGAACAACGTGGTTTGCTCAAGTTTACATGCGTCCATAATTATTTTGGAAAGACCTCGACTAAAATACTTCTTAGCTGACCGAACATCAGCTCTGTAGCTTCAGGTCAAAGCTTAAGAACGACATTTGGGACACTAAACATGACTTGCTCGATGGGAACAGACTTAGGGTAAGGGGAAAACTAATCTGATGTGTTGGTAAAGCCGTCTTTCCAGGTTGAAGCCTCCAAACGAGTCATGCGACGCTCCGACTGTTAAGGCGCTCCAGAGAAGCCCAACAGCGGCCAGTCTGCTCACTGAAAACAACACTTATTTAACACAGACCTCCCCAAAACGCCACGGTCTGTGGTATAAAGTGAAGTACAGCCTCTGTAACGCCACCAACAGTAAATACTACACATTTTAAAGGCCGCACAGCAGCGGGTTTAACGCCAACCCGCGACTGACGACACTTAGCAACAGCTACAGCCTTAATCCGAGAAAACCAGCCCGCGCCTGCCAAAAATACCGACATAAACAGGTCGAGTAACTCTAATATACACCAAACGCACAATAACTGTAATACATTTGCTCGTATTTGCTGAGGATTCGCTCAGATTCCAGTAAAACGCTAATAAAACAGCACCCACCATCTTGAGAGATTCGCCGGAAAAGGAAGCTTCTGCGCCTCGACCGTGTTGAAAAAGCCGCTCTGTGTCCGCTCACAGTCAGAGTCTCCCCCTGCCGGACGGATGATGAACTACCGCACAGGCGCTCTGGGTAGACGTGCGCACCAGGGGGCGATAGAGAGCTGGCTGTTTGATTACGACTTCATGTTAATTTATTTTAGTCAACTACTCACTTATATATTAATAACGTGTGGATTATAACTAAAAAGTTGTTTTATTTTGTCCAGTATTACTTGAATTTCTACAAGAAACACAATAACGATGAGTCTGCCTACAGGAGGGAGATCCAAGATCTGTCTGTCTGTTGTCACAACAGTAATGCGGCCGGATTGTCACCGAAACCAAGGGAGCACATTGAGGCTCACTTGTTGAAACTGTCAGCAGTTTCACATTCCTAGGTGAGCAGATGTCAGACTCATTCTCTTGGTCCCTGAACACCAGCAGTATCCTCAGAAAGGCACAAACGTTCCTGATGAGACCTAAAGATGAACACGTCTGTTATTTTCAACATTTTCCACTGCACCATAGAAAATGTCCTGACTGGTTCCATCACGGTGTTGCTTGGCAGCCTGACTCATCTCAGGATCTCAGACTGCAAGACTGTTAGAACTGCTTCCAAAATCATAGGCACTAACCTCCTACAACTTCAGCACATGAATGCATCTTGATGCTGGGAGAGGGCTCAGTCTATCATCTCAGATGCCTCCTTCAAGCTTATGCCCTGTTCTTGTCTTCTCGCTTTTGAAGCACCACCTGCCTCAGAAACAGCTCCTTCCCCCAGGCCATCAGAGCTGACTCTGTCCAGAAGTAGAATCTGTGGAGAGAGCAACGTAACCACTATGGACACATCTTTGAAATTTTCCAACAGCGATCTCAATCCACCAGTTTTCACACTTTTAAATTGCAAATATAAAGCATACATATTTCTTCAAATGTATACTAACTGAAATATCATTGCTGTTATTAGCATTTTTTAGCTTTTTAATTTTTACTTTTTTACATTTGTTTTGGACCTTTTGGAATTGCTAGCTGCCCTTTGCATGGTGTACATATTTCATCACAAATGGACTAAGTGAAATTTTGTTTTTGACAGCTATGATATTGGCTTACACAAAAAATACTCAAATACTGGATTATATCAACCTCTGTAAACACTGTCAGTCGCTTTAAAACTCTTAAAGCGACTCTGATGTCTGATTGATGAAATCAGTACGGAGAACAGTTACTTTAGAGAAATAATTGTACAGTATTCCTACATGAGGAAGCTCCAAGAGAGGCACGGTGACAAACAATGCAGCACACATGTGGGCAGGTTGAAGATTGAACAAAGGCTGGGTTCCAGAGCTGTAGGGCCACCACCGTTAATCATCACCACTTTGTGAACTTGCTCTGGATACTCGTGGGCCAGGAAGGTGCAAAATGACACCCTGGAAAAATGGAAACAGAAATTGCTGCATGTGTACTACTGTGTGTGTGTGTGTGTGTGTGTGTGTGTGTGTGTATACGCCCAGAGGGCAACCTTGTAGAGTTTTGTTAAGTTTGTAAAGTACGAATCCTGGTGATGCCAAAGATCACTAATTACTGGCATATTATCAACAGTATTTTCGTTGATCGCACTAACTTTCTTTAAACAATGTTTATGCAATTCTTCTTTACATCTTAGTTTACAGTTTGGAATCTCTGTTCAAAAGTGTAGAAGGAAACTAGGAAACAGTATATATACACTCACCGAGCACTTTATTAGGAACACCTTCTTATTTCTACACTCACTGTCCATTTTAACAGCTCCACTTACCATATAGGAGCACTTTATAGCTTTTCAGGACCCCCACAGAGCAGGTATTATTTGGGTGGTGGATCATTCTCAGCACTGCAGTGACACTGACGTGGTGGTAGTGTTATTGTGTGTTGCGCTGGTCTGAATGGATCAGACACAGCGGAGTTTTTAAACACCTCAGTGTCACTGCTTGACTGAGAATAGTCCACCAATCAAAAATATCCAGCCAAAAGCATCCTGTGACCACTGATAAAGAACTAGAGGATGACTAACGCAAACTGTGCAGCAACAGACAATCACCTGTAACTATGAATTGTTGTGTTTTTGTTAGCTTAGAATAAGCCCTTCATATCTACATAGTGAACGAGTCCGATTTCAACAGAGGCGGCCATGTTGCACCGCTATGTTTCTGGAGTATTCCAGAATGGATAAACCAGACACTGGCTCTAGAGAGTGCTTTTCGCGTTTTTACATTGAAGCAGCAGCTTAAATTTGGTGGCACTATAGCATCAGTCAGAAGACATAGTCAGAAGAAGAATCAGTGGTTTCTGCCAGTGCTGGCTAACCATTTTATGTTGTGAGAAGTTTGAGAACTTACACTTTGACAAACGGAGGATCATACTTATTATTAAGCACATGAAAAAGCAAGAGAGGGTGAATCATCTTCGTCAAATAAGTGAAAACATGATGGCTACTGTAGATTCTACTACATGCTTGAAAAGAGAGGAGTGAGGGAGGGGTATTCAGTTGGTTGCAATGTGCAACCTCACCACTAGATGCCACTAAATCTTACACACTGCACTTTTAATGTCATGGCTGATCAGTGTATAATGTATATGCACTGATCAGGCATAACATTATGACCACCTCCTTGTTTCTATGCTCGTTGTCCATTTTATCAGCTCCACTTACTATATAGGTGCACTTTGTAGTTCTACAATTACAGACTGTAGTCCGTCTGTTTCTCTGCATACTTTTTTAGCCCCCTTTTACCCTGTTCTTCAGTGGTCAGGACCCCCATGGACCCTCACAGAGCAGGAACTATTTGGGTGGTGGATCATTCTCAGTACTGCAGTAACACTGACATGGTGGTGGTGTGTTAGTGTGTGTTGCGCTGGTCTGAGTGGATCAGACACAGCAGACACAGCATCTTGCACCTTTTTCCACTGCAATAGAACATTTTGTAGCGAAGTCTAGCTAGTACATTGTATTGCATCTGGTATATATTGTGCCATATTCTGGTGAATTGTATATATTTCAGCATTGCAATGTATTATGTAATAGTTCACTGTATACCATATTACCTCACATGGTCTCCAACTTTCAATTATTTCTGCACATAGTACTGCACCTTCCCACACTACATATTCACAGCACAGTGTGATTACTGCCATCTACCTCATTCCTTACTGACAGTCACCTTGACTGTGGGAACTACTTCTTTATTTATTGTTTCTTCTTGTCTGGTGTCCTTGTCTAGTATGTGCAATACCTCCCTCCCTCCATCGCCCACTGTATAGTTCTATTTCTACTAAGTTTATTTAGGTAGATTGCGGAAAGACGGTATTAAAGGAATGTAGGACGGAAACATTTTTGTCAAGTATAAAAACTATTATCCAGCACTACAGAAATCTTATAGTTGTGCATCTTTTTTTGCACCTATGTTTTGTTTGTGAGATGTTAAAACTCTTTGCAGTACTTCTTTAGTTTCTTAAGAAGAAATTATAATTATTACCTATCGCTCATTCTCTACTCTCTCTAGTTTTTTTTCTAGAAGCAGTTTAGTAATATAAGGAGGAATGAAGGAGTATTACAGCTTATAATTACTAATGCACCAGCATGACAGAACTGTACACCATATACCTGGGGTCATCAATTCTTGTCCTGGAGGGCTAGTTTCCAGCACAGTTTGGTAATTTCACTGCTCATAAATTAATTACCAGGTTTAGTAGGCATGTTTGAGCCGAGAAACCAGCGAGCTGTGCTGGACCAGAATTGATGACCCTGCCATTCACTTTACAGCCCTGGAGCTCCAGAGTGCAAATACCTACATGCAGATAACTACATTTCAGAGAGACGAGTCTGAAATTAGTCATTATGTATAACATAACATAGGTGACACTGGTTAAACACACTCGGCAGTCATGACTAAAACATTGTTTAGTTGAATAAACCAGAGAACCATGCTACAGCTCGAAGTAGATCTTTAGTGAGTATTTAGGCTTGAAATTAAAACTAGAACTAAGGTGTATGTATTTCAAAACTTTACATCCTGAAGGCCTGTAAAGCATTTAAGTTCATTTTTAAAAGACCACTACATTAAGAGCAACTGTGCAATTCATCATTGTGGTTCCGGTTCTACCGGCTGATTCACTACTTACCAAAGAAATTGGCAGGCTCGCATAAACAAAACAACAAATGTGAAAGACTCCCCCAATAAGGCAGACAATATGTTTCACATGCTCTTATAAAAGGATCCACAGCACCGTTTCAGCCATTACCATCACTGAAAAGACTTAGCTGGAGCTTTAGTCCAGCATTTATTTTATTCATGTGCACACCTTTCTACTGGCTCAAGGTAAAGATTCATCTGTTTGCATACAGTGAAACAAATTTTCAGACACTTTTGCTTTTGTTCTTCAATATACACTAATCAGCATTAAACAACATTAAAACCTCCTAGTTTCTACACTCACTGTCCACTTTATCAGCTCCACTTACCACATAAGTGCACTTGATAGTTCTACAATTACAGACTGTTGTCCATCTGTTTCACCCTGTTATTTAATGGTCAGGACCCCCAAAGGACCACCACAGAGCAGGTATTATTTGGGTGGTGGATCATTCTCTGCACTGCAGTGACATTGATGTGATGGTGGCATGTTAGTGTGCATTGCGCTGGTGCAAGTGGATCAGACACAACTGTGCTGCTGGACTTTTTAAATACTGTGTCCACTCACTGTCCACTCTACAACACCTACTTTGTTGGTCTACCTTGTAGATGTAAATTCAGGGACAGCAGCTCATCTATTGCTGCAGTTTGTGTTGGTCATCCTCTGGTCCTTCATCAGTGGTCACAAGAGGCCATTGGCTGGATATTTTTGGTTGGTGGACTATTCTCAGTCCAGCAGTGACACTGAGGTGTTTAAAAACTCCAGCAATACTACTGTGTCTGATCCACTCAGACCAGCGCAACACACACTAACACACCCCCACCACTTCAGTGTTACTGCAGAGCTGAGAATGATCCACTTTTGTTCCTGCTGCACTCAGGTCGTCCTGCAAACGACTGCTGTGTGTTGTGAAATTTTGTAGGGTACACCTGTTCAGAAAACAGTAGGTTATGGCTCCAAGAACTTTCTATTTGCTTCCAATTATTATTAAACCAATCGTACTAACAGGGATGTTTGAGGATGTTTAACTTTAGGAAGCTCCTGCACCTCTATTATGATTGCTATTTGTTGAGTAAAATCTTTCCAACAAATGGTAACATCTTTTATAATCACACCAGCTGTGCAAAAAAACATTTAGCAGTATTAATACCTTATAGTACAGCCTACAGACTTAGTTTTTATGTAACCTTTACATACATACATTTTTTAAATATTGTCTGAATACTTTTCCCTATCAGTGTTATTTTTTCAAACATATCTATGTTTATGAAATGTGTGTAAATTTGAAGTGAATATATGCATTGGAAATATATCAAATAACAAAAACAATACTTGTTTCCCCTCACTGTATTACTCATGTAAGCCTGCCAACTTCCTATGTTCTCAAAACAGACTCTGAAACATAACAAGAATACAATATTGTGTTTCTTTAAATCATTTATTTCAAATAAAATTCCTCTCTTTTTTGCATAAGTGCAAAGTGCACTAAAACAGCCACCTGAGGGAAATCTACATCCTTAAATAAAAAACAAGAAAAGCGCACATATAGTAGTACAAAATTCATTTAAAAAAATTGCACAGTTTAGGTGTATAATACATATTCGTAATTTCTATTTCAAACAATTTTTAAATAAAATGGTCAAAGGCTCAGAGAGTAAACAAAATCCACAAAATTGAAAATAAAACATTATTCCCCTAATAGAATTAAAGCTGAGGAAATGGGAGACCCTGTCACTCCATGTCTGGTGCGGTTCTGTGCTGATGTTTCACCAGACAATTAAAAATCTATTGCTAAGTAGCTCTGTCCTAATATAAAATACACAACGAACGTGGTCTCCTCACATAGGAGCCACTGTTCACAATTTACACACACGGACACTCTTCAGTTAGTTTGTAATGTTCGTCAAACACCAGCCCCAAAACCCAGTTTTGTTTAGGATCAGAACATCTACTTCCCTGACAATTTTGTATTGCATTGTGGAGGTGGGAGGGAAACGCTCAGCGCCGGTAAGGATGGAAGCCCTGCACATTGTGGTTCTGTCCACGGCCAAAACTGCTCGGCGTCGGCTGTGGGCCTGATGAGGGCTGTGCAGAAGGGGCAGCGTACGAGGCAGTCTGCTGGCTGGGGTCAGCGAAAGTATGTCCAAAGCCACTCAGGTCCTGCCCATAACCTGTTTAAACAGATACATACAACGAGGTTCAAGATGAATGCATAAATAAACATGCATGGGACTGGGATTTTTAGAGAAACAGTTTGTCCCTTTATCAACATCAGGGTTTTTAACAATCTGTAGTAAAAGCTGTAGAGCAAAAATGTGAAATCACCAAGACACCATGATTAAAACAGAAGCAAGATGAAAAAAATAAAAAGCTATTCAAAGACGCATTAAAAATGCTTGGACAATACATTTTCTTTACAATACTTTTTTATTTACATTTTTTACATTACTTTTTTTGATGAAAACAGATCAGACAGACAGGAACAGCTTTTCGGTATGACCACAAATAAGGTGAATGGTTTATAAGCTTCCAACTTATTCAGTCTTCTGTAAAACATCTGGCAAGTGAATTGCATATGCAGCATGAAGCACAAAATACAGAAAGAAAATACATAAACCTTAAAACCATCTGTTATAATTAGATCATCCTTTGGCCAGCAAAGCAATGCAGAGACGAAGAAAAAAATAAAAAAGCTGAAGGAAGCCATCTCCGTACAGTAAACTACAGCTACGACGCCACAAAATATTTACAATCCTTGTTCCTCCAGTCCTTCCAAGATGTTCAGAAAGAATTTGACCAATATGCATTTGCTTCCAATTTCATAAAGTTTCCAAATGATAGAGAGGGGAATGTTAACGTCCAAGAGAATGTACACCCCTAAAATGACATGTAGCTGTATTTAGTATACGATGTTGAGAACAAAACTGAGTATACGGGACGTAAAATATGCATACATGTGAACATGGTATGCGCACCACTGGAGTATGTAAAATGCATGTAAGAAGGAAAACAAAAACTATTACTGAAGCCTCATGAGTCTATGTACTATTGCATCTGCTATTTTATTGGGTGGTTGTAAAATACAGTAGCTCACACCTACCTGCACTATATCCCTGCTCATCCTGACCATAACTGTGAGAAGGACGCGTTGGTCCGTAGGCAGAGGGGTCCTGAGGATAGTTACCCAAGCCTATCAGGGAGATGAGGAGACCAGGTTGACTAAACCCAGAGAGAGTCTACCTTTAACACTAGCTCTGGGGGAGAGATTCCTACCAATCAAGGCAAAGCCTCGACAAATTTATCTTCCTTCTATAGTAGATTAGCCTGCTCTGAGACTTGAAGGTCTAAAGATGCTGAATCAGGTACAATAAGGTGAATGGATTGGTCCTTTTGCTGCCTTTAAATCCTTAAACACTATGCTTATCTTAAAGGCATTCGGCCCTAATGATATTGATGAATGGAAGCGAAGCATAAGCATGACACACTGAGGCAGGTGAGGGCATAACTGCTGCACTGAGAGTGACTCCAGTTCACTTTGCTAATGAGGCAGGTCAGTCTAGGGACGTGACATCTTAAACCTGGGACAATTTACTGCTTGTTTAACTGCTGCTGATTTGTGTCGGGCCAGTTTCCCAGACCCAGATTAAACCTAATCCTAGAATAATGCGAATTTAGTCTAAGACTAGGCTTAATTCATTAAGCCTATTAAACAGTCTCTCTTTAGTTTCCTTTACTTTTCATTTGAGGCACAGTAGTAAAGTAGTGAAAACAATGAGTTCCTTCAGCTGTAGAATAACATCTGTAGGGCTGTACAATATATCATTTATTAATTGTTATTGCAACTTTAGCCTTAGCAATACCATCACATATGTATGCAATATGCAAATTAACCTGTGTGCTGTGAGCATCCTGAACAATCACAGTTGTTCTTTTGGTGTTCGGACAAATCAAGGCATTTACTTGATTCAACAAACAAAATATTTTTCGTCAGAAATAACGATGACCAATCCAAAGCACATCACAATGAGGGTTAATTAATCTGTTAATCTGTCAATATAGAATATGAATGTTATATTGCAGTTGTAATACGTAGCAGCCCTAGAATACTGGTTTACTGACTCTAAACATACCCTTCCCATTGCTAGTGATAATTAGCTCCATTTGGGAATAGTTTATTTGGGTAAATCTTTTCCTTCCTATTTTGATTTTTAAATATTGCAATATTTACCGCTAAAATCTAAAATATTTCCAATATCATTCAGCCCTAGTTATAGGTAAACTTGCAATTAACTCAATTTCTCCAACCTAAACTACTGCAGAAAGAAATACTGGTGTTATGATTATCAGTGGCAAAATAACATTCTCAGTTTGCAGTTAACTGTTATTTGATGCTTTCTACAATCCGTCTGAAACTTATATGCTGCATAACAAAATTCTACCACTAATAATCAAATTACCTGTTTCATTAATCAGCAATAATAAAAAGAAAGGTAACATCTTCTTGCATAAACAAGTGACAGTTTCAAAACATCTAAGTATCATCTGGGCTTACTGATGTGGGTAGAAAGCTTTTTTGTTCATATTTGCTTTTCCTGTTTCTTATATATCAGTACTGATATGGCAGTATGAATTCATGTAGCCGTTTAAAGCTTTGAAATTAATTTAAGCATCAAAAATGCACACCTAAAATTAACCTACATTAAATGAGGCACCGCACCATCCAAAAAGCAACACTGCAGGATGATCTAATTCAAACATATGACTGATAAATCATTCAACATCATAATGCACATAAACTACAGACATTAAATTGACCATATTCACAGCAGGTGTGGTGAATGTGGTGACACCTACAGAATCACCATAGGTGAGGGATCGTATGCAAGCTTGTGTGCGAGTGATGCCGTCATGCCAGTTCAGCCATGTGTTATAAAGAGCAAGCTCTTGCTTGTGTGAGGATCGCTGTAATGGGCTGTACCTAAGGTGGTTTAGAAAATGGATCCACTCAACAGTAACAGGAGAAGCCGTGGCCAGGTGAGGTGAGCCCTTTACTCACCATACTGGCTATAGGAGAAGTCTGGCTGTGCCGGAGGGGCTTTGCTCATGTCCTGAGTTGGGGTGGTAGCCGGGGCAAAGCCTAGGGGTCCTGTTCCAGGCGTTGTGGGAGGAGGAGGCATGCCTTGTGGTACGAATTGGTCACCCTGAGGCGTGCCAAAACTGTACCCTTTGTGAGTTTGGGAAAGGAAAAGTTATTTAGACTCAAATGACAGAAAGAAAACAACGTAGTTTTTAAAACTTTTAAAGCCAATCTAAAGCAACAAGCTGAAACATTTATATGAATGTAATAAAACTGAACATACTAGTGGCCCTGAACATCTGCCCTTAACAATTTGAGTACTCTCAGTCTTGGCTCCTTTTCAAAAAACCTATATCAACAGCCTTCAGATTAGAAAACAGCCATAACAGACAGGAAATGAAGGACCAGAGCTATCAAGAGGCCTGGGATTCAGCCCAAAATAGATTTATTGTGTGTATCTATTCCAGAATCAAACAGAAGGTGATGTTTTGATGACTTACCAAACTGAGGGGGTGTGCTATAGCCCTGCTGGGGATATCCCTGAGGTGCCCCAAATCCTCCTGCTTGGGGTGCTGTGACTATGAACGCATTAAAAGGAGAGGGAGGCTGAGCAGGAGCTCCTCGGCCTGCTGGCAAAGGAGCACCGTATCCACCTGTGACCAACAAGACGGGTAATACATGAGCAGATTAGAAAGCACATATCTAATGGGTTGTTCATATGTCACAAAACTAAGCAGCTCTAAACCCCACCTACTCTTTGTTCATCCAACTAATTCAAGACATGCAGTTATCATAATTGTTTAATTTCAGGTTTTACTAAATATCTAACACAAATCATGTAATAGAACCTACCTAACGGTTGACCTGTGGACACCCAAACCCCTGTCAAAGACAGACAGTGTCAGTGTTTTCTTGCTTTCTAAACATTCACAGGAGTTAAGGTGTTACTTATTCAATTAAAGGTTGCAATCATTTTGGCTTCACTTCAAGCCGTGCAAGCGTTCTTCTGGCTTGTTCATTCGCTATGTGAAAGCTGTCACCCTTACACTGTAGACAAACCCACTGTGGTTTCGAACAGATGGCACAAACAGTGCAGCCAAAACGGAGGCAAACTGCGGCTCAGATACCAGTTGGCGCCTCTGGTATCTTTTTTCACACTAGAATGTCATGTTCCCAGAGGGAGACCTATTCGCCCTCACTCACCCTGAGGCCCGTAGCTCTGATGCCAGCTCTGAGCAGGCTGTGCAGCCCAGCCATTGGCTGCACTTAAGATGGCTCTGGGTCCCCACTGATTGGCTCCCAGCTGCCCAGGGCCAGGAGCTTTGCTGTCCCGAGGTTCAGCCTTCTTCACTTCAACCTGGACAAAGGACAAAGACAGCATAACTTGAAAGGGCAAAATTCAATGACCAGTGTGCCTCCCTCACCCCATCAATTACTTAGCCTGCAGTTCAGTTGAGATAGTCTTACTTAGACTAAATAAGAGAGCTCAGTACAGATATAAAGATGTATTCTGGGCTTCTTATTACATCTTTGAAGCAATGTTTCTAAGGTACTTTTGAATGAAATGCATAAAAACTTTTAAAAAATGTATTCTATTACAAATCTTTAAATCTGTCAATAATGAGCAAGTATAGGTAATAAATTTAGTCTATGGTCAGTTTCTGTCCTGTAAAATGTACCTGAGAAACATTGTCCCTACATTTTTGTTGTATCTTATCCCTTTTAAATAGATAAAAATTGCTGATAGAAAGTCTAGACTTACCTTACCCTGGCTAACGCGTTTAAGAACTTCAATTTAGGTCATTTTGGAGTAGAAATATGATGAAAATTTTATATCTAACTGTATAAAATAATAAACATGCAGAGAATAATGGAGTCATAAGTTTTTTTTTCAGAAATGAATCTTCATACTGTGTCAAACATAGGAGAAAAAAATGTAATATGATCCTCTGATGTATAAAATATGTAGACCTGAAAGAAAAAAAAAGACTTTAGAACCATGTCTATTTATAAACTAGAGCCAACCTGATCAGAGACAACATAAATTTTATCCCATTCCTTCCAGTGCCCAACTATAGATGTCCCAGCCGCTCAAGAAATGCGCACACACCAGGAGTGTAAAATGGGTAGGACAGAAATAGAACAGCCTCTAAATGGGCTGAGTTATTGGGGTCACCTTGAATCAAGAGCAAGGCGCGATATTTTTCTGCTCGCAAAAGTAGCATAAAACGTGGTGACTTTCTTTTTCGCCTTCCCTCTTCCTTCTCTGTCGACCTAATTAGGCGCCAGTTTGAGCGAGTGGTCTGCGGCCCTCCGCTCGACTACCTAGGCCCACTCCCGCGGGCTTCAGGGCTCAGAGTGATGGGAGGAAGCACAGAAGTCCTGGCGTCCGGCTCCAGAGCTGGGATTTGCAACACAGTTTGATATGCTCCAGTTTCTAAATTTATAACGTATGGCCCCCACCTCCCTGAAGTCCCATCGCAATAATGTCATATCAAGAACAATAGCCTAGGTACTGGAGAACCTGTTTTCCTGAAGGAAAACAGGACACAGTCAAGGAGAGTTGGTACCACAGAATAAATATATAATGTAGGACAGCAACTCTCAGCCTGTACGGAAAACTACAGCAAACTTCACGGAAGTGGTTCGTCACTTTGAATCAGCACACAGCGGTCATGAGAGAGGGCAGAAAAATGCCAGGGGCCACTTCAAATTGGTGAGTAATAGATATGCATCCACCAGTACACAGACTGCATGGCTGAACAAATCATACATTCAGCGTTGAGCCAGTACGCTCAATTCCAACTTCAGGGTGTTTAAAAGTCAAATAAAATCAACTGGCCTTTAATCATATCAGACTTAGGAAGTCTTCTGAAAAAGCCATTTCTAATTAGAAGTTTGTTTATATTGCACTTTTGACAAAGAACAGATTGTCAGACAAATTTTGCTCTTTTACTTATGCCCATTCTTTTTTGTGTCTGCTTTAATGCAAATTTCAAGTTATTAAACACAGCATTTTACTACAGCAGACAACATACATTGCCTATGAAGTGGCAGGAGATGCACCCCTGGGGCAACACAGGTTTTAAAGCCTTGTTCAAAAGCACTGTGCTGATGGCAGAGACCATCTAATACAAGTAGTCGCATTCTAATACGAGGCCCATTTCTCATGCAAAACCTTTGATTTCTAGTAAGAAGCATTACCTCTGCTAAACATTTTATGCATTAAAAAAAAGAAAGCATCCGCAGGGACTGATCAATATAAATGTTGTTTTTGGTTTAATTTAGAGGGCAAATTGACACAGTATGGAGATTCCAAACCTGAGGTCACTTAATTGAGGCTTTGCTTTATCTTTTTTAACTTCTTGGATAATATCAATAACTCAAACAGTAAGTGACCTGGCAGAAACAAAATGAATAATAAAAGATGGAAAATGACATTGACCAGTCCTTTAGGTGAAAATGAATTAAACGTCAAGTACTACGCAGATACAAGTAAAACTCACCTCTCTTAGCTCAATAATAATCACCAGCATAAAACCACCTAAAGGAGTGGTCCAAATAAACTAAACCTTGGGCGACTGCAGAAGCTGTGCTTAACATGACTCACTGTCAATGATTCATAGTCCAAAGCTGTATTCTTTGTGATGGCTAGTCATTTATGCTATATTTGACATGAGAGCTGTACAAACCTTTAGCTACACATAACACAGATTCATTTCTGAATATGTGTCTCTTTTCAGGGAAGAAAAGCTGAAATTGGTTCACAGTGCTAGCAGAGAACATTATCCGTCGCCCAAGCTTCAGTTTCTGCTTTAGGGTAAAATAAAACTACAACTACACACTTTTTTGCCCATGATGTCGTGAAAATGCATGTTGACAGCCTGGTCCACTGATTGTTCGGCCTCGAAAGTAATAAATCCAAAACCTAGCCAACGACCAAAAGTGAATCAAGGTAGCAGGGTGTTGGGACAGAACAAGGTGAAGAACAGTTGAGGAGGGGGGACCAAGGGGACACCGGGGGTTTGGATGATGTCGCAGCCTGTGATACAATAAAAATGGTTGGACAGGAACTCCAGTCTCATCTACCCGCCTAAAACTGATGGTTCTTCAAAGGTTCTTTAGTAAAAATAATGGTTCTATATAGAACTATGAAGACTCAAAGAACCATTTGCCTGCTTAAACGATTCTCTGCATGGTAAAATGGCTCTTCAGACTGATGGAGAATGTGGTATATGGTCCTATATAAAAGCTTTTTGAAAATGGTTCTAAATAAGCACCAAAAAGGGTTCTACTGTTACAAGCTTGAAAAAGGCTCTATACAGCCCCATATACAACACATCCTCCATCAATCTGAAGAACTGTTTCACCATGCAAAGAACCATTTAAGCATGCAAACGGTTCTTTGAGTGTTCATGGCTCTATGTGGAACCACTGTCTTTACTAAAGAACCTTTGAAAAGCCACCTGTTTTAAAAGGTGTAGGGAAAAATTAACATTGTTTTCCATCTGTGAAAATTAACCTTCACTTGATTTAATCATTAAAAGCTGAACGAGCAGTGTCAGTGAGGACAGTGATAACTAAATGTATTCAAAGTCAGGATTACAAACAAGACACTGTTATACTTTTAAAAATCTAAAAGAGAAGTAATTCTTTTCAAAGTTAATTATTTTTCCCCATTTCTGTTTCCCCTGCAGTTTCATCCGAACCCCCCTTGAATGTCCCCTTGTTATATTCTTGTACAACAAACGCTGGCAGCAGCCACAATCATTAACGCATAACAAAAATGATGAATAAAACTAATACATAATTGAACAGTTTCTCAAAGCCTTCCCAAAATCACAGTACTTTGGGTAAACTAAGAGAACAGAAATTTACAACACAGCTACAAAAGCACCACAGAGATAAAAGGCCAACATTTTACTTAAAAAGTCTGTGCATGACAAGGTTTTCATGAGGGGTAACCAAAGATACTGGGTTTTCTATTCCTTTCCTTTTAAATTCCTTTATATCAGAAGAAACAGCCCAAACGGAAGCCGTGTGCATAGCAGTAGGGAGCCTTTCGTTCGTTCAGAAGTAAGAAAGGTTACCTCAGGAGGACATTAGTCTAGTTCAGTCTGAGGCAGAGAGCAGTTCCTGATTTCAAGGTCATTTTTATTATAAAGGAGAGCATGAACTAGAGGACAGCAGCAGAGCGATAGCGCTTGAAGTTCTGCTGCAGCCTCAGCACCAGCTCCAACTCCAGCAACACTGTGTGAACTAGTTTCAGTGCGATCAAATAACTGTGTGGCAGAACTGGGTTGTGAGAATCTCTCCACTTTGGGATCTAACCCGATTCCAATTAAGCATCCTTTGAGACCCAGGGGGAGATCTGAGATCTCTTATACTAAATGGAGCAGCCCCTCTGTTTAAACTAGCACTAAATATACCACTGACCTGCCCCTAATCAGAAGACCTAACTTCATTAAAGCATATTAAAGTTGTTAGCAATACAGGCTTCCGTCAAGTTCTTACACTGTTGCAACCAGACTTCCTGACTAGCTGCTCAACCTACACGACACAGGTCACAGAATGAGGACAGCGGAAAGTTACACTTCTTAATCTCTTAATATTCTTAATATTAAGAGATTAAGAAGTGTAACTTTCGTAATATCTAAAAAATTTAAAAATAAAGATATGAATATCACAAGGTAGCAACAAAATAGGGCTTTTTAATTTCTAAAATATGGCCAGAACCCATCACTGGAATGTACTAAAGGACAATATTCTATTATTCTAAGATTTTCCATTAGAAGGCCATGTGTATGTGAAAATGTTAATTTTAGTTCATAATTTACTACTTTTAAAATGCATTCGACACCTTAATTCATCCTCTATTTTTAAGCAGAGACTGCACACAATCAGCCAGTCAAAAGTCTTTTCAATTAGATTTGCTCAATTCTATAAAAACAGACGTAGCATGTTTTGACACATGACTGTAAACAACATGTGCCTTTAAAATAGCACGCCTCAACAAGTTAAAACTTTTTAAGATGACTGCATGCTAACAGTATTAGCAGCACAACAGATGTGTTACTGGAGTGCCATCACAGAAACGTTCAGCTCTTTTTTACTACGTTCTCATGTAATCTTTGGCTACGCCCCTAAACCTGACATTCTGTGCGTGTGTGTGTGTGTATGTATATATATATACATATATATATACACACATACACACATATACACATCCTTTCTGGCCTTTATCTGTGTGGTGGTACTCTGAACAGTAACCTGAAGGGAAAAAAAAAACAAATCTGAGAAAACAGTTAATTACATTTAAACAGTTCACAAGGAGAAGGGAATACAAAAGAAAGAGAGGGCTTACTTAATTTACTACATGTGGAAAATCATACGTCATTCAGAATATCAGTTAAACAGGAATGCATAACAAAGAACTTACTCAAATGTCTATGGTTAACAAAAAGAAAAGATCAATGCCAATAATTCAAAATGCAACATAAAATGTTCAAATGACAAACTATTCCAAGTATCCTCAAAGAGACTGATATGGGTACTTTAAGAATTGGGAATTGTTTTGGGATTTTTTAAGCAAATGATGAGGAAACAGCTCTGTGCAAAACACACTTAGTATTCGCTATGCATGATAACAATGATACATTTTCAATATCTATTTATACTGCAAATAGTCAGGATTGTTCCAACAGGGTGGAACAGTCTGAAACACAACATCTACAATCAAACAAGTGTTGCTTAGTAATGTCTTTATGATGTTCAGTATGCATGTGCAATGGATTTTCTCTGTATTATCGAAATCCTGTACAATTTCATTCAACATCAAAATGCACACTTCGGTTTAACCTAATTATAATTCCTGGCTTCATCTTAAACCTGCAACTGCAGAATTCGTTCTAACTAACTTTTGTACTCATTTCACTGCAGCTTTCCTGTGGAATCTGTTTTGTTCTAATCACTTCAACAAATCAGGCTCATTTCATTATTTTCATTTATCAAAATTTCATCTATCAAACAGAGCTATTAGCAAGTATTCACTTCATGTGCTGGCTTTGTTCTAGCAAAATGAATAACGTTTGGAATGCTGGAAATTTAGGCTAATAAGCTCTTTTCAAATAAGAATAAAAAGGCTCAAAATATGAACAGCCAGCATGCAGGTTAAGACTGTACTTCAGGTTTAAAATCAAGCAAGTGCACCAGAAGCTGATTCAGTGACAGATGTTTAGACAATGCAAAGGTCTACACTTTATGTCAATGCTGTCGATTTGCGTTCTCTCCATGCAGGAGCTCTGCCACATGCCAAATACAGCATCAGAGACATGGTGGGTGAGAAATGATATCAGAATGTGCCCTGCTGAAGGACATAGAGTGAGAGTCGCTTCTCTTTGGGTCAGAATAGTTTGTCATGAGCGTGAAGATAGATGTAATGGGAACAGAACTAGATCAGCTTTTACCTCGGGGTCTCTGTTTCTCCGCATCATAGATCATTACCACTTCTGTCACCTTCAAGGAGGGAAATATATGACAAGTGGGTGAGCGAGCGAACTGAGTGGTCACTCAAAGATTGATCTAAATTCATCAGCACAAATTGTAGGGTGTCAGTCTTGAAGTCACAAATTAAACGCATAAAAATACATAAAATGTCACAAGTCCATTGTCTTTAAAACAAAATCATACATTAAAGTTGCTTAGAATAACGCATTACTGTAAGGTGGTTGCTTCCATTTCACCAGCTATCACTTCTAGTGATGGCAAACTTGATTAGAAGACAAAAATACTGAAATGAGAACATAACCCATCTTACCACTCCAAATCTGTTAAAATAGTCCCTGAGTTCAGGTTCACCGCAGTTGTGAGGAATTCCACCAACAAATATCTTCTTGGATTTATTGCTGTCACTTTTACCTCCTTTCTAAAATGTATACAAATGAACCTCGGTTAAAAAGGAGGGCAATGAAAATGCTCTAACTCAATCATAAAAAATTACTTTCACATGGCTTAGGAGCATACACTCATGCAAATTGGCAGAGCATACATTTACAAAATCCAACTGAGCACTGCAGGGCCTGTTCTTTCCTCACTGTTTAATCTACAAACACTGTTTTGCCAATATGAACATCATTTGAAAAACAAATAGCCTGAACTATGACAATTTCATACTCACTAACACTATTATTATTACACTGCTTACCCAGCCATCCTTTGCTCGTGTCTTTTCAGGCTGCATTCCTCTCGGAGTGCACGGCTTGGGGTCAATCTACAGGAGCAGAGAGTTAAACCTCAATGATGAATATATTTCTCTGTTTATGTAGCCGTAATTGGTACCATTTGTAATTTTATCACAATATGATCAATATTACGTGGCTTGAATTAAACCAAACTCCATCAGAAAAGCAATAAGCCGCTGGTTCTCACATTTCTACCATCAAGGTTATGAGGTTTGGTGTCCAGTACAGTCCGAACACAGTTCGGGTCTTTAAACTTCACAAACCCAAATCCTCTGGACTGATTTGTGCTTTTGTCCTTCATGATGACGCAGTCCACAACCTCTCCATACTGGGAGAAGTAGTTTCGTAAAGTCTCTAACAACAGAGAGAGAACAGGTGATAATATTCTACGGCACATCTTTTGATACCGCAAACAGGACTTCATTAACTGCTTATGGGAAAATATGCCTTAATTTTCCTATCCAAATGACTGCGCTTAATAAAAAACCTGCAATCTGCAAGTATATAACCACAAACTATCTCTATAACGCTCTGACGTTATGAAGAGGATGCAGTGATGTTGATACCTATACAAAACACTTAAAACAGAAACTATGGGTGGGACATGTTTTAAAGAGGAAAAACTGCAATTCACTTATACTTTTGCCCAACAGAAACATCAGGTTCTAAACATTCGGTTCTACATTATCTACATTATCAATGTTCACTTCTTCTTATGGGCAGTGTGGAGCAAACAGCAGCGAGTGGAGAAAGCTGCTGGAAGCATCTTCTCACCCACAGTTAATATAATATTAGGTCTAATATTTTGCTGTCAGTGTGAGAAGCACTGCGAAGGATTACGATATTCAGTACAAACTGCCCGAGTTTCACTAAACCAAAGAGCTTTTATAAAATAAGTGCTCAGGTGAGCTCACCTTGAGTTGTACTCCAGTCCAGTCCTCCCACAAACAGCTTCCTGTAAGACAAGTAAGATGTTACAGCAGATTAATAGGTCGAGCAACAACATTCAATGAACTGTGCGAAGAGAAGGTTACTTCCATTTATCCAGCTATCACTCATGATGATGGCAAAGCTGACTTGTCTTGTCACTTTAAGTCGGGTTTATCACGAACTTGCAGCTTGACACTTAACTCGTCATTCTTGACTTACTGCCTATCAACAAACACTACGGTACCACCTTAGGTCCGAGCACAAACGTTAACCTACATCCCTCGCTCTGTAGCTGAAGAATTAGTTAGCTTCGTTTCGGTAACAATGTGCAGGAATTTAATGTAAAGATTAAGTTTGAGCACTCCACAATATTTACTCTCACGATACACAACAACAGAGGTCAAAATTCAGTATATAACCAAGCTCGCTAATTAACGAGCTAACAGTAGCTAATGTCGGTAACTTGCGAGTGAAGACACTTTGACAGCTAGCTGGCTAGCTATGAATGAGTCGTTGAAGCGTTCAACTCATTTCAGCAAACAAAGAAAAGCCCTGTTCTCAGACCACCACCGCTGCCTCTCGAAGTTCGTCTCTTCTGTTTCTGTAACTGGTCGGTCACCTTGCTAAGAGACAGGTAAGTTGGCTAACAGCCGAAGCTAGCTAAAAGAAAACGACGGTTGACGGCTCCTCCGCTAGCTTACTGTAGGCTAAACTACAACACGGCCGTTGGTTGCAGCTCGGCTCGCTGCGCAAGTCGGTGCCTCTGTAGCTCTCTACGATGACGTGATGGTGAGATTTTAATCTGCTTTCGGTACACAAAAAGATCGGCTTTTGTAACAAAAAATGGTGTCTATCTCACCCAATTTCGTCTCCTGCTAGGTTGTTGTTCATTTCTGTAGCAAGAGTTGTGGACTGGAGTGCTGACATCAGTCTGCTGCCTCAGTCTCCTCCAAACTAAGCCGTCTCTCCTCTCTCCGACTGGCCCGGGAAGGTCACTCCGCTTTCGGTTCAAACCCGGTCTGCGCAACGCTGACGCGCCGCCACGGGGGCCCCCTGCAGGGGGGAGCGTCAGGAAGACTACGTGTGCTGGGAGTTGTAGTCATTTCCGTCACTCCATGAAAAGGGAGTCCACAATCCTCGATACGTGTAAAAGACATAAAAATCTGCATTTTAATCAGAAAAATAGTGAATGGAACACTTTTTATGAAAGTGTGCGTTTTTATATACGTACAGTACTGTACTTTTTGCTCAGAAAAACTCTAGTATTAGAAAAAATACAAAGATCATAAGTAGAGAGTTTGTGTCTCTGATTTAGAGTTGGGCAATGTGACGATATTTTATTGGTACTGTGATAAATTATATCATAATATGCTTTTCTGAGCGTATCATGGATATAATCAGTACTTAAGGAACACTGCATGTTCGATTACAAATAGAGCATAATTATGGCTGTTTAATTGGATTTAGTGTAAAGCAATGTGTGAAACATTGAAAATGTCTTAAAGTATCATTATATTGTATTTTTGCCATATCGCCCAATCCTAGTCTGACAATGTTCACTTAACCATTTCCAAACCTTTCTTTGTGGCAGCCCAGTATTAACTGTAGTTATCATTCAAGGCCTAGATTGGTTCAACCAATGCTTCATTAAATCAGATATGCTAGTGGAGGAATTTGAACAAATCTTTGCGATGGCTAGAGGCAGTGTGGAGAATTTCAGAATCAAACCTTTGATTATATTAATTACTCATTTAAAGCAAGAAATATTGGCAGTAAATTACATCATTTGAGCTTCAGAGAGAATTTTGCTTTAATTTAACTTTGATAATTAGTTGTTTTCTACAATTTTACAGGATCTGTTGACCATAATGTCCACACCATCATACAAAATAAATAGAGAGACAGAGATAAGAGTTTTGGCAATATTCACAGAAAAGACCTGTAATTTAACTATTGAAAAACTGATGTTACAAGGTCTAAACATGATAACACGAAGCACACTGGCCAGTTTAGTCTGAAATATCCCACCCCATTGTACTTCCCTCAATAACAAGCTCAGTATGATGGAGGGGTACTACTTTGTGCAGTGGGAAATATGGGTTGTGAGGTCGGAAAACCTGTTTTGTGGTCAGAGCAATATGTAGTAGAAACTATGGAGAGTAAAAAAGTGATTTCTTGAAATTAAAATTGTCAAATTACTATGTCCATTTGGCACTGATCTCATGAAATGACTTATTTATTGTAGGGGTGGTCGATACCATTAATTTTATTATTATATTATAAAATAAAATGGGGAACTTTTGTCACTTCTACAGTGAAACACAGTAAATGTGGACCTTAAATGTTTAAAGTGAAAGCTTTTGCATTAGTAGTAAATAAATTGCCTGTTTAGTGCAGTGATCTCATCTGTCATTACAAAGAGTGCATAACATGTTTCTGTCTCTGTCTGTGTGTGAAGCAGAAGGAGGTATGGAAGGAAAAGTAGTTCCTATCCTGCATTTGCAACAAGGAGGTGGTCATAGTGTTATTCCTGATCAGTGTATACTGTACTTTATTACTGTACACAACTCAAAAATTTAAATGGTAACTACATTCACTGCACTTATTTTATGTTGCTTGTACATTATTTTGTGTACTGTGTATTTTATATATTTTGTTTTTACTTTTATTGTGAGTTTTGGCATAAATCAAGCTAAGTGGGCTACAGCTGCATACAGTATAGTTTGAAGTGCACTTTGCTCTGTAAGAAAGCAATGCAGTTAGTGATGTGTTATTTGCAAACAAGTCTTTTTTATGTGAATGATGAGAGCCAACTCGCATTAAATTGCCTTTTTTTGGCATGGGTAGATCGTATTACCCTGTAACTGAAAATCACAGGATCCCATCCTGGATCTCCTTGAAACATTCAGCTCTGCCCCCTCATTAGCCATGTTTCCAAATGTGCCTTGTTAGTTCGTCTGATTTTTGACTTTTATCTACTTTTGTTTGTCGATGACTGATGATGGATTTGTCTGTGTGTAGTGATCCCTGCCTCTCTAAATTTATCTAATGAAACTACTTATCAACACGTCTTGTTAAATTTTGTTAAAATTCAAACATAATTGCAATTGTTTGTTAATTAGAAGTTAGATTAAGGTTTTATTAACATTTAGATAGATCATACCACTAACTTTGTGAACAAACAAAAGAACTGACAGTGCTACAGAACAAAAAGCTGTTTTGAAAGCGAAATAGGCTTCGATAAAAAGAAAATCATTAAGAGCACTCATTAAGCTGTAGAGTCTCATTTTCTCAGTCAGTAGAATCAGATGAGTCTAGAATCTTGGCTAAATACCCAGGATTGGACAAGAAGGTAACTTGGGTTTATGCAATAACTGAAACAGCAAATCTTATGAACTGGAGCTCAGTTCTGACTCAAAGGTGCAGTGTGTAAAATTTAGTAGCATCTAGCAGTGAGATTGCAGATTGCAGCCAACAGAATATCCCTCCCTCAGCCCTCTGTTTTCAAAGATGTAGTAGAACCTACAGTGGCCATCAGGTGCACTGTATTTATGTCCATCAGAAAACAGGCAACTTCAACTGTTGCATTCTTGTTTTGCAATACTTTTCGAGGCTTTCTCCCCTAAGTTCCCTTTGAAGTCCTTCGTTGTTTTGGCTGTGCATTTTGGATAATTGTCTTGCTGTGTGATGAAGTTCCTCCTGATTAGATAGGATGCATTTCTCTGTAAATTTGCAAACAGAATGATTTTCTATACATCTGAATTCATTCTGCTGTTACCATCAGGAGCTACATCTTCAATAACATTAGTGAGAGCATTCCAGAAGCAGCCATGCAAGCCCAAGCCATGACACTACCTTCACTGTGCTTGACAGATGAGCTTGTATGTTTTGGACTGTGAGCAGAACCTTTGTTTCTTCATACTTACATACTTTTTTCAGTCTCTTTGGTAGAGGTTAATTTTGGTCTCATCAGTCTATATAACTCTGTTCTGGAACTTTTGTGGCTGTATTTCTTTGGCAATTCCAACCTGGCCTTCCAATTCTTACTGCTCATGAGTGGTTTGCATGTTGTGGTATGGCCTCTGCATTTCTGCTTTTAAGGTTTGTGATCCCTTTACTCCTGCACTGTGGAGGTTGTTCTTCACAGCTCTCACAATGTTTCTTTCATCAACTGCTCTTTTCTCAGCATCTTCTGAGCACAGCCTAGACAAGGCCATCCCTCAAAACCCAGCAAGAAAGCAAGAAGAACACTCGTGAGGGAAGCCACAGAAAGGCCAACAATCACTTTGAAGGAGCTACAGAGTTCAGTGGCTAAGACTGGAGTGAAGATGCACCAGTCCACGATATCAAGAGCTCTGCATACAACAGGGCTGTATGAGACGGTGGCTAGAAAGAAGTCATTTCTGAAGAAAAAAGACATCAAAGCACATCTAAAAATGTGGGATAAGGTTTTGTGGTCAGATAAGGCAAGAAATTAGCTTTTTGGCCAAAATCCAAAATGCTATGTGTGGCAAAACCTTACACTGCTATTTCCCGACAAAACACCATTTCAACAGTGAAGTATGGGGGTGGCAGCATCATACTGTGGGGTTGCTTTTCCTCAGCAAGGACTAGACTTGTTATTAAAATTGCAAGACAACTTGCTTCAGTCTGCTAAAGAATTAAAGCTTGGGAGAAACTTCACCTTTTAGCAGGGCAATGTTTCCAATCACAAGACGAAAACAACGCAGGAGTCACTGAACAACAAGGTGAATGTTCTACAATGGCCAAGTCAAAGTCCAGATCTCAATCCATTCGTGAATCTGTGTCACTATATGAAAATTCGTCCAGAAACATCATCCAATCAACCTGAATAACATGGTGTAAATTTGCCATGAAGAATAGGCCAAAAATAATGCACCAAACAGTGTGCAAAGCTGGTAGAAACTCACCCCAACAGACCTAAAGCTGTTATTTCAGCAAAAGGTGATTCTACCAAGTGCTAATCTGAAGAGGTGGAATAGTTAAGCAAACAGGATTTTTCAGTTTTTCTTTTTAAGATTTGCTGACAACATCTACTTTACAAACATAATGATTTTCAATACAAAAACTGTCTGGAACTATCTCCATTTTTAGGTTTTTATTTTTTTTTACAGAATTTGAAAATGCCAAATTGTATCTTTTACAAAATGTCAAAATTTTATCATGAATAGAGGAATTCAAACACTCCAAATTTCCTTTCAAAGTTAAGAATGTTTCTTTCTTTCTCTTGTAAAGTTATGGTGTTATGTTAGCTTATATATATGAAAAATGGATTTTAAAGCCCAACACAGAGGGGAAAGGGAGAGTTGAGATAGATGACAGACTGAAGAAGTGAGATAACTAGCTGTGTTTCAAGAAACTACAGAGAAAGAGCAGTACAAAGACTAAAGGGTAAAGTCAAGATGGACAAAACACACTCATAAGTTGCAGAATCAAAGCTGAACAACATTGGATTCCTAAACTAAAACACCTTCAGATCATGAGTGGAAACACTAATGATCACATTCAATGCATATTTGGATACATGTAGCCTAAGACAGCAAGACTGTTTGATCAAAAAGAATGACAGTAATTTAAGCACCCGAAACTGTTCTTGTGAGGTCAAACAACTCCCTGGAGTTGTTCAACAAGATTTCTGATGTGTGGTTGAGATTAGTAATAGGAAAAGATTCACGAAAAGGTAGAGGAACTTTAACAGGAAGTATTAGCAATTGCAGTGAAAAAAGACCATTTTTTTTCTATCTGTGCAACATGTTAACCTTTAAAACGAGGTCACTATCTATACCAGTACATGTATGTTATAGATTTCCTATATCTATAACAAGGTCATAATCTAGAGATGAGAACAAAGCGCTGTTCATTGTGCCATCCATTATAAGGAGGCCTGCACTGTAAATGGATTATTGGCTGTTTTTGCTGAGGAACTGCATAGGAAGAACCAAGATGTGGAATGTTACAGCACATAGCCGACATGTGCAAAAGCCCTTATCTCACGCTTGTGTACTTTGACTTCTCAAGATGAACAAAATCAATTTTCAACCATTGGAACGTGATCATGTGTTCTCCTCCTCACTGGCAGTTTGAAGAAGGAGCACTTCTGTTAGACTGCTGAATATAAGAGGTGTAATACTTATGTTGTACTGCAGTATTGTTACTGGTATGTTAGCTTGTGGCCAGCGTTAGATAGGCGTGGGCTCTTTTAAACACTGTAAAGCGTTTGTTTAGTGTTTATATGCTGCTAAGAACCTTGAATGGATCAGGCAAAACTCCAATGTTATTCTTAGCAAAAAGGGTTCTATACAGTACCAAAAATGTTTCCGTAACAACAGTGAAACTCTTTTTGGTGCTGCATAGAACAATTTTTGAAGCGCTCTTTAAATAAGTATAGAACATGTTTTACATTATAGAGAAGAACCATTTAACCATGCAAAGAACCAACCGATTCAATGGGTCATCTGAGTTGTGAGACATATGTGTGTATATTGTTGACTTTTACTGCACTCTTAAAAAAAGATGGTTCTTCAAGGGTTCTTTAGCAAAGGGAATGATTCTATTTAAAACCATGAGTTCTGTACTTAAATGGTTCTTTGCATAGTGAAATCGTTCTTCAGACTGGTGGAAAATGTGTTCTATATGGTTCTATACAGACCCTTTTTGAAAATGGTTCTATATAACGTAACAATAGAAGAACCTTTCTGGTGCTATACTGAATGCTTTGAAGAACGATTTAAGCATGAAATGGTTCTCCATACACACTTAAACAAGATGGTTCTTGGGTTCTTTAGTAAAGAAAAGGGTTCTATATAGAACCATGAACACTCAAAGAACGCTTTGCATGATTAAAGGGTTCTTTGCATCATGAAGCGTTCTTTAGATTAATGGAGAATGTGCTTTAGATGGTTCTATATTGAACCTTTTTGAAAAGGGTCCTTCTATTGTTACTAGCTTGACATCGTAAAGAACCCTTTTTGGTGCTGTATAGAACAATCTTTGAAGCATTCATTAAATAAGTATGGGACATGTTTTACATTATAGAGAAGAACCATTTAACCTTGCAAAGAACCAAAAGATTCAAAGGGTCATCTGAGTTGTCAGATACATATTTATTGTTGACTTTTACTGCACTATTAAAAAAGATGGTTCTTCAAGGGTTCTTTAGCAAAAGTAATGATTCTCCTTAAAACCATGAAAGGGTTCTTCAGATTTATGGAGAATGTGATTTAGATGGTTCAATATTGAACCTTTTT